GAGAGAGAGAGAGAGTCTCTTTCTTTATTCCTCTCTTTTCCTCTCCTTCTTCTCCTTCTTGATTCCTCTCCTTCCTCTCCTTCTTCTCCTTCTTGATTCCTCTTCTTCCTCTTCTTCCCATCCAATTGCATCCATCGAGTTCGCTTATACTAACAGTCTAGCTCAATCGTTGCAGCAGACCCAACCAGCCGTTTCCAGCGTTTCCAGCGTTTCCAGCGTGATCAGCGTTTTCAGCGTTTCTCCCAAAGCGTCTCACAAAACGTAGCCTTTTCTGATTTTTCCCAGTCTTAAAAAGCGACCTTCCACTCCATTATAAACTAAAGTACAGCTGCGCGCTCGCTTTTCCCATTTCCCAACCCAATTAATATCTGCAGCACTCCCCATGAGCGCCTCTTCTAGCAGCACCAGAGCCCTCACTCTGGCGCACGGCTCAATCGAGCACGTTCTCCCGGTGCCAACCGCCTCCTTTTTCCAAGGCTCCCAACTGCAAGATCAGTTTTCCAAATTGCTTCCCGCAGTGTCGGAGGGCTTTTTGTCCGACGACGAACCTTCGTCCCCAGCCGAGCTTTTGGGTCAATTCCTAGGCTACGTGGCTTCCTTGGTGGACCCATCCACCAGGGGCCAGTTCGACGACGTTTTGGCCGTGGCCCTCACCGAATTTGAATCCAGCTACTTGCAAGGCAACGACGTACACTCTTTGGCCGCCAAACTGCTGTCGGACGACGAAGTGTACCCTACCACCTTGGCCAAAGTCAAGACTCTTATCAAGAACTATTTCAACGCCCGCGTCGCAGCGCAAAGATCCTTCACAAAATCCGACTCTGCCTTGTTCAAGAGCGCGTCGGCCAAAGAATCACAACTCGTGGCCATTTTCGGCGGCCAAGGTAACACAGACGACTACTTTGAGGAACTCCGTGAACTTTACCACACTTACCACAGCATTATCTCGGATGTTATCGAGTCCGCTGCCTCCAAGTTGGCCGAACTTGTCAAATCCACCGACGACACCGAAAAAGTTTACACCCAGGGTTTCGACGTTCTACAATGGCTCCAAAACCCTGAGACCACACCCGACAATGCCTACTTGCTATCTATCCCCATTTCATGCCCCATGATCGGTGTTATCCAGTTGGTTCACTATGCCGTCACCGCTCGCGTTCTGGGCTTCACGCCAGGTGAGTTGAGAGCACATTTGACTGGTGCTACCGGTCATTCTCAAGGTCTTGCAACCGCCGTGGCCATTGCCGAAGCGGACTCGTGGGAGTCTTTCTTCAAGTCCTTGAACAAGACCATCACCCTTCTATTTTTCATCGGTGTTCGTTGCTACCAGGCTTACCCCAACACTTCCATGTCCCCATCCATGTTGGAAGACTCTGCGGAAAACGGAGAAGGAACTCCATCTCCTATGTTGTCGATCTCCAACTTGACCAAGGAACAGGTACAGCAATACGTTGACCAAACTAATGCTCACTTACCATCTGAGAAACACATCGTCATCTCTCTAGTTAATGGTGCCAGAAACTTGGTTGTTACTGGTCCACCACAATCTTTGTACGGTTTGAATTTGACTTTGAGAAAGGCCAAAGCTCCAGCGGGTTTGGATCAAGCCAGAATTCCTCACAGCGAAAGAAAACTAAAGTTCTTTAACAGATTTCTACCAATCGCCTCTCCCTTCCATTCCCATCTTTTGGAACCTGCCAATGCTTTCATCAAGCAAGACCTTGAAGATGCTGGCTTGGAATACAGCGAGTCCGACTTGAAAATCCCAGTCTACGATACTTTTGATGGTAAAGATTTGAGAAAATACCAAGGATCTATCGCTGAAAGAATCACCTTGTGCATCACCAAATTGCCTGTTAACTGGGAAATTACCACCCAGTTTAAGGCCTCTCATATTCTAGACTTTGGTCCCGGTGGATCTTCTGGTCTTGGTGTTCTCACTCATCGTAACAAAGATGGTACTGGTGTCCGTGTCATCGTTGCTGGCGCTTTGGAATACAACCCAGATGATGAGTACGGTTTCAAACAAGAAATTTTCGATGTCTCTTCTGAGGGTCTCAAATACTCTCCCAACTGGATTGAAGAATTCCATCCTAAATTGGTCAAGACCAAGGGCGGTAAAGTCTACGTTGACACCAAATTCTCGAAGCTTCTCGGCCGTGCACCATTGTTGGTGCCTGGTATGACTCCTTGTACCGTTTCACCAGACTTTGTTGCCGCTACAATCAACGCTGGTTACAGTATTGAATTGGCCGGTGGTGGTTACTTTTCCCCTGCTCATATGACAGCTGCCATTGACTCTGTGGTATCTCAGATTAAAAAGGGTTATGGTCTAGGTATCAACTTGATCTACGTTAACCCAAGAATGTTGCAATGGGGTATTCCAATGATCAAAGAGTTGAGAGAGAAGGGTTATCCAATCCAGTCTATGACCATTGGTGCCGGTGTCCCATCTTTGGAAGTTGCTTCCGAATACATTGAAACCTTGGGTCTAACTTACTTGGGTTTGAAACCTGGCTCTATCGATGCCATCTCCCAAGTGATAGCCATTGCCAAGGCCCACCCCACTTTCCCTATCGTCTTGCAGTGGACCGGTGGTAGAGGTGGTGGTCACCACTCCTTCGAAGACATGCATTCTCCAATCTTCCAAATGTACTCTAAGATCAGAAGATTGTCTAACATCATCTTGGTTGCCGGTTCCGGTTTCGGTTCCGCTGATGACACTTATCCTTACTTGACCGGTGAATGGTCCACCAAGTTCAACTACCCACCAATGCCATTTGATGGTTTCTTGTTCGGTTCCAGAGTGATGATTGCCAAGGAGGCCAAGACTTCCCCAGATGCCAAAAAGGCTATTGCGGCTTGTACCGGTGTCAGCGATGACAAATGGGAGCAAACTTACAAGAAGCCTACAGGTGGTATTGTCACCGTTCGTTCCGAAATGGGTGAACCAATTCACAAGATTGCAACCAGAGGTGTGATGCTTTGGAAAGAGCTAGATGAGACAATTTTTAACCTTCCAAAGAACAAACTTCAAGCAGCTTTGGACGCCAAGAGGGATTACATCATTGCCAAGTTGAACGCAGACTTCCAGAAGCCTTGGTTCGCCACTGTCAACGGGCAGGTTCGTGACATTACCGACATGAACTACGAAGAAGTCGCTCAAAGACTAGTCGAGTTGATGTACTTGAGATCGGCCGGAAAGTGGATTGATGTCACCTGGAGAAACTTCACCGGTGATTTCTTGCGTCGTGTTGAAGAACGTTTCACCAAAACGAAAACCGCTTCTTTGCTCCAGTCTTACTCGGTCTTGGACCAACCTGACAAAGTCTTGGCTACTATCTTTGATTCTTATCCTGCTGCTAAGACTCAATACTTGAACGCACAGGATGTGGATTACTTCTTGAGCTTGTGTCAAAACCCAATTCAAAAGCCAGTTCCTTTTGTGCCTGTTTTGGACCAAAGATTGGAGTTCTTCTTCAAGAAGGATTCTCTATGGCAATCTGAGTATTTGGAAGCTGTTGTTGACCAAGACGTGCAGAGAACTTGTATTCTTCACGGACCTGTCGCTGCCCAGTTTACCAACAAAGTGGATGAGCCTATTGAAAGCATCATGGACGGTATCCATAATGGCCACATCGAAAAGCTTCTAAAGGACTTCTACAACGGTGATCGCTCCAAAATCCCTGTCGTAGAATACTTTGGTGGTGAAGACCCAGAAGTTGTCAGCTTCGATTCCGTTGAAACCGATGGTAAAATCATTTACCGCGCTTCCGCAACGACAGATGAGAAGGAGTGGTTCAAGCTATTGGCTGGCCCTAAGAAGAACTGGAGACATGCCTTTTTCTCCACTCCTAGAGTTGTTCAGGACTCCATGTACGTTGAGAACCCTGTTCGTAAGGTGTTCAAGCCAACAGCTCAATCCGTTGTTCAAATTTCTAACTCTGATGACCCAGAAAAGTGTGTGATCACTTTGCTCGAACCAGTTCAGGGAACGTTGAAACCAACCGTTTCTTTGCGCTTGAGCAAGGACAACTTGATGGAGCTCAACTTGATCGAAAACAGAACGATGGATGGCAACCCTGTCAGCTTGCCGTTGCTCTACAACTACCAGCCAGAAGATGGTTTCGCACCAATCTCAGAGGTGATGGACGGCCGTAATGACCGTATCAAACAGCTGTACTGGAAGCTATGGGTGGATGAGCCTTTCAACCTTGAGTTTGATGCTAAGAAGCCCATCGATGGTGGTGATATCACCATTACCGCAAAGGACATCGCTGAATTTACCCATGCCATTGGAAACAAATGTGAAGACTTCGTCTCGAGACCAGGCAAGAAGCTTCTAGCGCCAATGGACTTTGCGATCGTCGTGGGCTGGAGAGTTATCATCAAGGCTATCTTCCCTAAGACTGTTGACGGCGATCTTTTGAAGCTTGTTCACATGTCGAACGGTTACAAAATGATCCCTGGTGCCGAGCCACTACAAGAAGGAGATGTGATTTCTTCTAGCGCTCTTATCAAGAGTGTGGTCAATCAGCCAAACGGTAAAGTTGTTGAAGTTGTTGGAACCTTGAGTAGAAAGGGTTCTCCTGTGATGGAAGTCACTTCTACCTTTTTCTACCGCGGTAAGTACACAGACTTTGAAAACACTTTTGAGAAGATCGCCGAGCCTGTGTATCAAGTTAAGATCAACAGCGCCAGAGACGTTGCAGTCTTGCGCTCGAAGGAATGGTTCCAGTTGGACGATGAAGAAATTGACTTGCTTGGAAAGACCTTGACTTTCGAAACCGATACATCTGTTACGTTCAAGGACGAAACAATTTTCAACAGTGTCAAGTGTGAAGGTAAGATCAAGATGGAGTTGCCAACTAAGGAAAAGGTTGAAATTGGTGTAGTTGACTATGAAGCTGGGGAATCTCACGGTAACCCAGTTGTTGACTACTTGAGCAGAAACGGCTCTACCATGGAACAGAAAGTGAACCTTGAAAACGCTATTCCGATTGCAGTCAAGGAAACCCAAGCTCCAGGTACCAATGAACCTTACGCCAGAGTGTCTGGCGATCTCAACCCAATTCACGTTTCGCGCCATTTCGCCGACTACGCCAACTTGCCAGGTACTATCACCCATGGTATGTACTCGTCCGCCGCCGTCCGTGCTCTAGTCGAGACGTGGGCTGCCGATAATGTTTCCGCCAGAGTTCGTGCCTACAGCTGTCAATTTGTGGGCATGGTGCTTCCAAACACTCCCCTCAAAACTACTATTCAGCACGTCGGTATGATCAATGGCCGCAAGCTGATCAAGTTTGAAACTCAAAATGATAGCGACGAGACTGTTATGGTCGGTGAGGCTGAAGTTGAGCAACCCGTTTCAACTTTCGTCTTTACTGGTCAAGGTTCTCAGGAACAAGGTATGGGTATGGACTTGTACGAGAAATCTGATGTCGCTAAAACTGTTTGGGACAGGGCCGATGCTCACTTTAAGAAGACCTACGGTTTCTCTATCTTGGATATCGTGAGAAAGAACCCTACTGAAATGACCATCTACTTTGGTGGTGAAAAGGGTAGGAAAATCAAGGCCAACTACACTCAGATGATTTTCGAAACCATTGTCGACGGTGAGTTGAAGACCGAAAGAATTTTCAAGGACATTGTTGAAGAGACCACTTCTTACACATTCAGATCGCCAACTGGTCTATTGTCTGCTACTCAATTCACACAGCCAGCGTTGACTTTGATGGAAAAGGCTTCTTTTGAGGACTTGAGATCGAAGGGCTTGATCCCAACAGATGCTGCTTTTGCTGGTCATTCTTTGGGTGAATACGCTGCTCTTGCCTCTTTGGCCGATGTGATGTCTATCGAGTCTCTAGTAGAAGTTGTATTCTACAGAGGTATGACCATGCAAGTTGCTGTGCCAAGAGATGAGCTTGGAAGATCGAACTACGGTATGGTGGCTGTCAACCCAGGCCGTGTTTCCCCAACTTTCAACCAAGACGCTTTGAAATTCGTTGTCGCTTGCGTTGATAAGAGAACCGGGTGGTTGGTTGAAATTGTCAACTACAACGTTGAGAACCAACAGTATGTTGCCGCTGGTGACTTGAGAGCCCTTGACACTTTGACAAACGTTTTGAACTTTGTCAAGATCCAAAAGATTGATATTGTCAAGCTTCAAGCCACGATGTCGCTCGAGGAGGTTGAAAGCCACTTGAACGAAATCATTGACGAAGTCTCCAAGAAATCAGAGGAGAAGCCACAACCAATTGACTTGGAAAGAGGCTTTGCCTGTATTCCACTACGTGGTATCTCTGTGCCTTTCCACTCTTCATACCTAAGAAACGGTGTGAAGCCTTTCAAGAACTTCTTGAAGAAGAACATTGTCAAGGAGAATGTGAATGCTGACAGATTGATTGGCAAGTACATTCCTAACTTGACTGCCAAGCCATTCCAAATCTCTAAGGAATATTTCCAAGATGTTTACGAGCTAACCGGCTCTGAAAAGGTTAAGGAAGTCTTGGACAACTGGGAAAAATACCAAAACTAATCTTTATAAAAGAGAACTTGGGCCCTTGTTTTTGGCTCGAGATGTTTATTCAGTGTTCTACTTTCGAGAAATGCCTCACAGATAGGATTTTGCTTATACTGAACATTTTGGTGGTACTGGGAAATACCATCAATGCACGTTTGTTACATAAAAAGCGATCGAAAGATTGTCGCTTTCCTGGTGAGATCGGGAAAATCTTACTACGAAAGCTACCCTAGAACATGTGGAATACTATTCACTGCTGGCACAAATTCACGACAGCCGTCGCTGGGAAGAAAGACGGTTTTACCCTCTAATGGATGGATATATATATATATATATATATAATAATACAGTATCAGATAAATGACTTTTGAAAAATATCGTTGTTTACTTTTGGTGGGTGGTTATTACGAATTTCGTTCCTCTTGAACTATTATTATGATTATGATTATTGTTACTAGTTTTCTATGGCAATTGTACGGGACTAGTATGGCACTAGCATTAAAACGACTACGACCTTATTGGATTTGGTGCAGAGCCAAGTCCGAGAAGGAATTTAGCCAAGGTTGGTTGGCTAAAAGATCGCCGCCGCCAAAGTCCGTGAGCACGTTGACTTTTTCAAAATATGCTTCTATCGAGTCGTAATCGATGGGTTCTTCAGTAATGTTATTCTTACGTTTGCGACGAGCGCGCTTAGACACGAAAGGCTGGAAATCCGATGCTACTGGTTGGTTTTGTGAGGTCAGAAATTGATTCAGTTTTGCAAGTTTTGGATACTTATTGAACAATTGCGCCTTGGTATATCTATCGACATGTTTTGCGACATGGTTGGCAAGTAGGATATGTGGCTTTTCGAGGGCCAAAACGTTTTCGGTGAGGTCCAATGGGGCATGAGGCAGGAAAAATAGCACACCGATTGCACTTTCTGAGTTCTGACTTATTTCTTCCACAATTGACCAAGTTTCCCCCTGGTCTGCTATGAATTTTTTATCAGCATCTGTGAACACTGGGTCATATATGGATACTTTAACAGCTGTTTCGTTGTTAGCATTCAAAAAATCGACGAGCTCGAGAAGTAGCGCCAGCTGGTATAGAGCCGCAAATTCTTCGAAAAAGCTGCCGATCGCTAGACATCTAATCTGGCGTATTTTTAGCGAAAATGCTTCCAATTGGCTCTGCAATGTTTTGAACATCTTCGATTTCCTGACGATGCATCTTCTTTCTTGAAGCGATTCTTCGAAAGTGCTGGTATTCAGCTTTGCACTTGTTCTGCCCACTTTTTTGAATTCATCATCGCCTGCGACCTTCTCAGAGGGTATCATGCGTGTAGCTGAGCTCGTGAGCGAATTGAGTGGGTGATGCTGTCGTCGATGGGTGTGGTAGGCGATGAGATGGGTTATGAGAGCCAATTTATCTAGTATTGAAGGTCACGTGGAGGAGATTGAAGAGTGAGTTGTAACGGTCAGAAAGGACAGGATTGTGGTGATGAGTAGCGTTTAATTCAGGTCCGTGTGTGTGGTGAAGAGCTGCTGGAGACAGCGATAGTGAAAAGGGACGGGGAAAAGACTGCACATTTTACACTAAACACTTTTAGGCCCCGCTATCACCATGTACGCGTGTGTCATCTGGCCATACATCAACACACTACGATTCTATGCTCATACCTATGTTTCTCGAGAGTCCACTCTGTTACGAGGCCGCAGGGCGGTCAATCATTTTTCGCGAACCATCATGAGTTCGGGACAGGATATCTTTCTATACTTAAAGAACAATTGTACGTATTTAGAAAAAAAAAACAATTCACTGTATCGCCCAATTTGCCAGCTCGAATTCATCCCTATGCTCTTCGACCTACCTCGACTTCGAACTTGCCGCTTTCATTCCACCCGCGCTCTTCATGGCTACGGTTCTCTGTGGCTCACTACCACATATCACTTTTTCCCAGCTTGACACACTCACAATATTATATAAATCCACACCGAAAAATTCGAGTTCAACCGCCGAACAAAAGACAAGCATAACCTCGCCCCGCCTAAAACCAAATGCCAACCCACCGCACACCATAACCACGCCGATAAACTGTGTAAATTCGAGCTCGTCAAATTAATATCACCATGCACGAAGCTATAAAAAACACTACGAAAACACAGCGAAATCTGCCACGTATTTCAACGCCAAATTACAGTCCATTTACCCAACGACCTTCACCAAATTCACTACCACTCTTCAAGCCCATCAATCAAAATCATCATCATCATCATCGACTCATCACGTGCTTCTTTATCTTTCCTCGCCGTCGAAATTTTTTTCCCTCTTCCTTTTCCACCACTATAAAATTTACTATCTCTATCTCGTCGCTCTTCCATATTCTCTCTTCATCAACTTAATGGATTCTACTCGATTCATAGTTGAATGCTTATACTGATTGCAAGATAGTGTCAACTAATCGTTGGAACTAGGACGCAGTATTTGTAGCCTTTTTTTTGAAGCTTAAACCGTGGGGTTTTAGGTATAAAAGGGCCAAGTTAAAACCCATCTTGTGGACGGGAAATCTGGGCTATTCTCGACGAAAAAGTGCAGGAAAATACATCTGAATAGTTGTGGAATTGATCAGGTTGTTGTAAATAGACAGCAGAGATCGAAACTGGCGCTGAAAACGCAGTCAAAAAAGTGGTTGGTTCTTGACAATTGGGCTGCCCACCGTGAGTTTGTCCAAGCTTGAAGAGTCGTGCGATTGGCGACGCAAGGAAATGCGGAAGTGTAAGGTTTTTGTGGGCAATTCCCATCCAGAACTCGGGAATTTGGTATGCCAAAGACTGGGCATAGAACCCGCTCCATGCACGCTGAAAAAATTCGCCAACGGCGAGACTTCGGTGCAAATCGGCGTTTCTGTGCGTGACGAGGACGTGTACGTAATCCAGTCTGGGTCTCCAGCCATCAATGATCATATCATGGAGCTGTTGATCCTGGTTTCCGCATGCAGAGGCGGTTCTGCTAAGAAAATCACAGCCGTTGTGCCACAATTCCCATACTCTAAACAGTGCAAAATGAAGAAACACAGAGGCGCCATCACGGCCAGAATGCTTGCCAATTTGCTTATCATGGCTGGTGCGGACCATGTCGTTTCTATGGACCTCCACGCCTCGCAAATGCAAGGCTTCTTCAGCAAACCCGTCGACAACCTTTACGGCGGGCCCAGCTTGGCCAAGTGGATCAGAGAAAATGTCGAAGAGTTCGCTGACGCAGTGGTTGTATCGAAAAACCCAGGTGGCACCAAGAGAGTCACGGCACTAGCAGACTCGCTCAAAATAAATTTCGCCATGATTCACACCGATCGTCGCCGTTCAAAGGATTTGTATGCCCAAAACAGGAATAAGACCCAGCTCATGCAGAGAAAGCAGTCTATGTTAAGGAAAAACAAGCCTATTATCAGGCCCGGAGAAACTCCCGGCGAGGAGGAAAACATCATCCTTACAAACGGTATGCAGACTGCAAGAGTAGTCAAGGGACACGTTGTCGACGACGACGATTACGCCGACGACGCATGCATTTCTGAATCAGAAAACGACTCAGATGCACTTTATTCCACCGATTCTTACGCCCTAGGATCTTACGACGCCGTTGACTCGGAAGACGAAGAGGGTCCCGAATTCGTTGACCAAGAAAAGTTGATCACTTTGGTTGGAAACGTCCACGGACGTTCTGCGATTATACTGGATGACATGATAGATAGACCTGGCTCTTTTATCAGCGCGGCGGAGCATCTGGTGAAAAATTGTGGAGCTAAGAAGGTCTACATCATAGCTACCCACGGTGTTTTCACTGGTGACTGCTTAGAACAATTGGAGAGCTCCAGCTCAATTCATCAGGTTGTCGTCACAAACACATATCCCATCTCCCAGCAAAAAATGCAATGCTCCAACAAGCTGGTGGTGATTGATGTATCGTCCATTTTTGCAGAGTGCATTCGCCGTGACCACTACGGAGAAAGTATCTCTGTTCTTTTCGACTCTTTGGCATCGTTGTGAAGCCAAAACAGTTGACCTGCACATTAATTTATATCGGAATCAATAACATTGGCAATCACCTCTCTTGAGTTAAGTTTTACACCTAAAGCGCAAACACCAATGTTGCAATCACAGGATTGCAGGACATGCCTCACATTCCAGGGGCATTGTACTAACGGAGCATTGGAAGAATAAATCCTGTCGTTTGAGTTTCAGCTCTAGCTATTTTGGCTAGAGCTTTGAAATGGTGTGACCGCAGCCAATTGCGATTCTTAACCATATTATTTCATGGAAACATCAAGAACGACCACATACCGCAAAGCGTAGCTCGACTTAAATCAAAACGTCATCTTGAATGGTTGAACGTAGCAGAAAACACCTAAAAGGTTTCTTGACGGGCATACTCGCGTAATTCGCATACTTCTTTTCTTGACCAACATAACACTTAAGTACTCAGCACCGCTACATCGAATGCGACACGTAATGAAGAATGACTTGATCAACAGGAAGTCCAGAGATAGAGATGATGAGTTGAGTGGTTTTACGAATTATTAACTATTTACAAGCACCTTGCCCAATTACATGCAACATTTCCTGTCATTTTCTTCTTTGTCGTGAGCGACAGAGCTCAAAGTAGTGGCACCGCCGCACGCAGTCAATGGCTCGAAGTTGAAGAACAATCTGCCAAACAAAGCTCCTAGCAAACAACTGATGATAATGTACCCATTGTAGTACATGAACAGCAACATGATGATGTAAGACAACCCCCATTGAAGAGTGAAAATCCCTGCGCGCAAAATGTGGTCTAGTACCGTTGGGTAAACGTTAACAGAGGTAGAACAGCGCACAAGTGGCTCAAGAGCTCCGAACTCGTCGCTGATTCTATGGGAAACGTACCAAGTGTGCGACAAAGTGGCACCCAGCGCCTTCATAGTGGTCATAAAGTCGGACTCACTGGTCAATTGCTGCAAAGTGAGCGCGGCCGAGTCAGAAAGGGTTGAAGAAGAGCCATCTTCAACGGCCATGTCGCCCGAATGCTTGCACAAAACTTTGAATTTGCGTCTCTTGGCCAATTCCAAGTCAAACTGTCTCGAAACTCTGTTCAACCATTGAGCAACGAAAACCAACAGGAAGCACCCGATACAGGAGCCTGCAAACTTGCCTCGTGTGTCGTTTCTCCAGGATCTCGAGATGAAGCACGTGTCAATGGTGTACCAGTTCCAAAGCATCGAAATTTTGCAGGTTTTTCCACTTGTGGATCCACCACCCATCGACATTCTAAGGACCGGATCGCTCATAGTTTGACTGGCCATCTTGGTAGAAATCTTGTTAAGTTTTGGAGGCTTTTAGTTCTTGGTCTGTTTTGTTTTTCTTAAAGCTGGCGCGGATTACGTAATTATCGTGAAATCTCAAGCACTTTAAACCGTACTGTATAAGAAAGCCAATAAAGCAGTAAATGGTGATGATGTATTCACGCCATATTTTCAACGGGCATACATCACGCACATTTTCGAAGCTTTATATACCTCGTCTGGCAGAATCAATATGCGCAACTGTGTGCTCATCTCATTTCAATTATTTTGCTCAACGTGCTCATCAAAAAACCTTATGAGCATTTAAACAGGATTAAGGCCGCTACGTCCTTAGAGCGCATCATGTAACCTTTCTTATCCTCGCGATGCACCAATGTGGTTGAGCAAATTCGATAACTTTATTGATCACACGTCGAATATCTCTATTGTTACGCTTTAGTAGAACTTAATCAACTGAAGGCAGCCGTAATTGTTGGACATCTTGGAAATCTATGTTCAATTCGCAACTCAGCTTACTCGGACTGACGAGACAAACCTCTGTGGAAAGACAAATTGGGACTGGTGATATTGACAGGAGTGAACTTCTGAGGCAAAATTACTCGACTAAACTTATTTCTCAATTTCTGAGAAACGTAATCCAAATCCAGATGTTTAGTCAAGGATATCTTGGGAATACAGCTGATGTAGTGCTTTTCGTCAAGCTGGACTTCCAAGGGGTCTTGTGTGTGACAACCAGGGGACATTTTGAGTCTGAGTGCATGAGATTTTTGACCAGAACTATCGGTGCTCTCGTATAGCTCGAAGTTAATTTGTGATAGGTAATCCAACTCCGGAAGAGCGTTACGCGCTATTCTCATGGGCAATCCGCTCTCGTAAATGATGTTGAGCAACGTGTAAATGTGCGACTCTTTCGTGAAATAGGCCACACACGCTGGTTCGTCTTTGCTCTTCATGTCGTCAATATCGTTGAGAATTTGTTTTGCTAGCGGAAGCGAAGTCAACAACCCGATGTCGAGCTTCTCTCCATTATCAATTCCGTATTCTTGCGGACAAATGAAGTCAAAGAGAACCTTTGATAATTTATAAAGTTCCCGCAACTGCATGAACTTAGGGTCGTCAAACAGCGAGGATGACTCGGCGGTATTTGAATTGCTCTCCAAAACCCAGCCCAGAGATCCAACACTGCTACCTTTACTCGAGCTTCCCGCGCTCTGTGAGTTAGAGTCGGGGATCTTGAAGTTATTCATGGCCAAGATGTTGATAGGGTACCGATCCACAAGTGAGTCCTTGCAAAGATTCAAGTTGGCTTGCGCGCGGGCATCATTGGATGCGAATATGTGCTCCAAAAATTGACGGTTGTGAAGGGCGTCATATTTCATGGTATCGTATAGCTCCGAGATCTTGGCAGGATCAACTTTCTCAACCGTAACGAACTCCTTGAAAAGCTTATCCCAACGCTCTTTGAACAGCGTTGGGTCCTCCGCGCAGCACCATCTGCGTTGCATCTCATCCACGTCTTTCGTCTCGAAGTTGTAATCCATGACGTGCTTGTGGAAGTTCATCAATTCGACGACACGTTTAATCACAAGGTATGGCTCAGGCATCTTAGCGGGCCAAGCAAACTGTGCAGGAGCTTCTTTCCCCTCTCTCAATAAGGGCTTCAGTTGTTTCTTTACTTTATCCATTAGGTCTTTTGCTGCATTGCTGTCGTCGAGAAGATCCTTCCTGATGCGTATTTCGTCGCTACCCAGTTCATCTGCACCAAATAGAGCCATTGCCCACAACTGAGCCGAAGCCAAAACTCGTCTCTCAGATGAAGAGTAAATTTTGATATTTGGCAGAATCTTCTTGTTCAATAAATCAAAATCTTGTCTCATCTGCTCTCCCAACTCGGTAGCCTGATAGCGCGCGGAATGAGTGGGCTCGCCGCCCCATTTCAAGATAAATTGAACCTTTTCCACTTCCTTTTCGGAATTGAGAATGGGCTTTAATTGAATTTTGGTTCCAGGCAGATCCATCTTCTTCTCCAACGCATTTGCTAAAACTTTAAGCTTTAGTGGGTCCTCGGTATTTTCCTCTCTTGCTATCATTAAAGCCTGTAAAACAACTTTCAAGTCAGAGGAGTTTCTTATAACAACCTCTTCCTTGTGTCCTTTCAACAGGGAGATAAAAATTGGCGACGTGAAGGAGTGCTTGAATTTCTGTTTGGGCGTCCGATCAGCATGGCGAATGACAGTGACCAGGCCCTTGAAAACCCATTTTTGAGTTTTTTCCTCCTTGATAACAGGCAAGTTACGTTTCTCGAGGTCCATTCTTCTCTTGGCCTGCAAAAAGGTATCTCTCAGAATCTTTGCACATGCATCGTAGTAGGCACTGTTGTCTTTGACAAATGAAAACCCGTTGACGTCGATCACATAGCTCTTTCCGTTCACACGCAATAAGTCAAAGCCGCAGATCATTTGCGAGAATATGTTCGTGACACGTTTAGCCATTTCCTTCTCCTCTGCCGATAACTCAGTGATGTATCTGATTTCTTTGCCATGGGTATTTCTGCGCACAATACCGTCTACAACCGGGGACTTTCTAGTCTCGGCATGACAAAAGCCTTCACCCACTGTGTAGGCCTTGACGTCCTCGAAATTGTCGGTGTCCATAAATTCCTCGTAGATGTATGATCCATCGGTACGTGGGTGTACCAAAGTAGGATCAAATTCAGAGCTTTTATTTCCGACTTTACGGAACAGACGTCTGCCACCTCCACCATTTTTGGAGTGATAATAAATGTAAACATTGTGGTCTTCGCCGTCCACTGGTTTCTCTACATAGGGCTTGGTCATTCTCACGCCCTTCACTTCTAATGTGTCATCGTCTACCATTTTCCAGTCTGGCTCTTTGCAAGGTTTGACTTCGATGCCCCGTTCGAGAAGCTTGGCTTTCAATGCGGCGTCAACACGCGGTCCCCCATCTCTACTAATCTCTAGCCTTGGCGGCGTTGGTACTTTGGAGATGTCTAAAAGCTTGAGACAAAGTCTTCTATCCCATAAGGCCTTTTGCATCACCAGATCGTTGATGAAGAAAGGCTTACGTAGATTAACGTAATCAATCGCCTTGTTGAGTGGGAAACCGGACGAGAAGAAACTTATGAGAAAGTCACAAGTAGGCCAACTTTCTTTGTTTTCATCGAGAATGACTTTGTCACCAAAGATGATGGTTTCAAACTCACCATTCTCGATCAAACGATTCAAAATGTGTCTGCACGGTTTGGACAGTACTTTGGCGTCCATGGCACACACACCAATTTTGCCAATTTTTGGCAACTGTGGTTTTCCAACGCTAGCAGAAGGCTTGCGAGAAGAGCCTGCGGAACTTGTAGCGGAACTTGTGGTAGTTTCCCCATGGGCATCGACTCCGCCTGAGTCACTGTTTCCCTGTCCTTGATCCGACGTGGTTTGGCTCGAAAGAGAACCAGAGCTTCCAGGAATCGAGGTGTTTGGATTCAAATTGGAATTACTCTTTAGCCTTTGTAACACAAGTCCTGGATGGACGTTATCGTACGAATTGGTAGGAGATAGACCTGGTCTGGACGAAGAAGACGAATGTTGAGAATTGATGCTTAAAGTCCTGTTCAAACTCATGTCGCATCCAATGTCATCTTCTACATGCGTTTGATGTGGACTTCCGGGAGGTGGCAGTTTCAAAGATGTGTTTTCGCTGGCTGAAGTCTTGGGACTAAAGCCTTCTAAAATCGGTGCGATTGACTCCATGGCTTTCTTAGTCTTGTTGTTGAGGAGCAACGGTGAAACGGGCCCTTGCGAAGCATCCTTCCTGGTGCTATCGCTCATTTTGGGCTTAGTTGAGACTGTTCTTCGATGAAGAAATGTGGAATCGTCTTGTAGCGATTTTTGATTTCAATATATATAAAATTTCGAGGGCGACGCATGCTTACGATTTATATTGTAAACAGTATTAAAGACAACAGCTGTTCTTTATCGGGCATCACAAACATCCTCATCGAGTAGCAGGACTTTGAATTCGTTATGAAAGTGTTGAAACCAAAATAATTGGTTTTTCTGGCCAAGTGCCAGCATAAAATGATTTTCAAGCTTTAATTTCGGTGTCTTACCATTTTCTCGACCTGGAGGTGAAACTGGCGCGATAAAGACATTTTTAAACTTCTAGCTTATGTGCCAAGATAAGCGAGCGTCTTCTTGAAGCTGGGGTTCTGACTATCTATGATGGTGTCTCTTTGTCTATATAGAAATTTCCCTTAATATGTATGACATTTTTAATATATCACCAAATCATATGCGGGTCTCGCATGAAAATGCACGGTGGTGCTCAACAGTAAGGGCGTAATATGGCTTGGTAGTGATGTGTGGATTGCGAGCCGATGTCAAAGATCCGACGTTTAGTATTGATTGTCAAGCTTCGCAATTTTAAAAACCAATTGCACCTCTGTCGTCTTTTATGGGATGGGTGACTGATCCAGCATTGCATAATAGTTCAAACCACTTATAAAAGTTAAGAAAAAATGCCAGTACTCAAAGATTCGAATGGAAAGTGTCTCGCGCCAGCGTATGCCTCTGAATTACTCGATCCTCCTCATTTGTGTTTGTTGTGGATTCCTAAGCCAATTTTTGTCAACTAACAAGCTTTTCAATGATTGAGAGCACGATCAGCACATCCACAGTCATCCTAGAAGGCTCAAATTCAATCAGTTGCGCCCGTCGTCGGCCATATCATGTACGCTGCTGCCGCTATAGAGATCATTCTATACATATGTGTCGCTCATATATGATGTCACGTGACTTCACAAAAATCTCAACTTTTATTCGCTTTGACTCCAAGCCCAGCTCAAGGCCTCTGTTGAGCATGCACGTATCTGGCAGGCAATATTTCAAGCCCACACACAATCAGAACACAGTCTCTTACGTGTCTTTCCATCGTTTTGTCGCTTAAAAATAAAGCAGGGCTGTTAAATTAGTCCGTACAACGTGATTTAAGCATTTTCAGCGCTCTCGACAGCTATGAAGAACCTGCGATGAGCTCCACTTCACTGCTCAGACAACATCGATACAAGTGCACTTTTGTTGATGACCGAGGCACTCAAGAAGCGTAAGCTCGCTGACAACGGAGCAGATGCTCGCAAGATCGCCAGATCCAAAGTTTTGTCGCCATTCCGGATTGTTGGAAACGTCTCGAATGGTGTTCCTTTCGCAGTCGGTACGCTCGGAAGCACTTTTTATATCGTCACCAGCGTGGGCAAAAGCTTTCAGATTTACGACGCCAATAATTTGCATTTGCTATTTGTGAGCGAGCAGGAAACAGATGCATCTATCACTTGTTTGGCGACACATTTCCAATTCGTCTTCGTCGGGTTTGGCAACAAAGTGGGAACCTACAGAAGAGGCCGTCTGGAGCACCTGCTTGAAATACCCGATTCAGACGTAACAGTCACCAATATTTGTGTTTTCGGTGACTTTATGTGCGTCTCGTCCGACAAAAACACGGTCTATGTTTTCAAGCGTAACCCTCAGGACAAATTCGCCACGGTCTTCTACACGAGACTTTCGATCTCAAAACTGCAGGGCTCGGATATCGTTTCCGTCATTCACTTGCCAACGTATTTGAATAAAATTGTTGTGGTGACTAAATCGAATTTGCTCGTGTACAACGTGAAGTCTGGCAAGCTCCTCTACACATCTGATGAGTTGCCTTACTTTATAACTACCGCTGAAGCCGCTCCTGTTCTCGATATAGTTGCATTAGGATGTGCTTCGGGTGAAATCATTCTGTTCAACGTCAAGAAGGGCCGTAAAGTGCGGTCCATCAAGACTCCTGTCAATATCTCCTCTTTGTCTTTCAGAACAGACGGAGCTGCCCACTTGGCAGTCGGGGCCACGAACGGTGACTTGATTTTCTATGACTTGGATCGCCGTTCGCGTATTCACGTTTTGAGAAACGTTCATCGAGAGCAGTTTGGTGGGATCTCTAGAGCTATCTTTTTGAATGGTCAGCCCATAGTTGTAACTTCTGGTGATGACAATCAGTTGAAAGAGTACGTTTTCGACCCTTCTCTTTCTCAAGGTGATGCAGAAGCCGTCGTCCAACCACCTCGATTCTTGAGGTCCAGAGGAGGTCATTCCCAGCCTCCTACCTCCATTCTGTTTGCTGACGATCAGTCTCATTTTCTCTTGTCGGCCTCCAGCGATTGCTCATTATGGGGATTCTCCTTGCGCAAAGACGCTCAGTCGCAAGAGCTATCTCAAAGACTGCACAAGAAGAAAGATGGCGGAAGAATTGCAGGTGCTACCCTCAAGGGAAAATTCTCAGAAGTTCTGTCCATGGCGATCGAGAATGCCAGGCAAGGTGAGTGGGAGAACGTTATTACGGCCCACAAAGATGAGCAATTTGCAAGAACCTGGAATCTTGCTACGAAGAGAGTCGGAAGATGGACTTTGAATACTATCGACAGTGGACTGGCGAAGAGCGTGGCTATATCCTCTTGCGGAAATTTTGGTTTTGTAGGCTCATCGAATGGTGGTATTGGTGTCTACAACTTGCAGAGCGGGCTTCCTCGAAAGAAGTACAAGCTACACAAGAAGACCGTGACCGGCATTGCGGTTGATGGCATGAATAGGAAGATGGTTTCATGTGGTTTGGATGGAATTGTGGGGTTTTACGACTTCAGCAAATCTGCGTACCTCGGAAAATTGCAGCTTGATGCTCCAATTACGTCGATGATTTATCATAGATCGTCCGACCTTTTTGCCGTCGCTTTGGATGATTTCTCGATTGTTGTTATCGATGCAGTGACGCAAAAAGTGGTTAGACAATTGTGGGGTCATTCAAATAGAATCAGCTCCTTTGATTTCTCACCAGAAGGGCGCTGGATCGTTTCAGCGTCTTTAGACTCCTCTGTCAGAGTATGGGACTTGCCAACAGGTACATGTATAGACGGTATTCGTCTCGACAGCGTTGCAACAAACATCAAGTTTTCGCCCAACGGCGATTACGTGGCCACCACACATGTGCACGGTAATGGTATCTCGATCTGGACAAATCGTGCGCAGTTCAAGCCATTGCCAGCCCGTCAAATTGACGAAAAAGATTTTGCTCAAATCTCTTTGTTCACTTCATTCGGTAGCTCCGGCACCTCGATACTTGATGGTGCATTTGATGAGCAAGCGTCCAGTGAAGAACAAGGCGACGAGTTTGGTCAATACGAATCTGTGAACCAAATAAACGGCGACTTAATAACGCTTTCGTTGGGTCCAAGAAACAAGCTGAAAACCCTATTGAACTTAGACGTGATGAGACAGCGTTCAAAGCCTCTTGAGCCGCCAAAAAAGCCGGAGAAGGCACCTTTCTTCTTGCGACTTTCTGGTGAGAAGGTCGGAGACGATGCCATTGGAAGGGAGAACGAGAATTCTGCAGACACCGCCGCAAACGCAAGACTAGAGCAGGAGAAGGAAAAAATGTCTTCCGAAGCTGAGGATCAAATAAGAAAGCACAAACCTGGCATTGGTGCGTTCGAGTCTAATTTCACTAGACTACTGAGAGAAGGACACGCGGCAAAGAACTACACTTCCTTCTTGGACGAGCTAGTGGGTCTTTCACCTGCGTCGGTCGATATGGAGATCAGATCACTGAACTCTTTTGAGCCCTTTGAAGAGCTTACTTGTTTCTTAGAGGCTCTGACCGAAGGTTTGAGCTCTAACAAAAACTATGAACTGTATGAAGCGTTCACGAGTCTGCTGTTCAAAGCGCACGGTGACGTGATTCACGGCAACAATAATAACACAGAATTAAGCGCGGCATTGGAATGTCTAGGTGAAACGCATCTGCAGAATAAGAGACTTGATGCCATGGTCAAGTACTGCTCGAGCGTGGCTAATTTTGTCTCATCCGCTTGAAAGAAAAGACATATATGCTATGCTATCTTTTGTAAATTTCAATAGTACAGTACTCTATACTCTTCAATCCGTTGTGTCATGGCATCAACTGGATTCTATACTTTTCCGGCAATTGTAATGAGTCAAAACTCGGCCGTTGAGATTAGGAAACCACAGAACTAATGTATCGCGGCTACCTTTTAGTGTCTTGTGGCAAACAAAACATTTTTGTTCTTCACTAATTATGCAGTACTTCGAGAGCTCGTCGTTAAGCTCTGAAGTTTTATTGACAAGCTCAACTTGTAAGAGATTCTTCTCCATTCTCACCCGGTTCTTTCTCAAAGATGAACTCTCGATTTCCTTGGCCAAAATTTGTTGTAGATCTTTTAATGATAGGTCAGAAGGTATTTTTGCCAAGGTTTCTGCGCTATCGAGTTTTGATCCAAATTCTTCTAGGAAGCGTATAATGGTTAGGGGTCCAGCATCGTTACGTTTGCTTCTTTCAATCACCAGGTCGAAAAAAAGATTGAATAAGACCACGCCCGCGCGGGCATCTTCTTGATACACATCGGAGCAGTAGGCGGCGGTGAATGTGTAATTCGAAAGCTCTTCAAAAAGAATATGAAGAGCTTTGTTATGTTCCCCCAGCGCTTTCAGGGGATAAGTTTTAAGCTTTTTAATCAGTAGAGTAGACTCGCCGTCTGATGTTTCACTGCCAAGAACATTATCCAGCATTCTTATAACGGTCCGCGGCTCGTAAGAGTCTGCTGACTTCAATATAGCTTCCAGCTTGCGGGCTTCTTTGTGATCAGATACTTTTTCTAGGTACCTTTCGATTAATTTCATGAACACGGTATTCTCGGAGGCGTCAAAAGCATCGACAATAAACTCCAAGTATTTGAGCGACAAGTCGTGGTCGATTTTATCGATAAACTCGTAAACATCAGAAAAATTGAAGGTTGCGCAATGTGGACTGTAGTTCATGAAAATGCTTGTTATCAAAACTTTTGAGTCTTCTGGAAATCTCTCTATAAGCCAATGTGTGTATTCAAAAATGGTAGGTAATGCAGATTGTGGCAGCTTCTTGAGGTAGTCAACAACAAGCATTTTAATGTTGGTTGCGATGATCTTAGGGTGTGCAGATTTCACATTACTCCCAAGATCTGTTAGTAGCTTTAAAGCCATATCGTGCTTTCCCCTCATGAAGTAAAAGTTTACTAATTCCTGTATTTTCATATTCTTAGACAATTCTTCCACAACTGTCTCAAAATCACAATCGTTTTGTACTCCCGTGAAAGGGTCTAACATTGCAGGATTGAATTCAAGGTATACCTTGAAAATACAAGTGTCGACAAGTTTGAGCAGAGACCCGATACTTCGTTCTTGGTGGTGGTTGACGAGGAAAAACTGGAGGTCAACATTAATTGCTCTTTCTTCATAACTCCACTGAATTGTGCCCTTCTTAGCCAGATTGTGAAGATTCCGTCTAATGTCCGTAAGATATGGTAGACACCATTTGTTCATAATACGACCAGAAATATTGCTTGCGTGTAGTCTTTGGCGGGCATTCAATTCGCCTGAAATTCCATCATCGAGTAATTTCGCCACGAACCGTGGAAAACAGTGACCAATCACCAGCTCAGGCGGTGCTAGAAAATCTATAAGGTTATCGAAAACACCCTTTATAATAAGTTCCTGTAAGCCCAATGCTCTTTTTACGTTCTTAGATGTGTTTTGAGCATGTTCAAACCACTGCTGGCATCTATCAAAGCATGCGAAGCTCCACAAGACAGTTAAATCTCGAAGCTTGAGAGCATAAATATCGAGTGTCTGTTCGTAGCTGTCACATCCAAAGCTTTCGCAGAGTGACAGTTTATTTTTGTGACTAAGAATAGCCTGATAAAAAGTAATGGCTTTAAGCGTTCGTATAGCGGTTCCTTCTTCCACAGCCGAGAAATCATCCTCAACAGTAGAGAAAGTAGAATGATCATCTCTTATTATCAGTTTGTAGAGCTGTAAAGTATTTGCGCACGTCCAAACAAGCAAATTCGAGTTTTGAGCTTTGAAAACCTTTTTTATCCCTTCTTTGATGTTGAGATCCAAGAAACTGAATCCATACTGAAATTCGACTATCCTTATCGAATTATTGTTGTGAAGTAGAAGAAAGTTCGATGACAAGTACTGGATGTCATCGAATTGATCATTTGCGTCGAAAAAAAGGTCCCAATTCGACGCCGACACCCGAGATACTTGCGAACTGCCGACACTTATCTCTAGTTTTTTTCGTGTCTGGCCATCGAGCAGCACGATTGGTTCATGAGCTGCCGGTCGGAATAGCAGCTTTTTCTTGCGTAGTCCACCTCGAGTTTCCCGACGTTGAAACAAATGCCCATAACGTACTTTTTGGGATAGACTAGACATGCTGGACATAGAAGAAACTTCATTTTGACTGCTTTTCTCGGAGGAAGAGCTTTCTTCCAGCTCTTTCAAAGCGTCGTAAATAGTCCGAGGCCAAACTGGTGCGGTTACTTTGGTGAGTCTTTGCAGCGAAAGGTCATTGAGATTCCAGTAGTAATAGCCGATATTTGTTACCAAAATAAATCCGGTGCGCTCCATTTCCATAGAAAGAATCTCTTCTCCTTTACTGCTGAGATTTAGCTCTGAGACACTTTTGAAAGTGCGACCGTTCCAAAGAAAAAGCTTCAGTTTGCCAGCTTTTTGAGGGTAGAATAGAAGCGCTGTCATTGATCCATGAGTGCTGCAAGGCTGCTCGAAGACCCAGGCTTCTTCTATTCCCCTTTTTTCCACGATCTTGTCGAACTGGTTCAGGTTTGCACTGTTCAACAGAACGATGCTCTTTGCGCAAACCGCAAAAACGGTGGCAAGCTGGTGCGAATATAGCATTCTGTAAATGGTGGTATCTGTTCCATTGTTTTTCATTAGGTGATTGTAGGTCTGGGTTAGCCTTAGAGACTGTCCTTCGTACGAGTACACCAACACATGCCCAGCTTGGTTGGCAGCCAGTACTCTGGACGCTTCAGCAATTGGCAGAATGGACGTTATATCACTGCTAGCAATCCATGATAATTGTTTGGCCCTTAGCATCTGCGAGGTGGTCGAGTTCGGACATGTACTCACGTAGAGGAAATGAGTGTACATTTCTAAGGTTTGCCCCATTTTAAAGTGTTTGCCTCGAGTACTTAAAATTAAGACCACGAGTACTTATCAAAGGGTATTATTCAACGCTGTCGCTGTTACAGCTAGCTGAGTCCTGCCGGCTTAAAGCTTGTTTGGGCAGTTCTCTGATTTTGGTTTCTATAGAATAGCAGCACGTTTCACTACAACTAACACTTTCCAATCCGGCCGGTGTTTTTATGGCCCTGTACTCAAGAGAAGTGTCACGGAAAAGCAGAGAGAAACTTCGAGGTGGCATTTTCAATTGAATCTGTGCTGCTTGGCCCAGCAACATGGACACATTTTTTTACCCGTCCAATGTTGTCTGGTCGTCTCACTAGAGTTGTTTTTAGCTTGGAATTGCAGAAGTCTCATCGTAGCTCTAAATTCTGAAAATTGAACACTTTCTCATGGGCGTCAGGAGCAAGCTACAAGTTCACTCAAAAGGGCATTGTGCAGTTTGTAATTGTGGTGGACAACAGCCGTTATAACTGTTGATGATCAGCCCTGGGTAGACTTCTTTTTTATAGCATTTTGTTATTTCGCTATGCTTTTAAATGATTTTAGACCCCAGTCGAATTCAAATATAAATGCCATCAGTTGAACAACAATTTCATTCACAGAACCGATACTCAGATACATGTCTATACCCTCACTAGAGGCTCAACTAGATCGCGAAATCAACATAATTATCAAAGCTCAATCGGATACTGCTATATCCGAGGCCCAGCGAGAGATTGAAGCCAATCATGCCTACATTAACGAGACACAACTCAAGAATCTGTTGGATCTACATGACAATGTCTTCCAAAACCAGTGTGTTCTGCCGTTGCAAAAACTGTACCAGAAGTACAGTCAGATGAGTCTGCAAGAAGGCGACGTCCAAAACTGGGCAGAATTGGTGGATCGCGACCTGAGGGTCCTGGAGGCCACAGTTGACAAAGTACGAAGCAATAGACAGGAGAATTGAAGAAAGCGAGAATTTTCAGCAGTGATATGTGGTAACTTTGATGTGTTGTCGATCCAAGTGCTAGCTCGGTCCATACTGCTGAAATTGTGTATTTACTGTACATTCTAAAATCAGGCTAGCCCCTTCGCAGCCCTGTCCCACTTTTGCGTCTCTACCCAGCCCGCGTTTATGACCTTTATGGCGTCTTGCAAATTGATCGCTCGCTTGAGAGGCACTCCTTCCACCACCAGTTTCCGGTACACCCGTACGTAATGGCGTGGAGCGATCTCTTCGAAGCGATCTCGGTTTTCAACAGCCGTGAGCTGTTCGGCCTCACCGGTCGGCTTGCACCACAGCTCACGACGTTTCTGCCAGATTTGTTCTGCTTGCACGAAGGGCTCACCAAGTTTCGATCGCAGCTTGACACATTCTTCAACGGCGTCGTACGTGGCGAAGGTCTGTGGATCGCTGCCGCTGCTGCCACTTGGGCAGCAATCTTCGTTAGAGTCCCGCTCTATTTCATTGTCTTCCTCGTCTGTGAGGGGCATTTCGCGGTTCAAAGTCACTGAGGTACTACTGTTTCTTTCCTCGCTCCGTCGTTCCTCCGTTCGAGACTTTTTTCTATCTTCATGGTCAAACAACCCGTTGACCGTTCCGCATTCTTCCACCGAGTCGCTGTCGAGGACCTCTTTCGAAATGCGATGCAGCCCAACTCGACATTTGCTGAGAAACTGTCGAAATGGATTCCTTACTGACGCATTAGACGATGACGATAACTTACGATCTTCGGACCTCATGCTCCGCAAAAAAAAATCCTGCCAAAAGTCAAAGCCACTGATCTCCTGAAATGTCTCAGCTTTTAGCAATTGAATCCGAACCTTCCGAACCCCCGGTTTATACTTGAACAAGGCCTGTCATCGGTCCTGGTAAGATGTAACTTTTGGATGTTAAACGGTTCACATAATTTCAAATTGTGGATTCCGTGTATCGTGATGAATTGAACTATCGATCATTGGTATCAAGCCCACTGGACAGCTTTGATTTCGTCCTTGGGCTCGATGCTCTGTAGGGATTGGTCCCTCGGTATCACTTCGATGGCATATATGCCGTAGCTCAGTCCGTCATGGCCCGTGGTCCAGGACCGAGATCTGATGCCGCCACAGGCTGCTGAAGCGTAGTTTTGCAAAGGCGGTAGAAGCAGCAGATCGATTTTTAAATCGTACGGAATTGCGCCTGGTGGTATGTCGCCTGTGACATTGTCGGGATTCTCAATGTTCGCCGGAGTTCGCAATCGATCAATTTCGAGGTGGCCCTGCGCATCGCGACTTACGACGGCACAATGTTGCAGCGCCAGCAGCGGATCGGAGTCGTCGGTATATATTTGGGCCCCCCAAAGCTCATTATTGGCGATTCGAGGGTTAGAAGACGGCTGTGATTGCACTTCCATGAGTTCTTCGCAGCGCACGTGTACAGTGACCAGGGCATTGATGTTCGCGAATCCAAACGCAGGCAGGAATGGCGGCGGAGATGACAGCACGGTACCATAGGTCGCGGAAGCGGCAGCTATTTCCTCGGGTTTGAAGTCCAAAACACCGGTTTTCCACGGGTTGTAGCGCATCGCGCCTAGTCGCTTGTGGGGCCGCCCAAACTTGTTTGTTACCAAGTCCAGGATAGGTCGGGAGTCGATTTTGACCGGCGCAACATCTTCAAAAGTGGCGTTTTTGTCGTTAGCTGAGCCATTGGCCGTTGTGGATGCGTTCTCAACAGGCTGCTGTGAATCTGTTGTCTTTATTTCAGTGGCCTTGGACGAGTTCAGCAGCGTCTGTTGCAGGTTATAGATCTGGAATTGAGTCTGGCGATACGCCTCGTTGGGATCGCTTGGCGACGCCATTGAATACAAGCACAATGGCCTTGGAGACGAGATTTCTTGTAGGTATTAAGGTAGATGTTGAGATGCAATGCAGCGCGCTGGAAAAGTGTAATTTACAGACTGGCTGTTATGATAATTGATATTAGCATTTACGTGAATAGTGATCTTTAAATTCATCATTCAAATGTAGTTTTAACAGGCACGTCAGGACTCGGTGTTTAGAGTAAGGAAGATAGAGCTCTAAAGATTTTGGCGATATTCCACACCATTCGCCGTTGCTGGACTTTGGGCTAAGCTATTTGCACGTTTGTTGAGAATGTGGCATGATTGCAGACACATACATACTATATTTCTTGAACCTACAATGCTGTAGGGTCGACCTTGGCGTTGTAGCACGAACTTGACTTGGATTGTTCGTTCACATTTGACGCTGATCACCTTATCACTTCGTACCAATCTGACATCCAATATAAATGACGTTTGCTTATGTCATCTAAAATCAACCATTGTGTGGACAGTGTCACTATAAGAAATATGATTCTCATAGCATATGGATCAAAGATGAAGACACGTTACTGTTGATATGATTTGGTTGTGTGTTTTATTGAGTGCTGTTAGCAGTTACACACTTTCTACTTTAAAGCCCAGTATTTCTACATTACGTACTTCAAGAGCCATTCGAGCTTACAATTTTCCTCTACGCTACAGAAATATCTCTAATTCCTGACATCGGTCAAACCCACCCTACGTATTCACAATTGAGAGCGTGGTGTTTTGTAGCCTCCTAATGATATCACACTGTGACACCATTTCATCATGTCATCAGAGCTTTCCTTTGACTGCTCTTACATCCATACACCACTTTAATTTTTTATGTGAACAAAAATAAATCCCAGTTTTTTTTGCGTGGGTCAGAGCCCGATTCCAGTGCTTTTTTACGAAACACAGGACCGACTCACACAAATTCCTGTCTAGCTCGATTCCTAGGCAGGGGTCTGGGATCCCAGCTCTGTCTAGCCACCGTGTCCTCCCAGCCTAGCTCTCCCGCCCGCCCTGTCTAGCCTACACGTTCTGCCCAGCGCCCAGCCTAGCATCTAGCCTTACTCTCAGCCTAGCTCTCGTCTCGGCACTGGGTAGCTTGGCACGGAATCGGTAGCCGGTCTGTCTGCTGGTAACAAATTGAACTTTGACGAAATTGATCAATTCGACAGAGGTGTAGGGCCTAATTCACAAGAAAGAAGCAACTCCAGTGTACGAAAAATGGCCGGTTTGAAAGACGTTGTTACTCGTGAATACACCATCAACATGCACAAGAGGGTATGTGCGCTTTTTTGCGCTTTGAAAGCGTTTTTTTGAGAAGTTTTGGGAGCACTTTTGGACCGATGAGAAGACGATTTGGGAAGTGCGTTCGCAGAGCGGTGTCCAAGATGGACGCGGATATTGAGAGTTTCGAGACCTTTACCTTGTGGACCGAAGCAATACGGTATGGTGGGACGCCAGAATTAAACTGTAGAGAGGCAAAAAAAAGCTCGATTTGGTAGACATCTCCGTCTGCAGCTTGCGATTGATGGAAGCCCCGTTGCGTTCGTGTGCTTGTGTTTTGCAGGCCAAACCAGACCCAAATGTGTTGTCTTTACTCCGTGCTCCGCCCCGAGATTTCCAATTCTCAATAATCAACTCCCAATTGACCGTTACTAACTCTTTTATCTACAGTTGCATGGTGTTTCCTTCAAGAAGAGAGCTCCAAGAGCCGTGAAGGAGATCAAGAAGTTCGCCAAGTTGCACATGGGCACCGACGACGTGCGTTTGGACCCAAGATTGAACCAGGAAATCTGGAAGAGAGGTGTCCAAGGTGTTCCATTCAGACTAAGATTGAGAATCTCCAGAAAGAGAAACGAGGAAGAAAACGCCAAGTTCCCTCTATTCTCTTACGTCGAGCCAGTCGTCGTTGCCTCCGCCAAGGGCTTGCACACCGTTGTTGTTGAAGAAGAGGAAGCTTAGACTCTACAGCATGCGTGCCCCCGGTCGAATAGATTTCCCAACCAGAGAATCCAACTGTAGTTTAAGTTTTATGTAAAGCAGAAAAACGTTTCAATAATAATATCAAAACGGTCAATTTTGGACAGGGCGAGGATGCCGCTTGCGTACGTGTTTCGTAATTGAAAATTGGTTCACAAAGTGTCGTAGCTTAGCGATGCGACAGTCCATGCTGAAACTTAAGATGCTTTAATTTGATAACTGAGAAATCCATTAAACTATATCTGTACTATACAAATCGAGTTCTTTTCATACTGTTAGTAATTCCAAAACGTAGAACACCCTTGCTCCTTCAATTTCAGTCCCATGTCGCATCTTCAGTGTAACTATGACATAAATATGCCAGCCGTTCATTACATTAAAAAACACCCAATTCTCACATCACCAGAATTAAGAGAAACGACTGTCAAAACGACAATCGAATCAAACCCCAATGAAAGAGACGTGCAAGCACGGGATGGTCTTAAAAACGCTTCTTGCGGAAACATTCTGCTCTCAATAGACCGGCAAAAAATTAAAACTTATCATCATTAAATGCAGATTTGGAAACAAAAATATCAGGAGATTCACAATTCTCCATTGATTCTAAACATACTCTCAGCTTCATTCTTACAGGCTTAGCCTGTCTCGAGAAGCGCCCGAAAGCGCTTGATCTTTTAACAGTAAGTTGAGTAAAGAACTATCTAAATTTTTCGAATTTCTAGATTTAGTGGGATCAGGGTTACCCTGCCCGATGCCAGCAAAGACATAGGCCGGCTAGCAACTGAGGGCATCGCCAAAGTTGTGTCCTTCGATCTTAGCACCACTTGAGATTTCCCTTCACTGTCCTAAGCATTTATTTAATCAAGTTGTAATTGTTTTGGTCTCTTGTCTTTAAACCTTTGATTTATTCTTGTAAGGTATTTCGATGGCTTCCGAAAAACCGTCCTCATCGGCTCTTTTTAGAATGAAATACCTGTCAAACCAGTCTATGAGCTCTGTTGTCGTTTTGATATTCATGAGCTCGTTGTGTAGATTCTTTTCCAGCTGCATGCTCTCGAACATGCAGTGTAGATGGTGCAGAAGCAATTGATGCGGTAGGCCGCCAAATTCCATAGCATAGTGCCAAAATAGTTCCAAAGCACCCCAGGGACACTTGTCATGGCCACTGAACAGAGCTGGGTTGTCCAAAAGCCCTCTCACAGCCATAACTCCGTCAACCCCCGTGTAGTCTAAAATCTTTTGAAAGTCCTTCATTGTAAAGCAATCCCCGTTGGCAATCACCGGAACGTCTCTGCACTTAATCTTTTCGGTGATGTATTTGATTGCATCCAGGTTTACCGGCACCGAGGAACGCGTAGTTCTCGTTCTGCCATGAATCGTGATCCAGTCTACGCCTGCGTCACAGAGAAGATTGCATAGTTCGACAGTTTGGTCCCAATCGTCGTGGATTCGTATCTTGGTTTCCAGTCTCAGCTTGTCGCCATATTTGCTTTTGACCGCGGAAATCATGCTGGTGAGCAGATCTGGGTTGTAAATGAGTGCTGATCCTATGCCCTCTCTGATCTGCTCTTTGATCGGACACCCACAGTTGATTCCAATACCGTCGCAATAAGGAGCGACCATTTCTGCGAATCTGAGTAAATCTGTGACATTATTGACACCTACTTGCACGATTAACGGCGAATCATTCTCGTTGGAGCTGAAATCAGCCATTCTCGCATGGGAATTCCGTACAAACTCTCTGGCAAGTATCATTGGTGTGTATACAATATCGACGTTATAATGACGGCAAACTTGGCGGAAGGGAAGCTTAGAGTAGCGAACCATCGGACCTGCAATGGTCACCGGCCTATTATGCGTTAGCTTTCGAGTTCTGATGATGTGCAAAGGATCATTCTTTTTGGTGAGGGTTCTGACCTGAGGACATGCGACAGACATAGGGAATAAAGACGTGTGTGATCCACTTGTTACCTCTTATTCATTGAACGTGAAAGATCTCATCGCTAGACGCTTGGAGAGATTCAAAATTCGTATTCTTGTCGAAATATGTATCACTTTATTCTATTCTGACATCAAGCATTGACAGGCCTCTTGGATATACTTTTCGCCATTGTCATGATCGGTGATACGCCCATCTTGAAGATATATCCTCTTAAACATATACATGGTTTTAAACTAATATACCACTGCTTTGAATGTATGCTTTATGGATGAGTTAGTTGTTTGGTTTATTTACAGCTTATTGGAATAAGCTTGAAGTGTTACAATCGAGAACCGACCAGAAAGAATTCATGAAAATTTCCTGCAGTGGCGGTCTATCTCGATGAGTGCCGAGACCCATGACTCGGCAAAAATCTCATGAGGTAATCAAAATGCTCTTGACTACCTACGCCAGAGAAGCTACCTTTTGAAAAATGGAGTGCAGCGCATGGCCCGCATACAAAGGCCTTCACATATGGAGGTCCAAAAGATCGTGAGAGCCAAACTGCATACGGCAAATTGGACATTTCCGCATTCTAGCAGCCAGCCTTTCCTTACAGCACTGGTCGCAAAAGACGTGGCCACACGTTTTGATGGCAGTGTTCTTCCAGTTCTTCGAGCACAACGAACAGTACACGATAGTCCTGAAATTTTCCAGCTCCTCTGCAATAACGGAAGTATCTCCAGCAGTACTTGATGTAAGGGCTTCATGCAATTTGGCAGCTTTCGACTCTGCATGCGATAGCTTGAGTTTCAGGGCATTGACCTCTGTTTGCGCTGAATGAACTTGAAGCTCGAGGTCACTGATTTTCTCGACAGAGCCGACCCTTTCATGGCTTAATGACTCTATGGTTTTCTTCGATTTGCTCAATGCAGAAGTTACGTCCATGAGCTTTGATGACGTGTTTTTGTTCGCGTCGACCAAGCGCTTCTCATTGCTTTCATGGAGGTGTATCTGTTTGATCAGACTTTCAATCTTTTCTTGCAAGGTGCGCTCTATTTCTTTGAGCTGGGTTATTAGTTCATTGGACTTTGCGAGATTTTTAGTGAGGTTTTTATTCTCGATGAGAATGGAGTCCTTGGACCTCATTGCCGCGAAATATTTTTGGTCCGCCTTGGTTTTCTCAATGTTAAGCTTAGTCAAGAGGGACTCCTGAGCCAATTGGTCAGTATACTTCTTGTGTGCTAGTCTCGAGAGCTCCTTGTATGCACATTCCAGATCTTGGAGTTCTTTCGTTAGCGCGTCTTTGGAGATTTCAACTTCTTTACTTTCCATCTTGTCTATTCTGTCCTTTTGCAGGTTCATCGCAGTTTGCAAATCGTCAAGTAGCTCAGACTTGAGCCTTTGACTTTCCAAAATGGCCATCTTGCCTGTCATTTCGTCTCTGGTGTTTCTTATTCTTACAAGGTCTTTTTCCAGCATGGCGTTATGCTTCTTTAGTGCATCCTGGGCAGTTTGGAACTCCGATGTCAATTTATTTGTGAACACCTCTTTGTCTTGAACCAGTTTCTGGAACTTGGTCAAAAACGATTCGTTAGCATGTGTCAGGGAAGTGTTCTCTTCTGTGAGAGTCTCTAGGCGGCGCATCAGATAATCTCGATCGAGCTGTCCGTCTGGATACTGTTCTTGATTGTTTCCCGTGGAGTTGGCTAGCTCAGTCCGCAACTTCATAATTTCGTCTTCTCGTTTCGTTTTCCAACTCTCTAGATCGTTGATGGTATTCCTTAGAGCTTCTACCTGGTTGCTTAGCTCCTGAACTTGAAGGTCATGCTCCGTGTGTGAAATGAAATCGACCTTTTCGTCGTGCGTATTCCCGCTTGCACCTGTCTTAACGTTGTCCTGTGTTGCATTTGCAGAGTTCACTGCCGCTTCTGTTGCTTCCGATAGGGCTTTCGCTTCGTCTGACTCGCTGCGACTCTCTTTGATTTTCTGTACTCTTTTCACAGTTTCGCTATCCTCTCGATCATAAAGCCGTATCAATGTCTGGTAGTGGTCTCTGACGGCTTCTAATTCCTGTTGAAGTTGCTGATTATGCGTTGAAAGCGCTACTTTTGACTTTTCGAGCGCATGGAAATGAGACGTCAAATTTGAGTCCTCGGTCGCATGGCCCGCATACTTGTCGAACAGCACAGCCAGCTGGTCAGCGACCTTGGAGACGTTCGTTTCAGCACCCTGTACAATACTGTCACACACTTTTTGGGCTTCGGAATCGTCCTTACAGAGATCACTTAATTTCGCGGCCAGAACGGCCAAAGTCGCGCAAACGCGAGCGTACTGGTCCCGAAGCTGAGCCAGATTTTCATGGTCCTTCCCGAGCTGCGTTTCGAGACTAGCTGCACGCGTACGATGCTTGTTAAGAGCTCTAAAAAGCGCTTCTTTCTGGAACGCGATCACGTCCTTTCGGGTCAAGGGTTCCGTGGGATCACTGAGGCCCCAGTCCAACCTGGCTTTTTTGCCAGCCGGTTCCTCTGACATTATAGTGAAAGGTCAAATTTAGCCTCTTGAGACCGTTTCTGGCTTATGTTTGCAGTAAACTGGTGTCTTTGGTGTACATTTCAACCAGTATGAAGTTTACTTCAATTTTTTTGAGATTTACTGGAACTAGATGTTCGTGTATTGTGATCTTGATCAAAACAGCTTAGCGTAACGAGAATCGACTACAACGACGCTTGAGCATCGCCTAAGCAGCAGCGGCAGTAACAGTTCACTCAAATTTGGCTCACAGTCCACTACACTCACGGTCTTTTTTCTTTTGGTTTCGTGAGGTAAGACAGTCTCGATGCTTTCTCTCGGATTGTTTCCAGCTTTTCTAGCTTCTCAATACACTGTATTTTCCATCATTTGGCTTGAGGACTTCTAGACCACACGATACTGCGAGGATCAAATTTTAAAAACTCACTCAATTCGGTCAAACCAAAACCTCGTTCGTCAATGAGCAAATGATGATCAAGCCTTCACTCAAAAAGCTTTTGTATCAGTAAAAACCGTAAAAAAAGGCTTTCTGACCAACTTTCTGACCAATTTTTGGCAGCCTTCTGACTAACTTCCTTTCTCGCAAAAGTTAGGCTAAAACTGTCGTACGGAGCTCAATGAAACGACGCCAGACTTGCCCAATTTCGCTCTTTTCTGCACCATTTTGTTGATTTTCTAAATTCCATCCATCAGACTCAGAGTAGACCAAGTCTCTGTCTCGAAGCTACTCGAGCTAATCAGGTCTTACCGCACCAAACGTTGAGTTCTTATATTAATATATTAGATATATTTATATAAATTAATGACACGATAGTACAAAGTGATAAGTATTCCGAAAGTGCATGTTTCAAAATTTGGCATACATTGTAGAACAGGCAAAGCAGGTTTTAGAGAGGGCACAAAGGTTTCAAAATCGCTAGCAGTGCCCTTTACGCGGAGCTAGTTGATTTCAGGTAGCTGTGTAAGTTTTCGCAGTTTCAATTGAAAACCCGGTTCTGCATTTCTGGGCACGGTTTTTGGATGTCTTATAAGTATGGACAATTGCAAACCAAAGACCGAGTCATGGCTGCTTCAGTCCCTAACCAAGTTTATAGCGCTAGTGGCGCATCTTGGGCTGCCGCCGAAAAGCTCCGAAGCTGGCAATGGCAAGCTGGTTGCGAACTATTTGCGCCTCAATCTTTTATCGCAACTCAGACAGCAGCAGGCTGTGTCTAAAGCAGAAAGGCCTCTGGAGCCCAAAGAAAGGGACTTACTGATCCAATGGTGGATAACACTGCTCAATTTCCTCAATAGCGACTCTCGGGGCCCAGAACAGGACGAAATTCCGCCCTTACTCACCATCGAAGTTTGCTCGGTGACTTTGGAAAGCATCAGCCGGATTTTGACACTTGTGGGTCTCGCAGCTTCGTCTCAACACGAGCTCGACACACTCGCGTACCACACGCTCTTGACGGTCCACTACGTCACCAATAGACTTATTTTCAACACTAAGAAACGCAAATTCATTCTATCTAACAAACAATTGGGTCCGGCACACGCGAAGCAGCAGCTAACTTACCACAATCAGTACAATCAGCTGCTTAATTCTTTTATGGGCAAACTGATGGCGTACGCATTCTTCTATCTGGACGCCTCATTCGACTATGAATATCTATTGCTGCGATTTCTCGAGCCCGGTGTTTGTGTGATAGACCATTCTTTTCCAGCATTTCCTTGGAAACACAAGGATTATAAACTTGCGGGCCAAGGTCTCTTCAAAAGTCTTCCATACACATTGGCCGAACAGGATAGAAAAATATTCCAGGTGGTGATATCGTACTTGAAAAACGATACAGTTTTTATGGCATTCTACTGGCATTATTGGCATATAGCGCTCAACACTCTCGGGGCGCAGAACATCAAAGTAATTGATCAGGCTTCAATACCTGGATGCAAGGTCATTACTCGTTACGTTGGCAAAAACCTCCATTGCGATATCATGGCTTTCACCCGCTTTATGAAATCGCAAGAAATCGATGGGTTTCACCATACGCGACCAAATGGACAGGCCTTCTCCATAACAGGCGAACAAATTGACAATTTTGTATTTTCGAACTTCAAAACCGTAAAATTGTGGGAGTGTGTGCGATCGTTAACTGGCAGTCTTCATCCAGCTTTTCCAGATCAACTATATGCCTTTATTAAGTTTCATGATAATATCATGCTCCAGAAACTTGCAAAGATACCTGCACATGATTATCAGCTTGGAAACTTGATTTACAACCGTCTGCTGCAGTTTGTTTTGTTTCAATTCAATTCCATGGGATCTTATCTGCTGGCTCTGAATTGGCGAAAATGGTGTCAAGGCCTAACGCGAATGCTTCGAACTCTAAACGTCAGCTGTCAATCGGTTGCACTAGTTTCGCTTTTCAATATGTGGGACTATATCCCTGCGGATCAAAAGCTGAGAGACGAATTCGTGTCTATTTTGGTCATAGATATGTGGGAGATCTTGGCTGAAAACACAATATTCGATATTGTTCGAATCCTGTTCTTCAAGATAGTCGTATTTCGACTGCTTAATACAGCTAATAGTGATGGTCTTGAGGTCATGAAAGACCGTGTGGTGAGAAATCTTCAAGAGGCACATGTGCGCGCAGTGGCATTGGCGCATGAAATTCCAACTGAAATGCTCCCGACTCCGTCGACAGACGTTCTGCTCTTTCACATCAACCGCAAGCTGGTGTTGTCAAAGGTTGATTTGCCTAGTGAGGAGAGGGTCCTAAAAGAACTCGAGAGCAACGTTAAAAATCTGGACGAGGATAGACGAATAATATTACGCTCAGTGGTCATGACAGCCAACGTTAGACCCTTGACAGTGTTGTTGCGAGGTCGATATCCATTCGACATTCTAGATGATATGGTTTTGAAAGCTGCTAAGAAGGCCGCCAAACAACGCAGTCAGGGCATCGTGTCTCATCCGTATCAGAGGAGTCGCTCTACAAGTGTCAGCAGCAAGAGCACAAATGATTCACTCGCTGACGAAGAACACGACACCTCTGTTGCTAGCGCATTAGGGTCATTTCTGTCAAAATTCGGCAGTTCAAATTCAAAGACGCCAAAGAAAACTAAAGTGTCATTAACGGAACGCTTCACCAGAAGCGTGGGATCGAGTGATTCTAGAGCAAAATCTGAGTCAAATTCAAATTCTGATGTCAAGCTTGATAGTGAATCTACAGAGATGATTTCAATGTACTCTTCGCTCTCGGCTGCTTCTTCTTTGTCTGCTCATAGAAGTGGCTCTTCTTTAGAGCTCAAAGCTCACCAATCAATTCCTTCTAGAGACTCGTTGACACTGCGTAAATCATCTATTAAGGATGCTCAAGATGTCTCAACAGTACCACAACCTCAAAAGAAGAAAAAACTGCTCGCACCACCAGAATTGAAATTCTCTGGAGACATTGGTAAAGCTGCGCCTGTCAAGTGGATGTTTCGCGCGATAACAGCACCTATGTCGGGTTTAGGTTCATCAGCGGGACAGATAGTTCAAGAAGCAAACAATAAATGGGGAATTGCTAGTGCCAGAACTTACGACAAGCCTCTGCCCCCGACAAAGGAGACTGTAGGCCGTGATATGGACGATGGTTTCGACCTCTCACCTTTAACAGATAGTTTGAACAGTTTGGGCTCGTCCGAGAGTCTCGTTGTGGGTTTTTCAAATGACGCTGGCGTCAATTCAAGATCACCTCAGTCAGTGGTACCCCACCTGTACTTTCTCGGCCTAGGAATTGATTCCACCCAAAACCAGCATGCTCCAGGCATCAATGAGGAGACGAGCTTCTCTGTCGGTGGCGATAAGTTGACGAAAAATGGTTCTGAAGGCTCTTTGGCTTTGAACGAGACAAATGAGACAGCTGTACGTAGTACCGCTTTCACAATGAGACAGGGGACAAAGCTTGGTCAGTTGGTAAAAATGATTTCAGTTTTTAACGATACCATTTCAGAACGAATGAATTTCATGGACATGGTTCATCACTCCGACGAAAGAATTATGTTAGACCCCGAACTGAGCAGTTTTCGCAGCTCCCAAAGTGGTTACAGAAACCTTGACAATGCTCGAGTAGAGTACATGTAGCATTATTATACAATCTTCAAAAGAGAAATGTCATTGATAGCAAGAAGTTTTTATATGGTTCAGTTAGATGGTGGTAGATCCCTCATCATAAAATCATACTGGTTTGTGACTTCTAGAGTGTCCGGCACGAAAGAAGGTCACAGCAAACGCGGTCAAGAAGAAGAACGAGATGATGGCGTTGAAAATGAGAGTACCAAAGACGTACGCCAATCTCTTCCACCTTACCATCAGATTACGCAAGCTGTGATCGAAATTCATCGAAAAGGTTAAGGCGGAAAGATTAGGATCGATAATAACGTTGGCATTTCCTGCAAATTTTAGGGTTATCTCTAAGCGTTTCATATCGTGCTCCAAGAAGATGGGATTTTCCAAGTGAAAGAAGTTAACCAGCTCTTTTTGCACCTGCTGAGCAAAAGACGTAGCGAGTCTCCCATTCCCACCCATGTTTGGGATATCTCTAGTGTTAGCGCAACTCAACAGTAGAGTTTTGCGGAACACAGTTATCCCACCAATTCCTGCTCTGCACACGGAAATGGTGAGCTCTCCATCTTTGATGTTAAGGTCCGTCACTTTATTCAAACAATAAACGTCGAGGTCAATGTTCATGTTATAAGGTATGTCGGCTCTGAGGGGAATCTTTTGCGAAAACCCGTTAGCGTGGATTTCCGGTAGCACTGCAGTCTCCGACGAAACTCGCTCAAATTCAAATTGGAAACTGGACTTGCCAGCCCAGCTGCCCATCTCTCGTCTGCTCTCAGAGAACGGGACAGTTTGAATCGAGTCTGGCGGGATCATACGCGAGTAAAAGTCGTGGAAAAGGAAGCTCGATAGCGGAAAAATGAGCAAGAAGTTCACCAACACCAAAATCATCGCGTATCCCCAACATTGAGCCCACTTCAACGGCAGTGTCAGATTTACTTGCATTTTGGCTAAAATTACCAAAATCGATTGTTTTGGGCCCGCTAAAGTTCTGGGTAGCTCAACAACGCAGGATAGACCTAAAGCGCAGTTGTTGATAGCGTTCTCAAAGCTCTAAAGTTGTCCACAACGCCCTGTTTTGGTGCTTTATCTTTGTCCTCAACTTTGACCTTTATTTCAACTAGCTAACTTTCATGTGAAATCAATCATTCTGCTATAATAACATGATATATTATTTACTTAAAATCACACCTTGACTACCAGTATCAACAAAGATACTGGTCACTCGCTAAAAACATAATCCTGTAGAGCTCAAAATACTCTTGGAACCGTTTCTGAAATATTCTCCTGTGTCGTGGGAGACCAAAAGTCTCGATAAAATACGCTGGACGGCTCTGGAAAGCTCTATACTAATACAATTCACACACTTGGAATGACGCTGAGAGGGCTCCGATTAATGCGTAGAGTGTCCCCTGTGATACTTCAACCCGTTCAAATTCTTGTATCTCTTGCCGCAGACTTCACAGCGGTATGGTTTGTCCTTTTCAAGACCCAGCCCGTCTGGGTAGGGCTCGTTGCTTTCGGGATCGATGATGCTGAAGGTACCGTCTGGGTTTTCGTGAAGCTTTTGATTCTGATGCCCGTGTAGCTTGTGGTACTTCAACCCGTTCTGGTTCTTGTAGGTTTTGTCGCATCCAATGACAGGGCACTTGAAGGGCTTGTGTTCCTCATGGTCCATGACGTAGAGTCTGCGTGCTGGGTCGTCTATAAACCCAGGCTGTTGCTTGCGCTTGTTGACGGCCGTTATGGGGACCGTGGTAGCCACAACCTCTTCCTCTTCGTCGTCGTCACTCATACTGCTATCCTCGGAATCCTGGCCGTTGCCCAGCTTCGTGCGGTGATGTGTCGACATTTTGGCGGTTGGTCCGGAGTCCACCTGCTTCCACGCTTTCGCGAGATCTGCGGACAGAGGTGGAGCCGCGCCCATGATAGCAGAGCCGTCATGTAAATCGTCAATAATGTCTGCGTCCATAAAGTCCAGGTCGATGCCCGCGCCAACACTGCCCACTTGCGACGTAAACCGTTGTCTGTTCATCGCAGCGTTAGAATTGTTCCCCATTAGTCGTTGCTGCTGTTGTTGTTGTTGATGTTGTAGTAGCTGCTGCTGCTGTTGTTGTTGTTGCAGAAGCGCATTCTGCCGCTGATGCTGTTGCAATTGGTGCTGTTGGATTCCGGTCTGCTGGTGATGTTGTTGGCCCTGGGGGTGCTGCTGCTGTTGCTGCTGCTGGGATTGGAACTGTTGCAGAGCTGAGGCGTCCAAACCCTGTTTCGCCAGCGGTTGCATGTTCAGCGAGTAATTATTGAACCCACCTTGCATTTTGGCGCTGTTGGTGGTACCTTGGCTGCCTGGAGTGGCTTGAAAGCCACCTCCGCCGACTCCCGCGTTTGCCATCGGTCCTCTCTTCCCCGTTTGACCCGCGCCGGTTTGCAGGAAGACTTCGTTGGTGGAAACCGCGTCTACTAGATTCCCGTTAAGATGCAACTGCTGGACGTTGCTGGTCGTGTTCGAGCCCGCGTTATGTGGGCCCCCGTGCAGTTGTTGTTGCATGGCCTGGTTGAACATCTGGTTGTGCATTTGTTGCTGTAAGTGATTGTTGTGCTGTTGCTGGGGATGTTGCTGCTGTTGTTGTTGTTGCTTGGCGAACTGCTGGTATTGGATGCTATGATGCTGTTGTTGATCCGCGAGCGGATGTGGTAAATGCGGGCTTGACTGTTGATGCGGAAGTCCCTGTTGGGTGGACTGTGACATTTGATGGTGGCTGGTTTGCTGTTGCTGATGATGATGCTGGGGAGACTGATGACTCTGGTGGAGCTGCTGCTGTTGCTGCGGCTGCTGTTGAGACAGTTGCGGGTCTTGCAGAGACTGTCGCTGTTGGAACTGCATGTGTGGTTGCTGACGCTGCTGTTGCTGGCCCTGGGTCTGCTGCTGGAGCTGCTGCTGGTACATCGCGGCCATGCGCTGCTTTTTCAGCGCATTGTTGCTGGCCATCTGTGCGGGGCCTGTGGCGCCGGGCATCCCACCCATCTGGCTGACGTTTGTCGGGATGTTGGCCATCGAGGAGGCATGTGTGTTGATGGTGCCCGGCGACGTGGAGATGTGAGCCTCTTCATAGTGTCTGAGCAGGTCGTGGAGGCCTGGCAAGAGCAGTCCGCAACACGAGTAGTCCTTGCAGTACTGTTTCTCGAGGTTGGGCAGGTACGCGGACGCTGCGCCCGGGGGAGAGAACGAGGTTCCGCCAGCCAGGTTTCCCGTGTTGGAGCCGCCCGTGGCATGGCCCCCACTGCCGCTGTAGGTGTGCTGGGGCGTTCCCGAGCCGTGGCCCGAGTGCGCCTGCGACATGTGTGTGTGGATCATCACCTCGTCGCGAAGCCACGAGCCGATGGTGAGCGATCCCCACGAAACGCCGCCCATGCCCTGGGAGTGTGCGATCGACTCGCGTCTGAGTTTCGCCATGTTGGACGCGCTGGCCGACGTCCCGGCCTGCTGCGACGACGTCGACATCTCGTTGTTGATAAGGATCCCGGGCGTCGTAGCACCGGCGTTGGATGCGGTGGCCGACGACACGTTCATTGTGTGGGAGTTCTGAGAGTGTGTGGAGCAGGTGTGTGCGAACGAAACCTGTATTTCCAAGTCCGTTGTGCGTGTGCGTGCGCGATCCCTCGATGCTCTGCGGCTTGCGTGTGCTAGAATGACTAAATATCTAGCTTTCCTCGCAGTTGCCGCTCCTGTGTGTCTCACTGCTGTGCCAAGAGCGCACAATACAGATCCACTTAACTGCTGCTGCTGGTCCCTGGTTCTCTGGTCTCGTTTCTGGCGTGCCCAGTTGAAACTTGTCGTCCGTTTGAATCCACCTGGATGAGCGAACTTGAGAAGGCTCTTAGATATTTCTTGAAAAGGAGACAGAGTAGAGTAGAGAGAGACGAACCCACTTCCCACCACCACCACCACCACCATCACCAGCGGAATCGCATTCTAAGTGTGACTTCCAGGTGATTTGCAAGCGACAACGACGACGAACGGCGACGCAGGCCGCGGTTGCGACGATGACGACGACGCAGAACCTACAATCTGTCCGGTGGTCGTGTGCTCACGCTGTGTGTCTGAGTGTGTAAGTGTAGTAGACCCAAAAGAGGAAAAAAGCAATCCCGTAGGGTTGTCGCGCATAGCGTTTGAATAACCGTGTCAAGTTGTAGAAGGCCATCGCTGCCGAAGCCAGGCTGGTATCGTGGTGGAGGGCTCACTTAGACGATGCGCCTGATGGGTCGCTAATTGTGGCCAAGAACGAGCGAAAATAGGGCCGTTTGGCACCGCTTTTCGGGGCAACATGGCGTCCAGATGGCAGTCCAACTTTCGCAGTAGCGCTGCGGGCGCTGGCGGTGTTTGGCGGGGCCCACGGTGGACGGTTGGGTGCGGATGATGGTGGATCGCTTTGTACGGAGAGTCAAGGCGCTAGACAGTGGGCGCTGGAACTCACTGTTCTAACTGCTCTCACTGCTCTCGCTGCCTCACGAAGCTCACTGCGTGCACATCGTCTTGCACCGTGCAAGAGACCGACCCGCAAGCTTGCTCGCCCGCTAGCTCGCTACTCACTTGCTGGACACTGACAATGCGAACCGCAGACAGCAACGCGCTCAGATCTGGGCTGCGTGCGCAGCGAGTTGCGTGTTGTGTGTGTGTGTGTCGTCAGCGCATTCTTGTGTCCCTGGTGTTTGCCCACAGCGAGCCCCAGTGGGTCTAGTTGTGGGCGCGATGGGCACCACCCAGACACCTCATCAGGGACACAAGATGTGCACCGTTGGGTGTCGAGGGCGTGGTGAGCGTAGTGAGCGTGGCGGAGATGGTGAGCGTAGTAGTGCCTTTAGTGAACTCAGTAGAATTGGCTCACTTGGCTCACTTGGTTCGCTTGCTTAACTTTACATTCTTGCAACAGCCCAGTTGGTGGTTTATTTGAAGCGATTGTTTGTGGTTTGCAACGGTTGAAGCGTGCGCAGGTGTGGTGGGGTACACCTCTAAAATTAGCTGGGGCGATTTGCTGGGGCGCTTGGTTATGGGTGCTTTGTGCTTAATGGATCAAGCTTGAATTGCGTAATTTCGTAATTTTGTAATTTCGTAATTTTGTAATTTCTTGAAGAACTCGCATATTCTGCCATATCTGGGGTGTCTCGTCTCGCGTTTGTCATCTCCTATCTCTCCTTTCACATCTCTCCTTTCACATCTCTCATCTCACATCGCCGGCTCTGATTCCCTTTTTAGCCGCCAAACTCCAAGTTTCGCGAGAAATCAGAAAAAATAGTCTAATGTTCTTACCAATTAGCTCCATTTGAAGGCTAGTCGTTCGCCAGGTTCTCCCGGGTGTGAAACACCTCCTCTCACCCTTCTCACCCCTGTCACACTCCCCTTTCTCACCCCTCCACCCGTATCTCATTCTCCCTCTCTTGTCTTCCAAACCCGCTCTTCAACCATTTTCTACCACACTTTCGCCTCAAACACCTCACCAACACACAAACCACATCTTTCCCAAGCACCCACTCGCTTCCCTCCATCTTCGCGCTGCACTTTCGCTTCCGAAGTTTGTCCTCGAAAACAACGGCAAAGGCCCTGTTTTCGCTCGGGAAGATCGTTACCCAGCACCCACAATCAGTTTTTAAATCTCAACTGGTTTTAGCACATTTTTTAGCTTCCATTGACACCTTTTTAACATCGGCGGCTAAATCATCTCTCTCAGTTTTTGACGGTTTTACACCGTTTCTACACCGTTTTTTCCGCAATCTCGTCGCCTACCACTAAACCAAACCCATAGTTTCGCATTTCAAGTATCCAAACGTCTTAAATCGCATCATTTTTAGCGTTCTCATGTCTTTGGAACTGGTTTGAGTGCAAGTTCAAGTGTAAACGCCTAAATCATAATATTTTCTGATACATCAAAAGTTAGTCACGTGTGAAACTTTCAACGAAAATTTTAAGATATTGACACCATCTCTATGCTAAAACTCGCGATGAGCTGGTAATCAAGATATAAAAACTAACGTCAAAGGCAGTTCGAAACAACGTTTTAGATGTCTTCAAAACGTGGACTAGAATGCGCGGCCGTCCAGGACCCTGAACCCATCTTCAAGAAACAAAATACGAGCGGTATCGCTCATATTAAGCCCGAATTCGTGGTCAAAAGCGAGTCCACCGTGCAGAACAACTCTTCCACCGCCAACGAGGAGGAAGAGCCTGTTTCGGACCGTATAGCCACCGGGAACGGGTCTGGCAAGAAGGGCAAGTCGAAAAAACGGGGCCAAAACAAAAATCGTAACATCATCCAAGTCAAAGAACAGTACCAGCTGTGCTCGAAACTCGTGCTGGGACTCGGAAAGGGCGACGACTGTCCCTTTGGCGACCAGTGCCGCTTCGTGCACGACATAGACGAGTATCTCGTGCACAAGAAACCAGAAGCCAAAACTGAGCAGTTCTCCGTGTGTCCCGTGTTCGAGACGCTAGGACACTGTCCCATGGGCTTCAAGTGTCGGTTCTTGAGCTCTCATTACAATGCAGACACCAAGGAACTGCAGTCCAAATCCGACGACGACGTCAAAAAGCTGTACGATGTAAACCGTGAGGTGAACCACATTGCGGCGGACAAAAAACTGGACCTGATAAAGAAGAGATTCCCATTCGAAAAGAGTGACTACGTTCTCGAAATTATAGACGCTATCCAACAGGAGTATAGAGATGGGCTGAACGAGGACAAACAGGCAGCAGCAAGGGCAAAGAAGATAGACTCTTCCGGAAAGGACGCTGAGCAGTCTCCAGCCGAAGAGATCAAGGCCCCACAAGTTTTGCAAAGAGAACAGGAGCAAAGAGACAAACGGAACCGCCAGAAGGAACTGTATCTCCAGTACAAGGACACCAGGTTCTTCGCGCAAGAGAAAAAACGCTTGGATCTAAAAAATAAGAAAATCGTATCTCCGCTGACCACGGTCGGTAACCTGCCGTATCGTCGTTTGATGCGCAAAATGGGTGCTGACGTCACTTACTCTGAAATGGCGCTGGCTATACCGTTGATTCAAGGTACAAACTCGGAATGGGCACTTCCTAAGGCCCACGTCTCTGAAATCCCCGGATTCGGTGTTCAAATTGCATGTTCCAAGGCTTGGCAGGCTGCGAAAGCGGCTGAGGCGCTGGCCGCGTTTGCTCCCGACATAAGCGAGATCAACTTGAACTCGGGATGTCCGATTGATCTGCTATACAGACAGGGATCTGGAAGCGCCCTCCTCGACAATCCTGCAAGGATGATCCGGTGTTTGAACAGTATGAGCTACGTTTCTGGAGACGTTCCTGTCAGTGTGAAGATCCGCACAGGTACGAAAGATGGCCATCCAATTGCACAAAGTTTGGTTCGCCGTTTAGTCAGTGAGACCGACGTTGCTGCAATCACATTGCATGGACGCACCAGGCAACAGCGGTATACCAGAAACGCGGACTGGGACTACGTCAGACAAGTGTCTGCAGCGTTGAGAGACGCAGAAGCCGAATCGCAAGAAAAGGATAAGGACAGAAGAGAGTCTCAGCAGCGAATTCAATTTGTTGGAAACGGTGACGTTAACAACTACGAGGATTGGTACAAGCATATGGAGGACGATAACATGGACAGCGTTATGGTGGCCAGAGGAGCATTGGTCAAGCCCTGGATTTTCGAAGAAGTGGAAGCTCAACAGCACTTGGATAAAAGTAGCCAGGAACGTTTGGAGATGTTGAAAGACTACGCGCGGTTCGCAATGGATCACTGGGGCACGGACGAGTACGGTATATCCCAGAGTCGTCGCTTCTTCTGTGAGTTCATGTCATTTTTCCACCGCTACGTTCCAATGGGGATCTGCGAGCGATACCCAGTTCTGCTAAACGAGAGACCACCCAACTGGAGAGGAAGGGACGACCTAGAGACTCTCATGGGGAGCAACGACGTTAGTGACTGGATCAAATTGAGTGAGATGTTTTTCGGCAAGACCGACGAGAACTTTGTGTTTTTACCAAAGCACAAGAGCAATTCGTTCGCAAACCAATGATGGGCTTACGTGGGCGACAAGCAGACAGCGACGTGTGCCCGCTTCAGTCATTCGCAGGTGAAGAGAAGTCCATAAAGTTTTAATCATTCTGGCGAATTTGTGCACTTTATGGACCCATTTTCTTTGAAGCTTCGAAAAACCTGTAGTCTAAAGGTGTCTCGGTTTAGCAGCGGAAGTTGAAGTGGAAAAGACTAGTTTTAAGCTCTCTTTTTCTGGTTCTAATGACGACAATGCGAACTGACCTCGATCATGTTACATGTGTACTCGTAAATAGAAATACTTTCATGATTAGTATCGAAATGGAGCTAAAGTTGTGAATTTCATTAATTCGGACTTGTTTTGATGATTGGATCACCTTTGTCTGCTGCTTGAACGAGTTGTTTACATTGAAAGGCTTTTTTTCAGAATATCAAGTAGAAACAATAGTGTCAAGAATACGACTTTAATCAGTTCCAAATGTTTGAAAGAGGACTCATAGAAGCAATTGGCCAAGCCCGTATAAAAGCCGATCCAATTTGTTCAATTATTGGCAGACTGGCGTACTTGCGACATTGTAAAGTATCTAGAGAACTCCATCATGAAATTTGGATCAAATGGTCATAATACGTGGCATTAGAAGAATTGATGCTATCAAAACAAGCGATCTGCCCACCCCCCCCCCCTTTGCTAGATGTGTTAAAAGTGGGCTCTGTTCCATGGGCTAGTTTTGCGAGCCAAAGAGCGAGAACCGTTGAAACCACTCTTTGCCGAAGAACTGCGATGCCATGGGCCCTAAACGTGGTAAAACTTCAAAGGCCTTGAAGAAAGTGACGAAAAGGAAAACGATACCGAAAGACTCGAGTTCCAGCGGTGGTGCAACGAGCAGCATCGCCCAGGAAAACAGTGATAGTTCCTGGTCTCGAAGGGAGGTCGAATCCTGTACCAGACGTGATAAGGCCATCTGGCAAAGCTCCAAGCTCGAATAAGAAGGCAAATTCGAGTGCAAGCGAATTCTTACCTTCGACTCCTCCGTTCTCATCACCGCAGACTGCACCGCATGAGCCAAGTGTCGGGAGAATTGGCTCTCCGAGTGCTCTTCTTCCCAGTCCAGCCAAAGACTTCGAATGCTTGCTGTCCAGTATTGAACAAAGCTTGCATCTTCGATGGGCAGCACCCCTTCAAACGACACACGCACAGAATCTGGGACTGTACCCAGCTCCCATGAGACAATCAAAAGGGACTTGCCAATCAATGCCCTGCATGAGCGCTGTGCAAGCGAGACTGCGGAACCGAACGTTGGCAACGACAAGGAAGCCTCCTGTGCTCTCTCCGCCACAGAGAAACCAGATTTCTCTGAGCTTCCGGATGTGGGCGACAATTCGAACTTATTGGAGTTCTTGGACAACCGCAATGCGGTGCCACCTAGCCAAATCGACACCACGCATGCTGACGCAATTTCTGTCAGGTCTAATCGCTTGCTCGATGATAATCAAAGCCCTGTCACAGATTTGGGGGCTCTCGACTCAGGTTTGAGAGCTTCCGATTTACATTTCGAGGTCCTACAGCAGAATTAAATTTCAAACCACAGGCGACCTCGTATTTCCCTGCGATTTAGCGATCCTTCTCACGTTGCCAAACAGGTAAAGCAGATAGTTACATTACTGACAAACTATACCGCGTTTAAGATGCAGTACGGCTTGGACTGTAAGTTGGTGGCTCATTATCCATGCCGTCCGTTACTGGATTTTGGTTCAGATCTCAAACACTGGCGCTCGTTCTCAGAAAGTTCTGGCTTTACGAGAAAACATTCAGGCTTTTGACTGAACTTGACGCAAGCGATACCGCGACTGGCACCGACTCAATGGACTCGGAAAACAGTGGTACAAAAGCTCGAAACGCTATTGAAATTATTGACGTGTGGGAGGAATTGAGAGACCTGGGAAAAGCATGGGAGCCACTTTCAACAGACGTCAAGATTTTAAACTCTCTTGCACGGTATCTCAAGCGCAACCCAGAAGTGAAAGCTAAATTCGAAAAAACAAGAATCGCAACTAGGAAATCGTTTTGCGACGAGCTTAAGAGATGTATGATTGTAACGGAGGAGATAAGAGTGGAGGAGCCAGGTTTGTGTCATAACGATGGTTGTATAACATCAGAAATCACCTTTCATCGGTACCCATTCATCAAAACATGCTGGACAAGCGCTCGCGCTCGAGTGGATAAGAGATCCGGTGAGTTGAAGGATGTTGATTTCGTATTTATTTGTGTTTTTTTAAACTGATCTGGGTGGTACATGGGGAGGTAGCGCCGTTATACGGGAGAAGGACCATATGCTGAAGGAAGACATGGAGTAACGATGGACTTAAAGTTTTTAAAGGTCTCTCTTCGCCAAAATCATAAATCTAATACGTCTTTTCTCGGTGGTCGACTTTGCATTTCTGCCTGGAGACCCTCTGCACGCTCCTTCAGAGACTTGATTTCCTTATCTGCGTCCTCGATTTGCTTTTTAAGGTCGTCGATGTTCATGTTCTCGGAATCGGTTCTGTAGTTTTCCTTGAGCTCTAGCAATTCCCATACCAAGCCGTACGTTCTGAAAACGGTGAAAGTGAGAAACAAAGTGATTCCGGTCAAATACATGTTCCTTTGAGCGTAGAACTTGCGACTTTGCACTTCGTTACGATCGCTGACGCCTGCAGCTATGGAAGTCTGCGACAGCTCGGCATTTATGGAATAGACGCGATTGATGGTGTCCACAAACAGCAGCATTATGAACCCCAAGATGCACTTGATTGCAACCTGGATCTGGGTCAGCCGAAACGGTCTGATCAAAGCCATGGTGACAGGTTTCCGGTATTTGGATGGAACGGGCAGAGCCAGCAGCAGAAACATGACCATTTCGATAGCCAAAATTCCAAACACGAATGTATAGTAAAGAGTCATGTTTGGCAATGGGATAAGTGAGTAGAATACGGTGTGCGCGTTTGAGTTTGAACTGCAAATGTGCAAGGATTGGTAAAGAAGAAGTGTGGTAGGGGACACATTTTATTATTTGAAAATGTCCAAGACAGATGTGTCATTTTGTACGCACAAGATGGTAAGGCCGTGAACGAAGTGAAGTGAGCCAGTTGTAAAGAGGACTCTAGAGAGGAGTTTTTTGGGAGCTGGTGGGAATTGGAGCTGGTACCTTGTTTGCCCTTATACTTTGGTATGAAGGGGGATTGTAAGAGTGAAGAGGTGAAGTTAATGAGGTCACGTGATCGTAAACATTCCAGCCCACAATGCACGTTCACTGTCACCTAAGGAGGTTTCAGCTAGTCGCCAGAGCTCCCCTAGTGTGTGCGTATGTGAGATATTTGTGTTTGTGAGAGTTTTGACACTTGTGTGTATGACACTTGTGTGTGTTTTTGACACTTGTGTGGGGGTCTGTGTTTGTTAGCGAGCGCTTTCAGACGGACTTGTTTACCACGAACAGAATTACAAAACGAGAAATTGTGAGCCCGATATCAATTGTCTTTGAGGAAACTTGCCGGTTTCTGGTTTTCTTGAGCAGTGATTTTATTGTATATTGGAATAATGTTGTTTTCGTGACGCTGAGAGATGACAGAAAATTCAAGAAGCAGTGAAATTGGCTACAAGCAGTGAGTGGCTATAAGCATTGTTTTAACAAAAACGAGAATCGCCAGATGAGCTCGGAACGTCATTGAAATAATCTCTTGTTGGCAATTGACAGCGCTAGCAACCGGTCTACACAGCGTTTTTCTATTGAAAATTGACCGCTGGCGCTGTCGACTGTGAGACTATACAAGTTTCTGCGCTGGTGTCCTTCTCACAACGAGATCTTGACTTCTCGTCATGTTACGATTTGCAATTGAGCACTAACACTTTTGATTGTAGTATGTGCTCGAGACTGAGTGCTTGAGTACAATCGCGAGCACACTGGCGAGTAAAAGCTCAACCCGATGCATATTCAACAGCCAATATTTGATGCTTTACTGTTTAGGAATGCGGATTAGTTGTCAACGGTCTCAATTGTTGGCGTTTTACACGTTTATAGTTGGCTTCGGTAGCGAATTTGCAGGATTACGAGTGCTGATACTTATTCTTTGTTCCACAATTGAAGGCGTCCAGAAGAATTTGTGGGTTCTTGTTCGTGGATTCTACGTTCCACAATTGACCGCTGAGGCGAGTACAGATATGTTTCTATAAGGTGCTGAACCGGAACTCGTAATAGAACACTCGTGGTTGACACTCTCAGTACAGCACCGCAAACAACATATCCATTTATGGGTCTGTTGCTGCGCTTATTCTTTTCATCATTCTGTTTGGCAGATTTCTATCATACTTACCTGCGGGGAAGAAGTTACATGATTTGACTCCAGCCCAAAAGGGCTCTAGGTTTATGAATATTTTCATTACTGCCATCACTGTTATTGTTGTGGCAGTTCCTGAGGGTCTGCCTCTGGCTGTGACACTAGCTTTGGCGTTTGCCACGACTCGAATGACTAAAGATGGAAACCTCGTCAGAGTTTTGAGAGCCTGTGAAACAATGGGTTCGGCCACTGAGCTACGAATTCAGTATTCCGGTGATACTACGAGGGTGTACTTGAGGGTGTTTTTTGACGCTCAGGGATCAATAGCTCAGTAGCGGCTCGAGTGCTTGTAGTCAGGGTACTACGAGATCGTCGTACTCGTAGTGGTGCTCAGTACTCATGCGCGTTTGTCCTGGGCCTTCATCTGTTCGATGAAGCCAAGAGTTCTTGAAGCTATCAATGGTAAAACAACATCTGTACATAATGCTTGTGAGCTAATGGTAAAACAATCTCTCTACATTTTTCACAATTGAGAGATGACGCTTGTAGCCACTCTACGTATGTTCAATTGTGCTCTGAGTAACACCAAGAGAATAAATACATAATAACACCACCAGCGCTCCGAGTACTTCGCCCACGTGCTCATTCTACACCCATACACCTTTACACCCATACACATTTACCACACATACACCCTCACACCCCTCCACCCATCCACCCATCCACCTTTACCCGCCCTCTCCTCCATGCACTGCTACGGCCGTTTCTGAGCCCACGCGTACCGCACGCGACGATGGGAGTGTTTTTTTTTAAAAATCGCTTCTGTCCAGCTTTACCAGCGAGTTTTTGCCCCTGGTCGTGGGTATTTAAGCACGAAGCCTTTTAGGTCTTCTGGCTGCTTTCCCCAGGGAACTCAGAAAAATAAAAAAATTCCAAAACCCATAACAATAACAAAAGAAAAAAATAAAAACACGAAAAAAACAAATAAGGGAAAAAGAAACGAGGGAACGCGAAAAAAGAAGAAGAGAGATTACATAATACACTCAGCTCTGACGAAGAACGTGACCATTGTCGTACACAAGCATATCTATAATCACGCTCGACGGAAAAAACTGACTGAGGTTACCCTGGGTGACAGCAAGAGAGCCAGAGATATCGCACCCAGACACCACAGATTAGTCACATGACAGAGGCCGAGCCGGTCTTTATGAACGGCGGCGGCGGAGGATTTGCCGCCGCCGCCGTACAAAAGCATGAGGATGTTGCCCCTAACGGTGACCACGTGAGGTCGGCGGCTAGCGCCGCTAGCGGCGCTACCACCGCTGAGCTCCCGCTCCATCAAGAAACCCAACCACCAACCGTCAAGCCAGATGAGAACTCCACAACCGTGCCCGCCACAACCGTGCCCACCACGGCCACACCCGCGCCAGCACCGCCGCCAGAACCAGATCTCAACAACCTGCCCCAGAACCCACTCCCCAAACACCAGAACAAACACGCCACCACGGCCGTCAAGGCCGTCAAACGTCTAAAAGACGCCCGGCCCTTCCTACAGCCCGTCGACCCCGTCGCGCTCAACGTGCCGCTCTACTACAACTTCATCCAGCGGCCCATGGATCTTGGAACCATCGAGCGCAAGTTGCAACTCAACGCGTATGAAACGCCAGAACAAGTGTCGGCAGACTTCAAGCTCATGGTCAAAAACTGTGTTCGTTTCAACGGCGAGGCCGCCGCCATCTCGCAGATGGGTCGCAACATCGAGGCCAGCTTCGAAAAACACATGCTGGGAATGCCAGCGCGCGACGCTCCGCCAAGACCACGCGTCAAACGTCGCCGTTCAGAGCTCGAAACCCCTGTGGTGATACGTCGGGCCGAGTCCCACAACGGCAGACCCAAACGTGAGATCCACCCTCCCAAATCCAAGGACATCTACCCATACGAGTCGTCCAAACCGCGTTCCAAGAAACACCAAACTGAGCTGCGATTCGCACAACAAGTGGTCAAAGAGCTCATGTCCAAAAAATACAGCTCTTTCAACTACCCATTTCTGGAACCCGTGGACCCAGTGGCTCTCAATTGTCCCACATATTTCGACTATGTCAAACAGCCCATGGATTTGGGCAGCGTGAGTAGAAAGCTCAGTAATTGGGAGTACGAAAACGTCGAACAAGTGGAAGCAGACGTGCGACTCGTGTTCAAAAACTGCTACGCATTCAATCCAGACGGCACGATCGTCAACATGATGGGCCACCGTCTCGAAGAAGTGTTCAATTCTAGATGGGTGGATCGACCCGTCGTGGCAGACGACGAGTCCGACGAGTCTGACGAGGGCGAATCGGACTACTCCAGCGATGACAACGGCTTAGACATCAACGGTGGTTCCGGTGGTGTCGGTGCCGGTGCTGGTGGACAAGACGATAACGACGTGGACGAAAGTCTGATCACCAACCCAGCGATCCAGTATCTCGAACAGCAACTGGCACGCATGAAGGTAGAACTACAAAACCTCAAGAAACAAGAATTAGAACGCATTCGCAAAGAACGGCGACTAGCCAGGGGAACCCGCAAGAGACGTACAGGTCGCAAGAAATCTAGAACCGATGCAAACGGCCACGGGAGACGCAAAAAGAGCAAGTTGAAAACGGTGGTCACTTACGACATGAAGAAAATCATCTCCGAACGAATCAATGACCTGCCGGCATCCAAGCTGGAAAAAGCCGTGGAATTGATCAGGAAATCGATGCCGGACATTGGTAAAGAAGATGAAGTCGAGTTGGATATCGACATGCTAGATAATACCACTATTTTGACGCTTTTCAACACGTTTTTCCGGGCGTACGCCGACACCAGCAATGGGAACGGAGCTGCTGCAGACGATGCTTTGACGAGCCGCAGCTCGCTGTCTCCGAATGCAGCCGGATCCAAGAGGGCCAGACGCAGAAGCAAAGCTCTGAGCGAACAAGAGCAAAACAAACAGATCGAAAAGATCAAAAACAAACTAGCTATATTGGACGGAGCTTCGCCAAACACCGCGAACGCCTTCAGCAACCTTGCTGCGGGTGAAGATTCCTCCGATGATGATGACGACGACGACTTAAGCAGCGAAAGCGAAGAAGAGTAAAACTGAGGGCAAACCGAGCAATTCGCGCTCACAATGGCGCTTGGCATTTTACAAAACAAAAGACAAAAGACAAAAAACTATAATTTCTGCAAGGATAGTGTAAATTAGGATGGACGACGACGAAGCCGAAAGAGAAACAAGGTCGACAGACATTGCAGTTAATCATCGGTTTGGTCTTTTGGGTAAAAATTTCCCACCCTCATCCTCATTCCACTCTGATTCTCATCAGAAACTTGATGTTTCGGCAACCTGAGCTTATCACAAATTTCACTTCAAATTAGTATATATAGCATGGAGTTTGCAGGGGTTTGGGCGATATGTATTGTACCATATCTCAGCGCCCTCCTCGTGTATTTTAACAAAATAAAGTTTAGAAAAGACAGAGTTTGCGAAACGGAGATGTGTTCGATAGGATTTGGAGCACTTCAACGTCCACGTCATGGATATATGTTGTTATTTGAATAATGTAATCCATGCTACTACTTGAACGTGTCAAAGTTTAAACCAGTGTTGACAATTTGGGTCACAAACTTCCCTCCAAAATTCATTGTCATCAATCCTCATTTTAATATTCATATATGCGATATAAACAAAAAAAGCGAACCTGAACAAAATATGGGGAACAACAGCTCCCCGGTTGATATTAAGTGGAGAGCTAGCCATAAATTAGCACTACCAGTCGATTGTGGAGATATGAATAGTTTTCCAGTGACCGGATGCTCGCAACGTCATTTACTGCCTAATTCAATATTTTTTCAATATTTACTGACACTGGCCATAAGTTGCTTTAACCCTCACTTAGTGACCAAGAAAAGATGTCATTAAATCAATTCCAATTTCAAATCAGCATTCAAATGACTTATAGACGATTCTCATACCCCAATGGACTTTTTTTATCATTACTTTGGATTGAGGAAAGATACCAATCATATTGACAATTTAAGCGGAAGTCATAGCCAAGTTTAGAGAACTTTTTCAACCTCCTATATCGTAATGCGCTTGAAACAGCCACGAGAACTATCAATCAAGTACAATAGACAAGATCTCGAGCGGTAGAATATCATTCATTTTCGAATGATGCTCATATCTATTTCTCAGCATCTCACGCACCTATATTAGTGAATTCAGCATACATGCAAGCTAAACCATTAATTGAACCTGACCAAAATACAGATGAACCCATCGGCAATTGCCAACTGCTCTTCAATTGCTTCCGTTCTTAACCGATCTCTCGAACTTATATGCCGTTAAACGAAATTCCATACTAGCACTAGACATAAATCCATCTAGGATGAACAACACTGCGATATACAAATTCAGAGACCAAGAAGAGCCATGGCGTCGCCAGATGTATCACTCGAGGAGCTTTTTCAACGCCTGAAAGAGCTAGATCATAATGGGTCCGAAAAGTTTGAAGACGTGATGACGAAAACCACTACAAACGAGTATTCTGAAGCTGCAAGCAGCAAGGAAGTGTTAGACAGATTTCTTCAACCTTCGAACGTTTTGCCCTGGAAGTTGCTAGATCTGTTCCAAGAAGTGCCCGAAATGAACTTTATGGAGGACAGTGACCGTCCTGGAAGTGCCGATTACGACTACAAAGAGTTTTTGCAGATTCCGGACTTTATCAAAAGAACAGCTTACCACTTCAAGAGGAGGGGTATCGAGGGTAAAATTGAGGGATATAAGGAATCGGTCAAATTAGAGGAAGTTGCTAATGCCAATGCCTCAAATTCATTGTCTCTTTCTAGAAAAATCAACGCTGAGAGCAATATGATCAGAGGCTCCAGCAATCAGTTGCCGTTCACTCCCGGTGGCCTGACCATGTCTACGTTGGGTCAAACCAGCGGTGTGTCAAGTATGGCCAATGCCACCAAGCTATTGCATCGGGACGAAGAGGGGTTGTTTGATGTTCCACCAGGTCTCGAGCGAGGCATCATTCCACAGGTTTTGACCGCTGGAGATTCTGACCAAATAGAAGGCGTCAATGCTTTGAATAGTATTGATAATGAATTGGAGAACTTGCAGGAAATCACAGAACGTCGTCAAAGGGAAGAGGAACTTTTGGAACAGAAGGCCTCCGATCTCATTATTGCTAATAAGCACGATGATAACGCAGATGCGGGAATCGACGATTTGCTTCCTATAGGGATTGATTTCGGACGCACTATTCGAAAGACAAAGAATGAGCTGGGACGCAAAGATTGGGCCCATGTTGTGGACCTAAATCACAAAATTGATAATTTCGAAGAGCTGGTTCCAAACCCTGCCAGAACCTGGCCTTTTGAGTTGGATGTCTTTCAAAAAGAAGCTGTCTATCACTTGGAACAGGGTGACTCCGTCTTTGTAGCCGCGCATACGTCTGCTGGTAAAACTGTGGTAGCAGAATACGCTATTGCGATGGCAAAGCGGAATATGACGAAAACGATCTACACCTCCCCTATTAAAGCTTTATCGAATCAGAAGTTCAGAGATTTCAAAGAAGATTTCGAAGACGTCGACGTCGGTTTGATTACAGGTGACGTCCAGATCAACCCCGAGGCAAACTGTCTTATCATGACTACCGAAATTTTAAGGTCGATGCTCTACCGTGGCGCTGATTTGATCAGAGATGTCGAGTTTGTGATCTTCGATGAAGTACACTACGTTAATGATCAAGATCGAGGCGTTGTATGGGAAGAAGTCATTATTATGCTTCCACAGCATGTTAAGTTTATCTTACTATCTGCTACGGTTCCCAACACTTTTGAATTCGCCAATTGGATTGGTAGGACAAAGCAAAAGAACATATATGTCATCTCTACGCCTAAAAGACCAGTGCCACTGGAGATAAACGTTTGGGCCAAGGAAAAGTTAATACCTGTCATAAACGAGAAAAGAGAGTTTCTTGAGGCTAACTTTAAGCTGCACAAGGAGCTTGTGGCTGGGAAGAGCGCTGCTCCTGGCAAAAGTACTTCCTCCACTGCAAGTCGCAGCCGTGGTGGAAGCGCTCGTGGTGGTGCTACTAACCGTGGTGGACCTATGCGCGGCGGTTCTCGCGGGGGGTCCCGCGGTGCCGGTGCGGTGGGATCTAACAGAAGCGACTTTTTCAAAAGAAGTGGCCCAAACAAAAAGACGTGGTCAAATCTCGTCAATTACCTTAAGGCCAATGAGTTACTTCCAGCTGTAATCTTCGTCTTTAGTAAGAAGCGATGCGAGGATTACGCAGACTGGTTGGATGGTGTCAATTTCTGCGCCAGTAAAGAGAGGTCGCAGATTCGTATGTTTATCGACAAGTCAATAACGCGGCTTAAGAAGGAAGACAGAGAACTTCCTCAGATTACAAAAATAAAATCCCTATTAGAGAGGGGTATTGCTGTGCATCACGGCGGTCTTCTACCCATTGTTAAAGAACTGATCGAATTGTTATTTGCTAAGGGACTCGTCAGGGTGTTGTTTGCTACAGAAACCTTCGCCATGGGATTGAATCTACCAACCAGAACTGTCGTTTTTAGCGAAATTCAAAAACATGACGGTAATAGTCTAAGAAATCTAAGCCCAGGTGAGTTCACGCAAATGGCGGGAAGAGCAGGTCGTAGAGGTTTAGACAAGACCGGAACAGTCGTTGTCATGTCTTATACTTCACCTTTAGAGCAGGCTTCATTCAAAGAGGTTGCGCTTGGTGTCCCGACCAGGTTACAATCTCAATTCAGATTGACTTACAACATGATTTTAAACCTTTTGAGAATTGAAGCTCTTCGAGTTGAGGAGATGATAAAGTATTCTTTTAGCGAGAATAGTAAGCAAACCTTACTGCCGGAGCATGAAAACCAAATCAAGAGCTTACAAAGCCAGTTGGATAGTATACAGTTCTACGATGGTACCGACCAAGAAGAGCTGGATAAGGCTTTAGATGCAATTATACGGTACAAGGAGTGCACAAAGGACATGATGAAGGAGCTTGCAGGCGGAAGCAGTGTGTTCCGCGTCCTAAACGTTGGCCGATTGATTCTTTTCAGGGACGAGAATGATAATGCGAAGCTGGGTTTTGTGTTTAGAAACTTACCAAAAGAGGGTCAAGTTGTTGTCATGACTGTGACGAAGGCCAATACGCTTGAGAATGGTCAGCCCAATCACCTGCCATTCTTCTCAGGAATTCCAAACTTCATCAGAAATAACTACAGAAACTTCGAAGAGACTGATTTTTACATGGAAACTGTCGCGATGGAGAATATCGAGATGGTAAGCGCGTTTACTCTGGATGTTTCCATGACGGATATCATGAAGCAAGAGCCAGAGGTTTTGGAGAAGTTCAAGAGTGAGGTGTCGCTCATTTTGAGAATATCCAAAAAGCTGAAAGAGACGAAGTATGAGAAGAAGGGCAGTTTGAAGATTCATCAGGCTGTCTTGGACAGAGAAAAGATAAAGGCGGAAATCGCTTCATTAGAATGCTTGAAAGCTCCAAATTTCTCAGTGCAGTTTTCGCCAAAATACAAGGAGTTTGAAATCCAGAGACAAATAAAGGAGCTCTACCATTTGATGTCTGATCAAAACTTGAGCCTGCTTCCGGACTACGAGCAGCGTCTCTCCGTCTTGAAAGATGCAGGATTTATTGATCAAGGTCATAATGTTTTGCTAAAGGGACGTGTTGCGTGTGAGATCAATTCTGGCTACGAACTTGTTTTAACAGAGTTAATTCTCGACAACTTTTTGGGTGACTTCGAGCCGGAAGAGATTGTGGCGCTACTTTCAGTTTTCGTCTATGAGGGTAGAACTAGAGAAGAGGAGCCCGCGGTGGTTACTCCTCGATTGGCAAAGGGTAAGAGTAGAATCCAAGAAATCTACCAGGCCATGTTAGACGTGTACGAAAAGCATCAGATTCCGCTAACGAAAGAGGAAGCGGAGTTTTTGGAGAAAAAACGATTCGCACTCATGAACGTAGTGTACGAATGGGCCAGAGGACTTTCATTCAAGGAGATCATGGAGATGAGCGTCGAGTCTGAAGGTACTATAGTGAGGGTCATCACCCGTCTAGATGAAATTTGTCGGGAAGTGAAAACGGCTTCAATCATCATTGGAAACTCTACCTTGCATATGAAGATGTCTCAAGCCCAAGAATTGATTAAGAGAGACATCGTGTTTGCCGCAAGTTTATATCTGTGATGGAAAAGTTGTTTATAGAGATATAATAGGCGTAAAAACCGCTAAAAACGTAGAAAGCTGATCATAGTGACTAAAACTCGGTGGACAAGACGGTTTGTGTGTGTGACTTATGGCAGAACCACAGACTCTAGTGACCAAAGGCGGCTTTCAACACAGGTTTGGCAACCCGTTCTCGCAGTAAGGATGTGATTTTTTTTGATCGTTGATGAGACTGAGATACCCTATCATGGCGTAAAAACATCTCTGGTCAAAACTCGCTGAGTCCTGATAGGTACCACGCTTTCTGGCATCGGGAGACGCGCCAGTTTGTTGAATCTGCGCCTTAAGAACCGTCGAAGCAGAACATCGGGCAAGCGTCGGGATGAGCTCATATGATTCATTTTGGCCTCGTAGTTAAAATCCAGCCCAGCGACGTCCTGCGAACTCTTCTTGAACACATCTAAAAAACTGCGCAGTATGATCAGTCGCAGGAGGGACCCGCCCAGAGCCTGCAAATTTCCAACCTGGGATTTTTGTCCGTCCGGAAAGTTCACCATACTGTGCTTTACCGGGTAGAGACACTTTCCAAACTCCTTTAAATTACCACAACCAACGCCGTATGCGTCCAACTGGAGACTTTCCTTCACCAATCGCAGCTTCTCTGCATCTTTGGCCTGGGATCTTTGCTGGCCATAGGAACGCTGCCAAAGCCGCAATTTGAGCGTTTTGACCGCTAAGTTTTCTCGTAGAATCGAGAGCCTACATTTTAGAGCCCACATGAAGCATCCAGTCCCAAATATAATGGTCAAATGGTGTTGAAATAGTCCTGTTCACTTTTGACATTTCTCATTTCAAGAATTAATATATATATATATTTATGTATCTATCTCATCTCGAATCATCTCTTCTCATCGCATCGAGAAAAGTATAAAAACCATACAAAAACGTCCCTAAAATGCCCCCCAAGGCGTCCAGTTCGTCCGGCAAGAAGAAGAGCAGTTCTGGTAGCACAGATGATGTGAAAACGCCAAAATTCAAGCTTCCAACGACGTTCATAGCCCGACCCAGCACCAAGACAGACGACCGCGCTATTTGCAATGTTTATATGAGCAAAGAGGTGATGAAGGCGCTTGAAATTGAGGTTGACGGATTATGTCTGGTTGGAAAACTCAGTGAAAACGGTGTGGTGGCCGTGGCGCATTTTGGCGACGATTCGATGCCAGACAATGTGGTGCAAGTCTCAGAGCCGCTTCGATCTGTGGGAAATATATTGTTGGGAGACCGCATCGAGGTTAAAAAGGCGAACCTGCAGCCGGAATATGCGTCGAGCGTTACAGTGGGATCAAAACAGGGTGTGCAACTACCAGCTGAAGCAGAAAAGCATATTGGTAAATTGATGGATGAGTGCGGGCTGGTAATGCCAGGAATGGCGTTTTCTAGTCGTGTAATCACTGAAGATCTAGTCTTAGACCTAGTTATCACAAGTGTCAATGATATACCCGCCGATGAGCTGCCTAATATTGCGAAACTCGACCTGAACGGCTCAGATTCCGTGCAAAACCAAGTTTTCTATCTCTCCCCACCTGCAATTTTCCGCAAAGACACCACCAAGATTATTTTGAGTACAGAGGTGGCTCCTTCGTTCAAATACGGACTCCCACAGCCCATGAGCTACGACAGCGTTGGTGGATTGAACAAAGAGGTGGACTTGCTCAAAAGAACCATTGAACTCCCGCTACACGAGCCAACTCTATTCGCTGAGTTCGGGGTGACTCCGCCCCGAGGAATTCTACTTCATGGCCCCCCAGGAACGGGTAAAACAATGCTGCTGAGATGCGTCGCCGGTGAGGCAAACGCACACATTTTAACCATCAACGGACCGTCCATCGTCTCGAAATACCTTGGAGAAACAGAAGCCGCCCTAAGAGACATTTTTAACGAGGCCAAGCTATACCAGCCGTCGATAATTTTCATTGACGAAATCGATTCCTTGGCGCCTAGCAGATCGAGCGATGATTCAGGCGAAGTCGAGAGCAGGGTCGTTGCAACCTTGCTTACTTTAATGGATGGCATGGGCAGCTCGGGCCGTGTTGTGGTTGTTGCCGCGACAAACAGGCCCAACTCTGTCGACTCGGCATTGAGAAGGCCGGGACGGCTAGACCAAGAAGTCGAGATTGGAATTCCTGACGCTGATGCCAGACATGACATTCTGATCAAGCAATTCAGCAAGGTTTCGGTAAAACGTCATGAGCTGAGCGCAGACGACATACAGCTCGTTGCATCTCGCACGCATGGTTATGTTGGCGCGGATTTGGTGGCATTGTGCAGGGAGTCGGTGATGAAAACGGTCCAGAGAGGCGTCATTCAGAATCTGGCCAGAGACACTTTGAAGATCACCTTGAAAGATGTGGAAGACGCCATGACGGAGATACGTCCAAGCGCCATGCGAGAGATCTTCCTTGAAATGCCAAAAGTGTACTGGTCAGATATTGGCGGTCAAGATGACCTCAAGGTGAAATTGAGAGAGATGATCCAACTGCCGCTAGAAGCGTCCGAGTCCTTTGAGCGTCTTGGAGTGTCAGCTCCGAAAGGTGTGCTGCTTTATGGACCGCCTGGTTGCTCCAAAACTCTGACGGCGAAGGCACTGGCCACCGAATCTGGTGTAAACTTTTTGGCTGTGAAAGGGCCCGAGATCTTCAATAAATATGTGGGTGAATCGGAGAAAGCGATCAGAGAAGTGTTCAGGAAGGCAAGGGCAGCGGCCCCCAGTATCATTTTTTTCGACGAGATCGATGCTTTGTCTCCTGACCGTGATTCTGGTGGTTCTACGTCCGCAGCGAACCATGTGCTTACTTCTTTGTTGAATGAGATTGACGGTGTTGAAGAACTTAACGGAGTTGTTATAGTAGCTGCAACCAACAGACCCGACGAAATCGACCCGGCGCTGTTGAGACCAGGAAGACTCGACCGTCATATTTATGTCGGTCCGCCAGATTTTGAGGCCAGGCTACAGATCTTAAAGAAAAACACGAAGAACTTTCAAGTGGAAGATGCAGACGCTATTTTGAAAGATCTGGCAGAGAGAACCGAGGGCTGTTCTGGTGCAGAAGTGGTGCTTTTATGTCAAGAAGCTGGATTGGCTGCTATCATGGAAACTCTCGAAGCTGAGCGAGTACAGAAAAAACATTTCGAGAAAGCACTCAGCGGCATCTCGCGAGGCATCGACCAAGAGATGCTAGACTACTACCAGAGCTTCCAGTCTCGCAGTGGCATTTCGGCTTGATAGCTCATCGAGTGCTGGCGTAAAGTGTCGATGTCACCACAGACGAAACTTACATTTGGATTTAAAGGTCTTAGAATGCACAACTTTGACCTCTTATAGAATGGTTCAAAGAAGATCGCAATGAGTCAGACGGTTAACACTCGAAGGTTCGCTCGTCTCGTGCGAGATGGATTGATCAAGACACTTAACGGTATTTCCAATGGTGAGTTGTCCCAAATCCTGATCTTGCAGGCTGAACTGGTGTCATTTCTCAACAACGTGTGCACGTACAGCACACTGACGGAATCTACAGCAGTTGCTAAAATAGTGACTGCTGATACGAACTGCTACACCGTTTTAAATGAATTGATGGCAGAGGAAGAGTTTCAGCTGGTTTTCGTGGCCGATGTGCGATCTGATTTGCGAGTGCCCGCTGAATTCGGCAAATACATCCAGAAGTTCGAGTCGCAATCTCCACAATTAGTGTACCTGACGTGGGAAACAAATCCATCCAATATACCGAGCAAACTCCCGCATTTCTTGGAGTTTCAGCTGGGACACAACGTGGGGCTTCACCCGTGGTTCGCGCTGCCCACCAGCGTGTTGGACGATAATTTGTTGAATGCAAATGTTTTGTACAACAGCGATGGCGAGAGTCTGTACATGCCACCATCCGAATCGATGCAGAAGTCGTCGCGTGGTATCCTGATACAAAACATGTCAAGCGCCGTCCAAGCGATTTTGAAAGAGTCAGGTCTGTCAGTGACGCACGCAGTTTCGTTAGGCAAAAACTCTCATAAGTTGGTGGATCATCTAAGGCGGGAATTAGAAAGTCGCAAGGACGAAGTGGACGCGTTTGTGGACAATACATTGTATGGTGCCCGTCATTCCGGATTACAGTGTAACCTAATTGTACTGGAAAGAGATATAGATTCTCTCACGCCTCTCTGCTCGCAACTGACTTACGCGGGAATTTTGGATGATCTTTACGAAATGAAACATAAAACTTTGATACATCAACCGCCTTTGACGGATATCGACGCGGTGTCTCTCGATTACGACAAGGACGAGGTGTGGAACGAGCTGAAATTCAAGAATTTCGGAGCTCTGGGTTCACGTCTCAACGAACTTGCACGAGAGTTACAAGCGGGGTACGATTCGCGGCACCAAGCCGAGAGTGTGAGCGAGATAAAACAGTTTGTAGAAAACCTGGGAGGCTTACAAGAACGACAAAAGCTGCTGAAGCTTCACACGGCGTTGTCTTCCAAAGTATTAAAAGAAGTGGCAGACAAAGATGAAGGAGAGGGCGAATCGCTTTTCAATCGCGTTATGGAAATTGAACAAGATTTGATAGCCGGAAATCTGGGCCAGCGCTCCAATTGCGAAAAGATTTTAGAGCTGTTGCATGAGGGATGCTTATCCTTTTCTGGTGTGGTCAGACTATGCTGCATTTTTTCGTTGGCCCGGAACGGCATTCGTGATCGGGAATACAATCTGCTTCGCACTGAAATCGTTGATACATGGGGAGTAGAAGCTATGTTTGGCCTACAAAGATTGGCTAGGGCTGGAATGTTTCTCAGCAAGGCTACTTTCGCGAAATACTCGCCCTGGACAGATTTTGACACGTTTGCAGCTTACTTGGACCTAGTGCCTCAGTCTGACAGAGACGGCGACCCATGCGACCCAGGGGACCCACAGGACAGTTCCTTTGCATACTGCGGAATCGTGCCCATTATGACGCGAGCAGTGCAGCTCTTATACGACCGGTCCATTGTAAGCAAGACCTTTTCTTCGCAGCAGCCATTCATCATTTCACGCACGCCGTCGTGGCGAGGCCTGGAAGAGCTATTCACACAGCACTATGGGCCTGGAATCGCGCGGGAACAGGTTTGGGACGAGTCTGCCTCTGCACGGACCAAAATGATCGGCAAACCTGCCAAGGGGGTGGCAGATCCGGTGCTGCTGGTGGCGATTGGGGGTATCACGATGGGCGAGATGGCCACGTTGCAGTTCTTGGCCCGCCAGCTGCGCCAGAAGGGCTTGCACAAGAGGTTTATAGTGGTCACGGACGGAGTTGTTGGCGCTGCGCGCCTGACGAGCTGTTTGCCCGGGAAAGCGCTGCAATAGCCAGCCAAAACCCACGCTCGAGCATTACAAGATATCGTCGACGAACACCTATTGAAAAGAATCGTATTTGTATTTAAATTTGAATTTGAATTTGAAGTTGTATTTGGCTATAAAACGACGCCTGTGAACGTTAGCCATGCAAAAATAAAGAGATATAGATATAAATTAATCCGAAACGCCTAGCGTCTCGTTTCGGTTCCGGTTATGGTCCCAAATATGGCCACCATTCTTTCTCCGAGTTCCAGCGTCTGTGTGTGTGTAGTCTTGCGTGTCGTAGTGGCGGCGAGTTCATACATGCGGTTATCGGTTTTCTTGCTTCCCCGTCTCTCTGTGCCACCAACTGCTTAGTTTTCAGCCGCTTTTTGAGCCGCCAAATTCTCGTAGAACGCCTCTCTCTTGTTGATCAGTCTCTTGTGGAATCCCCACCAGTAGTAGCTGCCCATCACTCCGCCAATGGCGAAGCCGATGGTGATATCGGCGATGATTCTCTTTCTAAGGGTGCCGGTAATAGGCGTTAGGGCAGACATAGGGACAATGCTAGACAACTGTTGGGCTGATAGCTAGTGAATTCTGGTGTTGGTCAAGTTGGTCAAGTTGTTCGAGTTCTTGAAGTTTGACGAAATCTATAATTTTTCAATATATTTAAGAAACAAAATGATCACCTGACCGCTGACCAATCACGGGCGAGAAATGTTTTTATCACTGTATACGCAATATCCGATGAAAAATTCCCAAAATCTTGAAATTTGACCATAACGGAATTCATCTGTCTACCACTAACTACGTTTACCATCGACAACTCGAGACCGTCCTAGTTGCCAGCACCGAGCCTCACAGACACCAAATTACAATGCTATTCCCACAGTTGACCAGAACCGCCGCCAGAGTGGCCTCCAGAAGAGCGTTTTCCGCTTCGTCCAGACAATGCGGTGTGCATTTCAAAGAAGGCTTGTACACGAACATCCCAGTCAAAGTTCACAACAGAAAGATCCCATTTGCGTTGATCCATTTCGGATGGTTCACGCTTGGGTTTTTGGTGCCCTTCATCTCGTCGTACGTGCAACTGAAGAAGTCCGGTGTGTTGTAAAGCGGCAGGGCCCGCTGGCGTCTTTTAATAGTACCATAATTTAGCACAGACATAGCATGTACAGGCTGTACCAATAGATGAAAATTAGGATTAGAAGAGAGAGGGAGGGAGGGAGCGGTGGCGAGAGTGAGCGAGCGTCGATGCCATGCTCGTTGTTGTAATACATACATTTCTTAGAGTCACGTGACCAGGACGGAATTAACGAGCGACGTCACAGCTGTCAATGCTGCAGAGCTCGTTGGTCAGGAGAATTGTACACCACAGCGTCAGCTAGAGCATTCACACACATAGGCCCACCAGATGTGTACTCTTTTCCCCATGCCAAATTTCAAATACTCAATCCTGGCTATTGAAGCTTTCGAGAAGCTCCCTTTACCACCGAAATCAGCTGCTAATAGCACTCTTTACCCACTCATTCACGCTCCCCTCCCAGGTTCACTCACTACCGATGCTGCTGAGATACACATTCACATCACTGTATACTAATGTGTCGTCGCTGCTAATTAAATCACGTGATCTTAGATCACAGACACACACACACCGTACCTTACGCTTTTCCTCGATCATGCAGCGCACACGCCCAGCTCGAGCATCCTACTTCTCACTACTCACCACACCAAGCAAACCTCTCCTTGCCTTTGTTTCCCGTATCTTGTCTCTTATATATCACTTTTACCCTATGTGTCGTTCCTCGGATAATTATTCATTTATATCTCAACAAACTACTAACCAAACCCACCCGAACAACCCGCAGTAGTAAGACTCACAATGGCTTAAAAATTTAAACCATTATTCTAAGCTCCTGTTCTACACTTCAAACGATTTGTTAATCCGCTTTGTCTCTCTGTATTCATCGTGACTCATGCACCATTTAGCGAACAACAATTGGCCAGAAAGGTAACCCTACGCTACATGACGAGGGGAAGCACGACCTCCAGAATAACCGGCCTTTTGAATATGCGGATCATTGACCAGATTGTCTTCGGAAATTGTGTAGAAAAATATCAATGATTGTGACTATAAAAGCTTCTGCAATTTAACAAAAGTATTGTAGTCCAAATCATATTGATCAATTCAGGATCTTTTGCCTGGTCTTTGAATCCCAATTTCACCAGCACAATGCTTTTCAAACGAAACCTGGCCTCCTCGGTGCGGAAAATAAAAGTCAAGACTCCACTCGTGGAGCTTGACGGTGACGAAATGACACGCATTATTTGGGACCGCATCAAGACAAAACTTGTGCTGCCCTACATGGACGTGGACTTGAAATATTATGACTTGTCCATCACCAACAGAGACAAAACGGAAGACGCTGTTACGCACGACGCAGCGCATGCCATTGCCAAGTACGGCGTAGGTGTGAAGTGCGCAACGATCACGCCCGACGAACAGCGTGTGGAAGAGTTCAAGTTGAAGAAGATGTGGAGGTCGCCCAATGGGACCATTCGTAACATCCTGGGAGGCACTGTGTTCCGTGAACCAATTGTAATCCCTCGAATCCCACGTTTGGTGCCCGGGTGGGAAAAACCCATCATAATTGGCCGTCATGCTCACGGCGACCAATACAAGGCGACCGATGTGGTGATCAAAAAGCCAGGTGTGCTGGAGCTAGTCCACAAGCCTGAAGATGGTTCGGACCCCCAGGTGATGCAGGTTTATGACTACAAGGCTGGAGGCGTGGCCTTGGCCATGTACAACACAGACGAGTCCATCCGTGGGTTCGCGCGTGCCTCTTTCGAGCTAGCCATCTCCAAGCAGCTCAATCTGTTCCTCTCGACCAAAAACACCATTTTGAAACACTACGATGGCCGTTTTAAAGATATCTTCCAGGAACTGTACGATGCGAGCTACAAAGCTCAGTTCGAGAAGGCCGGCATTTCGTACGAGCACCGTCTGATCGACGATATGGTGGCGCAAATGGTCAAGTCCAGGGGCGGGTTCATAATGGCTCTCAAGAACTATGATGGCGACGTCCAGTCCGACATCGTGGCCCAAGGTTTTGGTTCTTTGGGCCTGATGACATCGGTGCTCATCACGCCCGACGGGAAGACCTTCGAGAGCGAAGCTGCTCACGGCACGGTGACCAGACACTTCAGACAGCATCAACAGGGCAAAGAGACATCCACGAACTCGATTGCGTCTATCTTCGCCTGGTCTCGAGGCCTGGCGAAGCGTGGCGAACTGGACCAGACGCCCGACGTGACCGAATTTGCCCACAAGCTGGAATCGGCCACTTTGAAGACTGTGCAAGAGGACGGTATCATGACGAAAGATTTGGCACTTGCGTGTGGCAACAGCGATCGCTCGGCGTACGTGACCACAGAGGAGTTTTTGAGCGCCGTAGAAAAGAGACTCCAAAAAGAGCTCGAATTACAGACCTGAATATTCCAGCCCGCGACATCCAGCAGCAGCCCATAGCTTGAGAGCAGTCTCGCTTTAAGCAATTGCAGCTTGTACTCTTAATTTTATAGGTAAGTATGACTTCTTTTCCCACATTTTCATGCTACTTTCGAAATTTTAACCGCATTCTATCTTTGACCATCCTGTTGTCCCATATCAATACGTTTCTGACGCTGCTCGTACTCTTGCTCGCCTTTTTCAAGCCATTCCCAGGTCCAGTAAAGGGTATAGTAACTGGCCAGCAGTAAAGACAACGATCGACCCACAGGCTTCGCCCACAGCTTGTAAAGCATTGCATGCGGCGAAGACTTGGACTGGGAAGACCAAAGAATAGCGGTTGCTCTCATATCAAGACCTAAAAGACCGGCTTTGATGCTGACGTTGCTGAAGTGAAGCGGTAGTTGTAGTAGCGTTAGCGTTCATATTGATTTATATTCACAGGCTCTTCTCCAACACACCCATACACCACCTAGATTTTCTTACATATCGTTCAATGGCTACGATGGTGCAGTTGGCGTGCCCAGTTCTTTCTGAAGGCCTCTAACACATCTCCAAAGCAGGTTAAAGTCCTTTTTGTCGGCGCCCCCACACCCCATCCACCGAATCTTAAGCTCAGGGTCCACCAACAAGATATAGCTGGTGTATAGGTTGTTAATATGCAGTTCCTCACGGATGCCAAACGGCAGCTGATTTCTGTCGGCGAGGAAGTAGCGCGAATGACGCTCTTCGGGCACAATGGATCGCACCTGGCCCAACGCGAGTCTTGCGAAAAGAGCCTTCAGCTTGTTTTCGGTGAAATTGATCTCCACTATTTGGGTTTCTACACCTTCACCGTCTGTATTGAGTAGCGATTCTTGCTGTAGATAGTCCACACCGTCGTCTCCCTTGAAATACGACTTCCCCAGCGTGTCTCCTGCCGCGCTGGTGAAAATCCGAACGAGGGAAAGTTTGCCCCGAAGAGTATTTTCCAGATCCTGATCCTGGTTATTCACTAAGCTGCGGCCACGCATGTGTGGAAAATACAGTGCTTTATCCTGTCTCCAGAAAGATGGTGGTGATAGAAACATTTTCCCACCGGTTTTGCGAAACGTGTGCACGTCGTAGAGCCCGCCCTTGCTGAATTGCATTTCTAGCTCCCTTGTTCGCTGCGTGGTTTTGGCCTCGTCAAACAGTTCACGCACGCTGTTGCCCTCTTTGTACTTAGTGTTTGACGTGGGAGCGTCCGGGAGCCCTACAGGTCGTACCAATTCCTTCACAACATGTTCTTTTGGCGCTGTGTTGACCAGATGTTTCTGAAAACGGCCCAAAAATTGCACGTTGGTAGTACTAGTCAGTAGTCGTCTGAAGACAAGACCAGCCATGGTTTAAAAGGTATAAGAATGGTGTTCCGAGCAGGTTTGAGTCTTGTCGAGATCTTTGGATGAGCGCGATGAGCAAGAGCTTGAAAAATGGATATTTGCTCTATTTTGACGTGTCACGTGACCAAATTGCGTCAGTGAGTGCGCAGGAGCCGGTAAACAAGGTTCTAACGGGCGTTCCATGCGATAAGTAGAATTGTAAAAGTATGGACAGTTATTTGAGACAGTTTATGCTGTAGGTTTCATGCTTTTAGAAGTAAGAGGTTTTTGCTGTCGTGATTTAACTCATTAATTCTTGTATCACTTTGTACATTCATGTCACTGAAACGATAATGCCTCCTGCCCGCTCTCCAGCGAGCTTTTGTGGTTTTGAAACCGGTCCTTATATGACTTTCAAGGCCCAAACAAGCTATGTTCATTGCCAGAGGTCGAGTCTTTACCTCAAAAGTGGAGGGCCCAAATATCGAAACACCGACACCTGTGTACGGACGAGTATTGAAATTTGTTTTTAACAAGTGGTGTAAGTTGAGTGCTCTGTTGACTATGATCAGCGTCCTCTATGTTGCACGCCATGATTCACCGAGTGGTTACGCGTGCATTATAAATATTGTCAACACTTTAATCTAACTGTTGCGTAACACTGGAATACATACAGACTTTATAACAATTTGGATCAAGGAAACCAACCACCCTCTAGTATAATTTTAAACCTAGTGTGTGTGTCATTCATTCACAACTTGGCATGCACAACAAAGGCTCGATTGGGACCCCAATGTTTTCGTGCTTAGTGGAAATATAGTGACATAAAATAAAAGCTCTTAGAGCCAGGACAATTCGAGTTAAATACCGTTTCTGCGAAAAGCATCCTGAGACCATTTACGCTAAATCACCAGTGCCATGTTTGTGAGAGCAGTTACTTGCTTAGACTCTGCTCAAATCCTGCAAATAGTGTTAAAATAATTAGAGGTGTCGTTAAACTACGATGATGATGAATGTACTCCCGTTCATGACATTCAAACTGCCACCTGGCTACAGATATCTCTAGAGAGCTTTATCTGATCGTGGAACAGCGAAAGAAATTAGTTATAAATGTAGACTCATGACGTCCAAGTTATGCCAAAATAAAATGCTTCCAATACACCACGTTTTAGATTTTCCATTACCTCTAGTAAATCAAACTTAGTTTTTGGACTTCGACACTACCGGCGGGCTGATTCGTGCTCTTTTTCTCTTTGGCATTGTTTCCTCAAGGCCTTTCTACTAGCCACTCAGCAAGGTGTACGCCTGAACGCTGACATCGAACCCCACATTCTTGATTAGTTCAAACTCGGTCAAAAATCGTTATTCAACCCACATGAACGATCAATGAACCTCTACCAAACTTCTCAGAAAATCGCTTGCGTGAGCTTAAACTATTTTTGATCGGCTGTTGAGGTCTTATAGTTTTTAATTCCTAATGTCTTCAAAAATGACGATCTCAGGTCGAAGAAAATTGCCCCACAAAGCCTATAGTTTGGCGCATCAATATCATTCACTTATTCAGGTCTGACACCTTGACTCTTGTCTCTGTGTCGTTTTGCGTTTTTCACCTTACCAAACACCTCATCTCGTCACTCTAGGAAATCTGACACACTAATTGACAAGACAATTTACCTACTGTAATACATCCAAACCAGAGAAAGAACAACCAAAAGCATGGGTCCTAAGCTCAATGTGGCACTCAATAGACCCATAAATAATGAGTTTTATGTTTCAAACGAGCGCATTAGCGGTACCGTCCAGTTAGAGCTTTTCAGGCCATCTTCAATAATTTCATTGTCAGTTTCAATCCGGGGTACATCTCAGACGTACGTGCCGATGACCAACTCAGATTCGCTATTGTTAGTTACGTTTGGCGGTAGATCTATCCACACGCTAGTGCACCAAGTCCAGGTGGTGTTCCCACCCGAAAACGTGCGGCAAGCGGCCAAAGGATCGAAAAAAGGGTTTCAGGTATCACCGGGTTCTTACAGCTTTGATTTCGAATTTTTGATGCCCAACTGGCTCAAGTGCATGAATGATCACGGCATCAAGCAGGCAGGATTCAACAGAAAGGAGCCATATCCACGTCTCCCGCCCAGTTTTAATGGCGACGTTACTGGAGCTGGATTGGTGGACTGCGAAAACTCTTTTTACAAGATGGGATCTGTGACATACTACATTAAAGCGTCGCTTGTATCGGGCAAAATGGGTTTTCGCTGGACGCCTGGACACTCTATGGTAGACGCGTATCAAGCACTGGATTTTATGCCCACTCCCAGCAACGACGGTGAACACCCGCTGGGATTGCAGTCCAGCGTTGGCCCGCCGCAGAAGTTCGTGTCCAAGAAGTCTTTTGAGCTCAGTTCCGACTGCAGTGCAAAAATCGAGATCAAATCTCAGTCTTTAAGCCGCGTTTTTCGAATGGATTACATGTTTCAACCCGGGTGTCAGAAATTCGACAAAGTGTCACTGAAACTTGACAGGAGACCAACAAGACCGCTCAACGTCAAAGTATTACAACTAAAGCTTCATCTGATAGAGATTGTTAATTATCTGTCACAAGCCCAAGTGAACGCGATGGTGGGAGCGATCGCACTGGTAGAGATGCAGCTAAATAGAGTTTTGGACACCTCCAGAATTAGAAGTGCGGCAGATGGGTCATTTGAATGGCCTTTGAACCTTGGTGACATTCCGGAGCTTGCACGTTACAGATTCAATGATTCTAACATACTATATTGTGGAAATCGGCTGTTAAGTTTCACCTCCTGCAATATTAAACGGGCATTCAAATTCTGCTTGATCTTGAAGCTTGAGGCAAATGGTACAGTTTTCGAGACTGAGGTTCTGACCACTATTTGTGACATTGGTTACTTCTCAATAGAGGATCACGAAGAGCTGCCCACGTATGAAATATCTGACGTTCCGCCAATATATTCCAACCAGGACCAAGTGACAGCTTGAGGTTGTGAAAGAGTGAGCTTGCAACATATAAAGAAAGCCGAAGGGAGGGGAATATGAAGGGATAAATCGGGAGCTTGAGTTGGAGACAAAACTAGCTCTTGTTGCATTTTATGAAGAGAGAGGAGTCGCAAGTATTGCTGCTTTATGATGAGGATAGTTACTTGTATTTTTAAATTTGTATTTAAAATTTAACATTTACGGACCGGCATGAGTTTAGATGTGTGAAAGATGTACTTGGAGGTGGTCCATAAAGGGTTTTTGAAGCCTACTGTAGTGAACGCTAGTCAGGCCATAAATCGTGTGCGAAGCTGTTTGAAGTAAAAGTTTTCGGGTATCGTAATCGTGTTTTTCGGCTTGCTTACAATAGCATACCGGCAATCATCAAACCACCAGCTAGACCGGATCCAACTTCTAGGATGTTGGCTCCAGCGCTTTGAGTTTGAATAGAGAAAGAGGAGGAGGAGTTGGAGGAAGAAGAGATTTGAGTTGATAGGGTGGAGGATGGAGCAGCAGAGCTTGAAGAAGTGGAAGAAGATAGCAGCGGAGTTGGAGACAGAAGTGGAAGTAGATGGAGCAGAAGAGCTGGAAGAAGATGGAGCAGCAGAGCTGGAAGCAGCAGAACTAGAAGCAGAGCTAGAAGCAGAGCTAGAGACAGCAGAGCTAGAAGCAGTAGAGCTAGAAGCAGTGGAGCTAGAAGCAGAGCTGGAAGCAGTGGAGCTAGAAGCAGAGCTGGAAGCAGTGGAGCTAGAAGCAGAACTGACGGTAGCGTTTTGTTCCGAACAAGAGCTCTTAAAGGCCGAGTAAGCAGAGTCGGCATCGCCCTCGGGGCAAGCCGATTTTAGACAGGTCTGGACGCTGCTGCTGTCATTTTCACACAGACAGCTGACGCTGTTTAGGCCGTCGCAAGACGACTTCTTACTGACCTGGGCCACACAGGCGAGCAAACAAGCTGGGGAAGCGGCCAAAACACCACTGGAAAAGCCCACAAGGGACACAACGGCCGACAAGGCAATGGAAGAACGCATCTTAGAAGTTAACTTTTGGTTTTTTAGGAAAGCAGATCGAAAGTGATCGAGATCGAATGGATCGAGAACTGAACAATATAACTGTGCTAGTGCTCTGAATTAAGCGATTGGATATCCAGGACTCAAATTAAAGAGAGAGAGAGACTGGTTATTTCTTCTTTACAGTAAGAAGAGTAGAGAACGAAGTTGTTCGAGAGAAAGAGTCGTTGACGATCTGACTGATTTGTTCAAGATATGAGATGTTGGGTTATATATAGAGTTTTACAGGTTTCGAAAAGTTTTTATAGTCGGAGCTGAGATTTATGCTATATTTATTTCGTAGAGAATGAGAGAGGGACTGTGTGTACAAAAGTACCACGTGACACCTAATGGATATATGAGAAATTCCTCGTTGGAAGCGATCACTTATCATGTGACGTTTGGTCTGTAGGTTCGTGATCAGAGTTAAAGGCCAACCATGAGCTGTGTGTTTGAGAATACATCTAAGTGAATTTACGCTTGGAATCGGGATGTGAGCTTCTCCTTTGTGTTGGATAGAGAGAGAGGAAATTATAAAATCACGTGACACACATCAACACACACTCTTTACACCAATTGCGATGACTGAAGGTGCTCCCAAACAATAAAACGGACCCGATGTGTGAGCTTGAGGCAAACCGTGCTCCTCTGGTTCATCCTTTGAACCAACTTTTGGTGGTTCAATTTCCACGTCATATCACTTTGTACTAATGTGTCATGGTGTCAAGCCATTCGTCGAGACATTCTTCAAGCCATTCGCCAAGCTATAACCATCAAGGCTTCCGTACCACCCGAAAACTACACTGCTTATTTGACTCCGTGATTTAGCTTTTTATGGTTCCCTCCCGGTGTCAGTTTCGCCAGTATGTATGTATGCTCTTCTTTGCATCAGACGCGCTGTATCCATGTTGTGTTTACAGCAAAACGAAAGACTTCTTGGCAAAAACACACGCGGTGTACTCTCTTCCGTGACGAAGGTCTTGCAGCGGTGAAATCTGTGCTTGATCCTCTCTATCATCACGAGAAAACCATTCTTACTTCCATTTCTACCTCTATTATTTCCGACACGCCTCTCACCTACTGCTGTTGACAGGTGTCTTGCAACTCTTTGTCTAAATCACCCGCGTTTTCGTTACCATCCATTTCCAACAACTTGCTGAGATCTGCTGCGTTGTCTGGGCTATTAAAGCCCTTGCTAACGGGCGAATCGCCAAGCTGTTCCAGACGGTCCAAAAGCTCGCCAATTTCGTCGCGTGCAGCGCTGTCCTCGTAGACCTCCGTTTCGTAAATGCCCACAATCTTGTTGACCAACGCAAATTGCTCGCGATAGCACTCGATCTTGTCGGCGTGCTCCTCAAGTGTCTCATTTGCAGCCATCCAGCTGCCAAACTCCGTTTGCATGTCCTTCATAGGCTGATACAGCACCTCTTTCGACGACATCTGATTCAGCATGCTTTGAATGGCGTTTTCCACACCTTCTTCGTCGTCTCCGTCCGCGCCGTCCACGAGCTGGCCCAACAGCTGCGACAAAATGTCGTCTGAACTGCCCTTTTTCTTCTCCTCCATGAGATGTGTATCTACCTTGGTACCGTTCTCTTTAAGACGCTCCAGCGTGTTCGAAACAATGTCTTTGAAGCCGTTCTGGCCCGGAGTTGCGCTATTCGTGCTGGCGTTTTCAGACGCTTGAGGTGTCGATCCTGCCTTCCCTAGCGCCGTAAGCAACTTTTTAAAGTCTTCTGCAGTCTTGGAGTCCTCAGCAGAGTCTCCAGACCCGTTTTCCCGCATCAATTTGGCAAAATCTCCTTGCAAGTCCTCGATCATCTCTGCCATCTCTGAATCATTCTTGCCAATCGGTCCCTTGGCCGTTTCGCCTCGTTGGACCTTCTCCGAAGGGCTCTCTTCGTCTAGTTTCGATGCATCCTCTAATAAATCGTCGAGATCCTCGTACTCGTCCAGATTAGAGCCCATTGTCGTCAATTTGGTCAGGGTTTGTTAGCAGATGCTACATACAATTAGCGTTTGAAAAATGTCAAATTTAAACACACTAATAGTTCACTCAATTCTACAAGAAATGAGTTTACAAAAAGCGTCGAAAACAGGCATTAAGATCGCTTGGTAATGTCTAGTTTGGAGCAGTTGCGTTTGCAACTGATGCAGAAGCAGCCTATTACATTTTTAAGCTCGGAAAACGGTGAAACAGACGACATTTTAGAGGCAAACAGAGTACTACTGGGAACCAAAGATCAGACCAACAACACCGTACTGGAGCTGGACGAAAAGACGGATTTCCAAGTGGATGGCAACAATGTGCCTCTGAAAGTGGTGCTTCACTGCTGGCAGCACCGAGACTCCAGCGCTGCAGACTATTTGGCCGACTGTCAGACCAAAAAACTGATCAATATATCGTTTCTGCAAAGAATGGACCTGATTGCGTGGCTTTCGGGCGAAACAGAGAGCTCTCAGTTTGTCAATGCGGAGGAGACGAAGGTGGCCGAGACAGTGGCCGAGAACCTCGCGGGCGCACCCTCAGCTGCGACAGCAGCTAGCGACCCGGTCCTGCAGGAAGCGCTCGCGCACGAAAAGGAGCTGCTGGACCATAACTCATCGCTGAGGGGCTCGAAACCGACCAATTTCGCGTATCTGATAAAAGAGGCGGAACTCAAACTGGTGCACTCGCTTAAGAGCGCCAGCAAGGCGCGCAGAGCCGGCGACCGCGGCACCGGCGGAGTGTCGAAGACAGACGCGTCCAGCGGCGGCAGAGGCCCGGCGAAGAAGGACCCGATCATCCTGATCCCATCTGCGGCGTCCTCCATATTCACAATTGCCAACATCCAGCAGTTTCTGGAGGACTCGAAATACGTGCACCCACGTGACCTCCCGGGCTCGCAGTCTGATGTGACGTCGGTGACCAAGAAGCTGGACCGGTTTGCGAGACCGGTCAAGTTCCTGATTGCGAGCAATACGCGACTATTCACGAAACCCGAGTACTGGGACCGTGTGGTTGCGGTTTTTACGACGGGCCACGCCTGGCAGTTCAACAACTACCAGTGGTCCGACCCTTCTGAGCTGTTCCAGCGGTGCAAGGGCTACTACTTCTACTTTGCGGGCGACATTGTGCCCAAGCATGTGGAGCAGTGGAACGTCCAGCGTGTGGAGCTCGACAAGAACAAGCGGTTTAGAGATGTTGAAGTGCTTAGGTATTTCTGGAACACTATAGAGAGGGAGCTTGCCAGCCGTGGGTACCAGTGATCGACTGTGGGATCCCTGGGAGCCCTGAGAGCCCTGGCAGTGGTCCTGGCAGTGACAATGCCATTTTTCCAACATAACAAACGCTACAAACTTTCGACGCGCGCAGCTCGTTCGACAATGGGGAACAATGAGCACATTAAAAACCACTCAGATCTCCAAGTCCACCCACTCAGTACCCATTGTCCACCAACAATGCTCCCTGGGTCCCCATCATGGCGAGAGATCGTAATCGTATAATGAATGCAAGATGCTCATCCTTATCTCCTTATCTCTAAGTCCTAAAGCGGAATCTTATCACATGACCTGGTGATAAATTTAATATCATCACCTTTGAAGCCAGTCAAAATCCAAGTTCACCAGGATAAGCACCAATTTCGCTGCTGGACGCCCGTCTCACCGATTTGCCGCTTCTTTACCAGTCCTTTTGGTCCAGTTTCCCACCAGTTGCTGCCCATTAGCTGGTTTCCGGTGGCATTTTTAAATTTAACAGATATTTCATCATAGATAAGGTATAGATATGTCAAGATCTCGTATCAGTCCAATGCTAAGCTCTCAACTCAAGCATTGTAATTGTTACCTGACCGCGAGCTTCACCAGCCGTCGCAGTTGGCCAAGAGCGGTCTCGCAGGTTTCGGGGATTGCCGAGCCATCGCACAGCTTTTTGGGCGGAAAAAAGCCGTTCTCTGGGTCTTTTGGTGTAGCTCGTACATAGACCATAGGACTACTTAGCACCTCTACTGGACAATAGCAGCGAGATTGTCAATGATTAGATAGAGATAGATGGTGGTAGGGTCTCAGAAATCAGTCATGATTGTGGACTGATAGCTGGAATGTCCAGCTCGATCGATTGTCCGACAACGCAGTGCCACAGGATCCAAAAAGTATGTAAGTAGCGGTGTGTAGGCTCTTTTCGGACCTCTTGGACGTTACTGGACGCTATTCCCTCGTTGCTAGTAGTCCAGTTGCTACCCACTATCAAGCTCAGTCGCCAAGATCGCCATGCTAGACGAGAAAGACATCGGCAACATCGACGACACAATCCAGCCCTCGAGCTCGGAAAACCACTCGCTGGGCGAAACCAAGGGAAAGGTCCAAACTGTGGTCTCCTACACCCATGACAACATCGGGAACGTCGAAAACGTTCTGTCGACCATTCTGTCGCCCTCGGGCCGCGAGGTCAAGGTCACAGGCGATGTCGACGATGCCATGCGACTCGCACTGAAATCCAACAAAATCGAGGTCTCTCCGGAGGACGACGCGCGCCTGGTGCGCAAAATCGATCTGTATATGTTCCCTCTCATGTGTTTGCTGTATGCCATCCAGTTCATGGACAAAATCTCGAACGGATCGGCTGCGGTCATGGGTTTGCGAACAGACTTGAAAATGCACGGCGACCAGTACTCGTGGGTCGGATCGGCCTTCTACTTCGGGTACCTGTTCTTCAATCTGGGCCCGGGCCAGTTCATCTTCCAGAAGTCCAAGTGGCTGGCCAAGACTCTGGCAGTGTTCGTGATCGTGTGGGGGATGTTCCTCGCGCTGCACGCAGTTCCATCGGTCACTTACCCAACCTTCATTCTGTTGCGTGTTTTGCTGGGATGCGCGGAGTCTATGGTGACACCCACTTTCACCATCATCACCTCTCAGTACTGGAAAAAAGAGGAACAGTTCATGCGGGTGTGCTTGTGGTTCGGTTTCAATGGTCTTGGTGGCATTTGGGCCAACGCTTTGGCATACGGTCTTTACGAGCACCAGGATTCCTACTCCATTGAGGCCTGGAGAGTTCTTTTCATCGTCACCGGTCTGATTACCATCGTCACTGGCTTTGCCATCTTCTTCCACATCCCAGACGACCCCTCCAAGGCGTGGTTTCTGTCAGAGCGTGAGAAGTTCATGGTTGTTGAAAGAATCAGAGGCAACCAACAAGGATTCGGTAACCACCATATCAAGTGGTACCAGGTCAAAGAAGCATTTACAGACATCAGAACATGGCTCTACTTCCTCTTTTCCATTGGGTCAAACATTCCCAACGGTGGTTTAACGAACTTCATGAACATTTTGATTAAAAACGACTTCGGCTACTCTACTTCCCAATCATTACTTATGACCATGCCTACCGGGGCCGTCGAACTTGTCGCATGCCCATTGCTGGGCTATTTGTCCTTAATTTGTGCCAGGAAGAAGGTTCCATTTCTGCAATACAGACTTTCTTGGGCAATAATCGCCGCTCTTATTAGTTTGATGGCCACTTGTATGCTTGCATTTGCCCACAATTCTCCTAAGGCCAAACTCGCAGGTGCGTATTTGTTGTATGTGTCTCCAATTTCCTTCATTTGTATTCTTTCCATCATCAGTTCCAACACACTAGGATACAGTAAGAAGTGGACTGTTTCCTCTATTAATCTGGTATCGTATGCGGCTTCGAATTTAGCTGGTCCACAAACATTTATCCCATCCCAGGCACCAGGCTATTCCGGAGCAAAAGTCTCTATGGTGGTGTGCTATGCCGCAACAGTGGTGATTCTCTCGGCTCTATTTGTCGTGAACTATCGCGAGAATATTAGAAGAGACAAGATTCAAGCAGAACGAGGCCCTGACAGCGTTAAGATCGAGAATTTGGAATTCGCTGATTTAACCGACAAGGAAAACCCCAATTTCAGATATGCCCTTTGATGTTCGCCAGATAACCTGCCACTATATGATTGTACCAAGTTCAAACCAATTGCTTTCTTTCTTCCCCATAAGATCCTTCACTGAAACCGCCTGTCCCCTCTTATGGTACATATTTTACAGTTGTTATTATTAATTTCTTAATCAAATAACATGTCGCGAATTGAGCTTGACCTTTCGAGATCAATGCCACAAGTGAACATCATTCCTAACCTAAAAATCACTCAAACAATGCTAACACTCATATGTCGCATCTGAGAGTCAAAGAATTGGCCACCTCTGTTGTTTCGACAGCGTTTTTGAACTCCTCGAAGCTCAGCTTCCCATCTGCGTCCTTGTCACTTTCCAAAATTGTTCTATCAACAATTTGCTGTAATTGTTCGTCCTCTAAGTTATTTCCCACCATAATTTTCAGCACGATGAAAAGCTCTCCATTTGAGATGTAACCATCCTTGTCGATATCGTAAATCTTGAAGGCGAACTTCAGTTTTTCATCTTTACTACCACGTCCACTGAAAATCGATAGTCCTGTAATAAATTCTTGAAAGTCTACATCTCCACTGTTGTCAGCATCAAAGACTTCCATTATTCTCCCGGCCAAAGGATTTGACGAGACACCTGGTATGGACATGAATTCCATCCTGTCGATAGACCCAGAACTATCTCTATCTAGTTTCATAAACCGCTTTCTCAACCTTTCAATCTCATCTCTGTCAACTTTTGAAGAATGTTAGTCCAATTGAATGCGCTCAATGGGGGGAACATATATATAACTTACAATTAGTGTCCTCTAGCAGGTCATCCATGACCTTTGATAATCCCGAACCCATGGTGGTGAAGCTCTGTTTGGTCTTGTAGCTAGTGTAGAAAGATGTGGTAGAAGTTTTAGACAACTTGGTCAAATTACCAACAGTCAAGAAAGTCACGTGCACCAGTGTCAAAACTATGAGAATCGGTTCGAGGACCAACTCAAGCCGTAGTTGCCACTAGATGTAGATGAGCCCACATTTGATCTCGATACGGTCTACTAGTTCGCGATTGTTCAGTTTTCAAGAGCTCTTTAAGTTGACTCTTATAGTCCCATTTACCATTTCAAAAAATTTGGCTTAATAGCATACATCTCCATCTTATGACGACGCTTTGTTCTGCTTGTCGAAGGCGTATTGGCTAGCTATCCCACTTATACCTTGCTCCAAGGACGCACCTTCCTCTTCAAAATTTTCAGATGTGAAATCACTACCCAAACCCGACCATTGTCGACTTTGAAGGTGGGCAGCAGAAGTGGAAAACGTATTCCCAATTGTGAGTGCACCTGAGCACTTTTCGACCAGTTGATTTGAGCTCTGCTTGTTGTCTTGACAGGGGTCGCTGATTTCTACGCGAGCCAGGTTTCGCAGAGGTCTTGAGGTGCTCACATATTGTCCAGTGACTGCATTGAACTCGGGAGCATCGCTATCGGGATTTTCGGAACTTTCTTGTGAATTGTTTTCTGTATTTGTTTCGTCTGCGTCGTCGTCGAGATCCTCCAGAATTTGTTTAAAATCGACAACCCATTGGCCTGTCCATGTAACTTCTGGATTCAAGGCCATTGTAAGCTCATATGGCGTGACAATGGGTTTGAGAAACTCGTTATACTGGTCCACGATGATTCCGCTTTGACCACAGCCCAAGATACACCACACGTCCACGGGCTCAAAATTCGCCAACTTAGCGACATTGGGCTTGCCCACCACGAACATGTAGTGTTTTTTCCCGTTGTCCTTGATAAGCTCGGCAAGACGCCTCAAAGTCTCATTGGTGTTTCTTAGCGACAGAGTATTGACGAGAACACCTATCGTGCCCGCGGTCCTGGCAACATGCATGTATTTGTAGCGTCTCATCATCGAGGGGAATGGTCCTTGTGACACGCTCTTATCCGAAGGATCGTATATGCTCAGGGATTTGAACTTGGTGGTCAAAAAGAGCAGCCTGGGGTCCGCAGGAAGTGTTATATGAAATAAATTGTAATCGTTTTGTAAATCTTCCGCATCAAGAGTTAAAGAGCCCTCTTCGCTCAGTAGAATTCTATTGTATAGCGTGAAAACAGTGTGGACCTGGTCATTTGATTGACGTCCCACAAAAGACGCGGTGGGCCCCGCGAAGTCCTCGTTCAGATCGCTATATATGACATTTTGGTAACCTAGCGTCTGCAGTTTGTCATATAGGACTCTCAGATAACAGGTGTAGGGAGCGTTGGCCATTAGTATCACCTTTTCGTCGGTGCTTTGGTAAGTATTTTGAAACTGAGCAATGGTGTTGTCCAGATCCAAGAAGGGCCTACCAAAGCAATAGAGCACAGGCAATTTCTGCACCGCATTCAGACACGCGTCTCCAAAATGAATCACCAGATCACCATTTACATGCTCAGAGGCTACTTCGTCCACGCAGCATGCACTGTAGGCCGTATCAGCCAAAATCCACACACTTCTTTCGTCACTTTGAACTTGGTCTGCCGATTTCTGGCAACATTCCGCGCCCGAGCCATTTTCACAAGTCGGATTTTGGTCTTTTGAATCAACCTGGCCACTAGGATTACTCAAAATTCTCTCTTGCAATAATTGAGCCACTATTGCCGAATCTTGGACCAAAGAATCTGGGAACTGCAAGGTGATCTTACTAAATTCGCGTCTTTCATTGAGAAACCTCACAATCTCCTCCACAAGGTAGTGTTCTGAGATCAGCTTCAAAAGCTCAGATCGACTGTCGGGATTGCAGCCTAGATATCCCGATCTATCCTTTTCAACATCGCTGAACCGGCCCAGGTTGAAAGTTTCATCACCTTGCGTGGTTGAAAGCGCTGGAGCTACCACAGTTTCCCCAGACATGTCCTAACTTATAGTGAGTGTACAGATTGCCCTAAGTACAGTTCCAGAAAGGTTTAAAGGACACTTAAGCTCCTGCCAGGATCATCGATTTATGTACAATAAATGTGCAGTGAGATGAGATGCGATGAGATACAATTATCTTTTTCTGAAAAATTGTCGAACTTCAAGAACACCAAGAAGAACGCTCTCAAAGGCTTAACCTGGTCATTGTTAGGATCTTGACTTTACCTGCTCAACTATCAACAGTACTTCATAATGAACGAGATCAATCTTGGTGTTACTTGCGACATGCACGTTCACCTAAGAGATGGTGAAATGTGCGAACTGGTGACACCTTCTATTCGGGACGGTGGTGTATCTGTGGTATACGTGATGCCAAATCTGCAGCCTCCAGTGACTACTGTGGACCGGGTTGTAGCTTACAAGAAGAAATTGCAGGAACTGGCGCCCGAAACGACGTTTTTGATGAGTTTTTATCTTTGCAAAGATCTGAGCCCGGAGCTGATCCATCAAGCAGCGGTCCAAAAGGCAATTCAAGGTGTCAAGTGCTACCCAGCCGGTGTGACCACGAATTCCGCTGCAGGTGTAGACCCTAACGATTTTAGCGAATTCTACCCTATCTTCAAAGCCATGGAGGAGGAAAACCTGGTTCTGAATCTGCATGGAGAAAGACCATCGGTGGGCGAAGAGGGCAACGACATACACGTCATGAACGCAGAAGAGTCGTTTTTGCCCGCCCTCCGCAAACTGCACCAGGATTTCCCAAACCTGAAGATCATTTTGGAGCACTGCACCACTGAAGCCGCTATCAACACCGTAAGAGACATCAATAAGGACATTAAGAGCCCTAAAGATATCAGAGTCGCAGCGACAATTACCGCACATCACTTGTTTTTGACGATCGATGACTGGGCTGGCAACCCCATCAACTTCTGCAAGCCCGTTGCCAAATTACCTAGCGACAAAAGGGCTCTTGTTGCCGCTGCCATCTCTGGCGAGCCATACTTCATTTTCGGCTCTGACTCCGCTCCTCACCCTAAGGAAAGCAAAGCCAAACATATGGGCGTGTGTGCCGGGGTTTTCACACAGTCTTTGGCAATTCCATACGTGGCAGAAGTATTTGACGCGCAAAACGCACTGGACAAACTGAAAGGCTTTGTCTCGGACTTTGGTTTGTCTTTCTACGGTGTCAAACGTGAAGATCTCAAAGGCCAAGAGGAAGTTATTCTATACCGGAAGGATCAAGCAGTGCCCGACGCTCTATCCAACAACGAGAAGCTGGTGGTACTACTTTTCAAGCCCTGTGATAAATTGAAATGGTCTGTCAAGTGGTCAAAGCCAAATTGATGTGCTTCAAAAACATGTAGACTAGTGACACGAAGCCGCATTAATATTCACCCCACAAACAAGTACTGGCATGTCTCAAAGTCTGCTCACCGACAGACTCAATATATCTATTAGCTAAGTACATTCGAGGTTTACATACGAAAGCTTTTTTTTGACTTTCATGACGTTCAGTCTAGATGGAATGGAATCAATTTTCGTCTTGCCGAGAATGATTTTGATCTTGTTTTTGCTCTTCTTCCTTGGCTTTCGCCCTTGCTCCTTTCAGAAATCCCAAAACGCCGTCTCCCGAAAACTGGTATCCAAAGCCATTGGATATCGCGAGGGAGGCTTCAAAGCCCTCTAGTAGGCTTCGCGAGAGTGAATCCGTGGCCTGGTAATAAAAAGGGCCACGAAGACATTCCACTAAAGCTGCCTTGTCACGTCGCTGGTCTGCAGGCAGATGCTCCAAGAGACGGCGCAATTGAGGTGATTGCGGATCTAGAGACTCAACGTAGTCGATGAGGAGCTGTTTGAGCAAAAAGTCACTTATGTGTGCGATTGGTCTGCGATGATTAGTATTTGAAGAGAATTCGATGCGAAAATCGCCTATCTTGTGGAGTTCGGAGCACGCAATACCTACTTACTGGTTTGAAGTTGGTGCTAGGTCCATGTCGACATCCTGGTCTTCAGTTTGATCCTCAGTTTGCATCTTGTGGTCCTGCTCTTCTTGCGCTTCCTCTTCGTCATTGGACCTCAAAAGCTCTGTGAGTTTCTGCTCTATGGCTTTGTCTGCCTCAGACAGCTCATTGAGTTGCTCGGAGTTCTGGTTTTTGTCCTGGAGCCAAAAGAAGTGCTTTTCGTCTGACGAAAACACCAAACAAAACACTCTTCCACTCTTGCACGACTTGATGTGTGTCCATTTTGTAGATCCAGGAATCAAAATGAACTCGATTGGATCGACATTACCGGATGCTACCTTTTCAATGGGCTTCCATTGGAAATCAAAGAAACCTTCTGCTTCTTCTGAATGTTTTACGATAATCTCACCTTTGATCGGGGTTGGTGAGCAGATCTTGGAGTTTTCATCAAAAGTGGCCACTCCGGCCTTAAAGCTGAGAATTTCAGACATCTAACAGGGGTCAAACGGGGTCTGTTATGCCACTGATCGCTGTGTGCTTTGCCACTTGTACCAGTTGGACCTCTATATATATTTTTGAGTGAGGGCGAGTGTCACGATAGTACATAGTGATGTGGTTCTTGGCTGGCAGACGAACGTTTCCAGAGCTGGCGAGCGAGAGAATGTGAGTTGTAGCTTTCAGTACCTGTCAGTGACCAAGTTAAATGTATCGGTTTTCAGGGGAAGATCCCAATAAGAAGGAAGAAATATAACGAATTCGAGAGTTTCACGACTATGCTGCTGTCATAAAAGTGCATGCTTTTCGTTGTTAGTTTGTTGTAGATATTCTAGGCATTCTCTTCTTGAGAACAGATGTTATGCTGCCGCTTTCGAGCTGACGTCTTTAATTGATGACTTGTTGATTCCTTCCTTTTCATCTCGAGGATAGCCATGCTGCTGCTTTTTACTTCATAAGAATGCAATTGTTGATTATTTATTCACCTATCCTCTGAGCATCACCTCGAATAGTTTCACCTGTTTCAAAATGATGATGTTATTCTGAAAATTTCCACTGGGCTGAGAATAGAAATGGCGAAGCACAAACGGGAGCTTGGCACTTCGATCAAAATTACTTGCGGAAATTCATCTTTTCGAAATTACAAAATACATTGAAAATCATTGCATTTCAATCCAGTTGAATTCCACGTTGAACATCAAAGTAGTACCCAAATTTCAAACCCAATAAGAACTCGAGAAATTGTTTCCAAAACCCAGACTCAGCTACCTTAACAATGCCTCGAAAACAATTTCTGCAAAATGATTTCTCGCGACTAACCAAAAACCCCAAAAAATATACAAAATACAGCTCAAGCCAAGCTCGGCAACGACACTCGCAATCCTTGAGATAGCTCGTTCATACAATGGCTGGCGTTACAGGAACAATCGCGGTATTGTACAAATATCACTCAACACGAAATAGCCGTTATATAATGATGGATATTACTGTGTTCTAAACAAACCAAGTAAATCCAATTGCAACCATATCTGAGACAATGACGGCCGAATTTCCACCTGCTGAGGCGTCTCGCATTGTAAAACGCATCTCAGAAATTCTAATTGAGCGCAATGAAACTATGGCGGTCAGCGAGGCCGCTTGTGGCGGACTGATTTCCAGCTATTTGGTCTCGATACCTGGCGCGTCTGAATGGTTTCACGGCGGCATCATGGTCTACAGTCTAAAAAGCCGGCTGAAACTGAGTGGGTGGAATGAACAAGAAATTCACAATTATACTGGCCCCAGCGTGGACGTCGCTCTGCGTTTGGCACGCAATCTCAAATTCGAGCTCGGTGCCACTTACACTTTGTCAGAAACGGGGTACGCGTCACGGTCCCCTATGCTGAAGCCCTCCGAGAGTAAACAGTCCGTGGGAGTTGTGTTTTACGGGGTTTCAGGACCTCGTGAAGACGTCTCTGCAACCCATGATACCGAAAGCGAGGATAGATGTCACAACATGCAGCAGTTCGCCATCCATGGACTCAAGTTTTTAATGCAACAATTGGAAAAATCGACAAAAGAGCCGGAAAAGGAACCCACTTTGGAAGTCGAGGAACCAGAACGCAAGAAATCCAAGCTTAGCAGTGCTTGAAGGGTGGTCATATGAACTCTACTAACTAGGATTTAGCTGGAAATGAGCGTTACCATCTGTTAAGACGCATCTCGTTTCAAATGATACGAACCGTTCTTGAAATTTGTCCTTCAACCATGAACTGTTCTCGAGGAAGACAGATATATCTGAACAACTCTGGTGATATTCCCGGTTGATACCACTTGACTACCGGATCTCTCGAGTGGCTAACGGTATAAAGGGATCTTCGCTCAGTTAAAAATGAGTGGCTCTTCCAAATCAGACTTCAAATGGGTTCCCACGCAAAAGCTAGTCCATGGGAGAATCGTCACCAAGTTTCTGCCTCTCATGAGACATCCAAGACTGGGACTGGAAAACCCAAATTACTCGAACTTGTATCCCGGTGATGAGGTCTATGTTTTCGAGGAGACCACGGACGGCCGTTGGCTTAGAGGGTATACCTGTTGGCAACCATTGCCCGAAGATTTTATCAGCAGGCTGAGCTCGTTCAGCAAGGAACTGCCCGAGCAGAAGTTCAAAGTCGTGGTGTTCCCCCGGAAGTTCGTGCATCTGAATCCTAAGGAAGAAGTGACAGATCTGCCCTTCCTGGCTGCACCTGAAGCTTCGCAATTCGTCTCGTCCTCTACCAACACCTCGCTGTCCACAATGTTCGAACTGACAGGCGACTGGTCCAAAGATGACATCATGGAGCTGGGTGGCTCTGCCGTGACAAAGACCAGCCGTCCACCATTTCCCTACTTCCGTCTACAGGACTACAACGTCGTCCAGGAGCTCACTCCGATGTTATCGCAGCTCGTAACACACGTCTATTCTATGTATTCCTTTGGGGAGTTCGAAGTCGCAGAGAACATGACAGACTTGTACTACAAACTCGACGATATTCGTCTGAGACTTTCGCATAAGCTTACCACGAAAATCGAACACGAACAGCTCATCAAAGACTTGTGCTCGATGTCTTATAAGATCGCCAAATTGATCTCGTCTAAAGATCTGACACAGGCAAACACGCATGCGGATACGTCAAGCGTCGTGCACGCTTCGGGTTACGGTAGCATATTGTGTCGGGAGATGTATTCCGGAAAACTTTACAACTATAATGAGGTAAGCCCTCAGGTGCTAGCAACCATGTCCATGCTTTGCGGCCTCAGCAATAACTTTCCAAGTGCCAATACATATCAACTGAAGCTGCTTCCGCTGCAAAATAAGAATTTCGAGTCTGTCGACTCGACAAGCATCTTGGTCGACTTCAAAGACGCCCTAAGCGACCCCACCGTGAATCCCAACTTCCAGAATCTCTCGGCAATTATGTATCTGAGGGCAGGGAAAACGACGCTCTCAGAACCATTCATCCTTAACATGGAACGCGATGACGTGGTATCTGTGGACAACATATCAGCTGCTCTATTCAACAATATACCGCCAAGCGAGATCGATAATAATAAGGTCTATCTTGTAGTGGTGCTGACAGAAACTGTCAAGATACAGCTTTTGTCACCAGAATCGGGGAAAGGATTTAAAAAACCATTTGTGCCTTTCCTCACTGGTGGTGAAAATAAGCTATCTTACCTCAAAAAGGGGCTAGCTGCAGGTGTTATAGACATTTCAAGGCTTATAACCCGCAAGAAAAAGCACAAACTGCCCGGATGCTCACATCAGTTTAATGTTGAGCTATTCGGCTCTTACCTACCCAGCAAACGGAAGGATAGCTTTTCTCAGCAATCCATGGTCAGTGTTGGTAGTGCCCCTAGTGCCGCAGCCTTGACTAGGGCTGCAGCTAAAATGGAAGAAAACAACGGTTGGGGTGAGCTGGTGGACAGAATTATCGCTGATGCCAATAAAGGTATTGCAGTGAACCCAAGAATTCTGTCATTGTCGGTTACGGTTAGGGAAATTACTGGTGACTTCGGAATTTCCAGTGTTTTGAAAAACAACATGTCCGCCATCCAAAGTATTCCTACATGTTCATACGACACATTGTCTAAGCCAGATGACAGAATCTACCTGACTCTTGGAAAAACGTCACTCTGTGGAGTAAAGGCATTTGAAACCAACATATCAAGCGTCTCAATTCAGATATCATCTAGCAATCCCTTGGTTACCTTCAGGCACGGTGTGAATGATACGCCTCGAAGAAACTGGATGTTCGTGTCGGTAAAGCCTGAAGAAGTGATAGGTGAGTCGATTAGAATAGACGGATTAAAGGATATGCAGAACGATGAAACGCTCAGAATATCTGCTTACATCAATGGATTTCTCATGGCCAAGTCAAAGTTTTACATCAAAAGGAATGACAAGATCATTGAATACCCTAAGAAATCCGTGTTTCAGTTGATGTCTACTACCAGCGAGCCGCTTGTGGATCTGGAAATTACGACAGCTTACGTCGGTAAAAGTTACAACGTTGAGTCGTCTGTTCGCAGTTTTCTTCAATTTTCTTATGACTTTAAGAGATCCTACTTTGATTTCGAAAAAGAGTGTCTTCAATTGTTGGCAGATGTGAAAGCGACACCTGTGAAAGAGCTCATCAAAACATTTGATGGGCTACTAACAAAGTTTTTAGACGTGTTTTACGTTGCAAATGTTCTCGAAGGACAAAGATCTTCTGATGAATTCAAAAAGGCCTCATTCACTTCTTTGATTTTCTTTTTAGACATGGTTGTTGCTCGTCAAGATAATTATAGACACTTGTTCAATGATTTTCTGGAAACTTATTCAGCGAGGAGGTCAGAACTACCGGAAGTCGGGTCAAATCTGATCCATTTTGCATCCAAGTTTTTTGCTAGCTCCCACGAAGTTTGGGATTATGACGGGAGAGCATTGTGTCGGGTTTCAGTTTATCTCTTTAAGCTGTCGGTACTTCTATCAAGTCCTCATGACAAGGGCTTACAAAAGTCACTAATCGACTTCTTTGAGGGTGTATCAACCTTTTTCCGACTAAGAAAGGAATCTTCATTAGTGGACCAAGTTCTGATCCTGGAAGCTTTTGATGCTTGGATCTTGGTTTTATCCACTCACTGCGATCCTCGAATTCTTGTCAATGCAGCCACGGGCTTATTCCAGGCTTGCCACGACAAAGAACGCACAAACGGTATCTACCGGAGACCTTTGTCAGTAAAAGAACAGAAGTTCGTAGCGTCGAAGTTCCTAGTCATGCGGCGCTTGATTGGCGTAGATGCTGTCCGAAATGTTTTGCTGACACCCGATAATTTAGGGTCCCATGAACAAGAATTCATAGCGAAACTGATCGAATGGTCTTTCGAGCCATTCCTCAATTACAATGGCGGTCACCTACACTTAACCACAATAAGACTCGCCGACGGTGTTTTGATCAGTGTTATCAAGCACGCATCAAAAGTAATCATGCGCAATCTTGTCAGGCTGATTCCGACTTTGTGCAGATTTTTCATTTTAGTGAGAAAGTACTGTAAGGAAAAAGACCGCTTCAAGTTCAGAAGGACGTTTACCAAATTGTTCCCCACCACATATCCATTCGACGAAATTACTGTCGATTCTATTGTTCAAGAAGATCTTGTGGTTGAGGTCCTAGTCGAGCTTGCAACTCTAATTGCGTCGATAACGCAAAAAGTCGAGAAGAACTTTCAAAACTGTTTTTCCTTTCTAAAGATCACTGAAATGTGCTCTGATGATACGGCATTCAATTCAGTTTTTTATGTCACACAATTTGCAAGAGAGGATCTTCTCACAATAGTCCACACTGTTAGACTTTTCATGAAAGGTAGATTTTTCCCCAGCAAGAAATGGCTTTCGTTGAGCGAGCTTTTCAACAGAAGTGGTGTTTCATTATTCAGACTCTGTGAGGATATTTTGATTTATAATCAAACTCCTAACATGAGCTCAGATGAGACATTGGATGTCAAGATTTGGAGCGAATGGGTGAAAGTGTTGATCTCCTTGGGTAATCATATTCCCTCTAACCCAACTCTGCTGGCTGAGATTCCCAGAAAAGCGTTGTATCTAATTGGTGGCGACTACAGAGGCGGGGTCGCGCACATGTTAGAGCACTGCTGGGACGCGCTAGGCCAAGATACATCGAATACCGAGATATGGGAAAAATATGGTATCACAAGAGCTAATGGGCTCCAAAACTATTTGGTGCGGGCGGATAAAACATTTGTGAGAGAGATCATGGAATTCACGTTCCAAAGGCACACAGAGGCGAGAAGAGTAGGAGCAAAAGTTATATGGGGGACATCGGCCAATTGTTGGTTTGCTTACGGGAATTTGGAACCGGTTATGATGCAAACGACTTCAGAGCTGTGCGCTGCGCATCAATCTGGCAAATTTGTTCCAACGCTGCACGAAGCTGAAAATTATGTTAAAGCGCTGCTTTTCACCATTCGACTTGCTAAAGACGACGCCATGTTTTCTTCCATTCTGAAAGTCATGAAGCTGGCTCGCGACTTGCTTACTGTCTTGATCGAGTTCAGTGAGATTCCAGATCATAAAGAATTTGACGATGATAGGACCGCTCATCAGATCACGATTTTTGGGTATCTTTTGGAGGTTAAAAAACCAGAGGAGCTTCACAGGCTTGTCAACGATCTTTACATTTACAACATCAAAAAGAAGGACAACGTACAAGCTGCGCTCAGTTTGGAATTACTAGCAAGGACCTATAAATGGGACCCTAATGACTCTCTTGCATCTGTTGCATTCCCAGCATTACCCGAGCAGTCTTCATTTCAGAGAAGAGAGTTCCTGTACAAAGAGGTGGCGAAGCATTTCCACAAAGGTTTGAAACTTGAAAAGGCACTGTCTATTTACAAAGAATTAGCACAGGCGTACGAGAAAATCAACTATGACCTAAGCGGTTTGTCGCAAGTCCATGGGAATATCTCAAAACTTTATGAAGATTTACAAGTTGTAGACAGACTGGTTCCAACTTACTTCAAGGTAACTTTTGCTGGATTTGGGTTTCCAAGCTCGACTCGAAACAAGCAATTTATCTACGAGGGTCTCCCCTTTGAGCATATCACTTCTATGCAGACTAGACTTCTTGTATCTCATCCTGGGTCGAAAATCGTCGGCACACAGGAAGAGGCTGACAATTTGCTGGTAAACTCACCAATCGGAAAGTTCATTCATGTAATTGCCGTCGAGCCAAGGGTCGAGATATCTGACGCCTTCACAAACAAAAGCAAAAAGGAAAATGTTAACAACAAAGTCAGACTCTATGTTGAAAACAGAGACTTGGACACTTTTTGTACCTACCGCGTCTTACCAGGGGCGACCTCTGCCACTGATCTGTGGGTGAAAGAGTTGACGCACGAAACCGCTTCCACCTTCCCAACGTTGATGAACAGAGCAGAAATAACCAGCACCAGCTCCAAGACACTGTCGCCTATCGAAAACGCCATCCGCTCGATGCAGTTGAAAATTCAGGACCTTGCTGGTCTGGAAGACACATCTTACAAGATGCTGAAAGAAAACGGGGATTACTCTGCGATTTTCCCAGAACTTTCAAGAAACATTAGCGGCACCATTGACTCACCGGTGAACGGCGGTGTTTCTCAATACCGCGAATTTTTCACTAACAAGGAGAGCCATCTGAGCGACGAAAGCCAGTTGAATCTACTGAGGTCTACATTCGACGAGCTCGCTAGTATTTTGAGCAGATGCCTCGCACTTCACGGACAAGTATGTCACGGGTACATGAAGAAGTCGCACGAGATGCTACTGGGGCTGTTTTACAAGAATTTCGCGGACGAGATCGAAAGAAACAATATTGTTGTAAGCGAGGGTGACTTTGACCTTGTGAGCAGGGTCACGTCAAGAACAACCGACACCGGAATGAGTCTGCCCGCATCCGAGCACCCGCATGACTCCTCAACGCTGCCCAAACCGATGATGTCGAGCGCGCAGTCCGTGAAGTCCACAGGCTCGAGCTTGCACGGCACGGACTCCAACAATGTGGGACTGACACCCACGCCGAGCGCGTCAGTGGTTTCAAACGGCACTAAGACAGGCTCCAGAACATCGGCTCAGTCGTCGAAACTGACCATGTTCCGAAACGGCATGAATAAGAAATTCGGAAAAGGCGCGAAAGCGAAAAACAAGACTCAAATCTGAAAATGTTACCGACGCTCTTTTTTTAGATGAAGACACAGCAGCCCGATAGGCTAGCTTACTCGATGCTCGATCGTGTCGAGTGGCGCTCACTTTAGACGCCAGACGGCTTGGTCTCATTAAGATTACGTCCTTGGTGGAACAATTCCCTGAGAACCTCGAGCCGTGGACCTGCAACAACAACTTCAGCAACTAAAAGGTAATAAGGAAATCGTGTGTGTAAAAAGTCATTTGTAAATAGAACATTTCGAAATTTTGGAAACTGCAATGTGGTAGATCGGGAGAGGGTTATGACTATTTTTACTTTCATCTTGTTAAGTGACTTTAACTTACTACAGTCGAACTGACCGAATTGTGCGTTGACCAAGCTTCAGAGAATTGAGATAGGTTCTATGAAGCAAGCGACAGAAATTTGATATGATTTTTGAGCAAATGAGACTGAGTTAAAGACACACGTATTGGGGCGATTCAGCTTAATTTCAATGCAAGCAACAAATGTTTATAAAGTCTATCCAGGACAGAGACAAGCATGGCGTTGACGCATTTCATGTTTTGGCAAAAGTTGGGATTGTTTCGGGGTCCAGATTTAGTAGAATGCTTTTTACCGCAAGGCGATGCTTTTAGAAATGGAGTGCCAACACAATCAAAGCAGAGGTCTGAGCATGTTCTCAAAAGCCTTTGGCTGCTGTAGCTCTTGATCAAACGGTGCGTGGTATTTGGTTTAGGTCGTCGATATTATCACTTTATACCAAATTGGCATTTGTCGTTGTGACAATTGATGGTGTAATTTAACTTAAACATCCAACTCACGATGGAGGAAGTTCTGGTGTAATATGCTCATGAGAAGCCATCTTTTGTTCTGTTTACCGATCAATTAGCTCGAGTCTAATGGCTCGATCAAGTCCATGATATTAGAAGATGATTATGAAATCTGTATGGTGGTGAAAGAAAAAACACAGCTAAACCAGCGTTAATTTGCGTGTGATTATCGAAATTGGTTTGGAAGCACATTCGCCGTTTGCAGAATGAAGTTAGAAATAAGTTAAGATTTCCCGCGAGAGTTTCATACATTTTGCAGTCGCATTGTGAGTTTTATATGTGATCGTTCTCGAATTAAGAGCAGTAAGCTGCTTTTCATCTGTGTAATTTCAATATGAGTAGGCTAATGAGCTGACTTCTTATTATTAGGGTGCTTCTAATAAGAATCGAACATTTTGCTATTTTTACATTAATTTCAATTATATAACAAAGCTCGCTATTCTAATGAATTTTCCATGCAAAAACCACGTATGTGAGATTTAACAAGTAGCAGACAGCACCATAATAATTGATGTTCAGCCATTATGGTATAAAATCCAAAACACTGACCTTTCTTGTCCAAACATGCGTATCCAAAGATTTAATTCTCCGAAGTAGGTACATCAAAAAACGAAATTAAATTGACGGAGGTCGTGCAACGGGTTCTGTGATTCCGGTTTACTCTCGAGCCACTGTTTAAAACAAATTAGCATTTAGTTCAAAATCAATGGACAATTATTAAGAGAGGTGGGATTAAGTCAATACACAGGTACCAAATGCCCGAAGAATGCATTTGAGTGCCCGAAATTCGCGCTTAAGGTTTGAAACTCCTACAAAATGCAGCTAAAATCTTACAAAAACGCCTGAAACCCCCAATTCATAGTTCTGGGATTTATTGGCAATCAAAACGACACCAATTGACCTCCGAGTGGGCCAGTTGTGCAAGACAAGACAGCTCCAAAATCGACCATTTATTACCATTAACATGACCGTAATAGTAACTATCTATCTCACTTCGTACGTGTGTGTCGCCTCGATCAGAAACAGATCTCACGAGTACTCGAGAGTACTTTTTTAAAATTTTATAGCCCTGAAATTTGTCACGAATTTAAACTCATCTTACTAGCTAGCCATTGAACTGCTCATACTCCCCATTCCAATTGGTGAACTCGTCCTCACATAACCACTTTCCCGCTTGCGAATTGTCAACGATGTTCTCCTCTCTGCTCCGCGGTAGCACAATCGCGCTAAGAACAGCGTCTGCCCGGTCTGCGTTGCGTCCTGTGGCTGCCATTTCCAGGACTTCCCTAGTGTCGCCGCTACGTGCGTACTCAACAGGCTTGAACCGCGACGATATCAGCGCCCGTGTGATTGACGTGGTCAAGGCGTTTGACAAAACTACTGCCAGTGCTCAGGTCACTGCCGATACGCATTTTGCCAAGGATCTTGGCCTAGACTCGCTCGACACGGTCGAGTTGCTGGTGGCCATCGAGGAGGAGTTCGACGTTGAAATCCCAGACAAGGTCGCTGACGAGATCAAGAGCGTGGCAGAAGCCGTGCAATACATCGCGTCGAACCCAGAAGCCAACTGAGCTAGCACCAAGCAAGCAAAAACGAGATTCTGGGAATTCCAAAAACCTGAAATAAAAAAAAAAAATAATCACATTCCAATAGTCCCTCACCCATCTTCCCACGCAAATGCAACCGTAGTGTCTCGTCTCTCTCATCGCGAGCACCAACGTTACTCGGTTGCGTCCCCTTTTTTTTCCCTTTCTACCCATCCTGTATATGTTTCTAACCATCACCACTGATTCACGCTAAAATGACCCAATTTTGACCGGATTTCGTCCAATTCGGACTCAAATTCACCGCAAATCGCACTGCTAATAATCCAGGCTCGCGCTCCATTCGTGTGCTACGTCCAAGTCCCAAAAATTCACCATTTTGCGTGCCATCTCGTTTCTCTCTATTACTATAATGGTTTTTTACAGTGGTGATTTTATATTTAATGCTCAAGGGCTCCAACACCAAACCTTTTCTCTCAGTTGTATAAAAACCGCCTAGAATAGGTGTCAAAACATCAGCAATGACCATCCAAGCCGAGTGCGAACGTCGTGAAACTTCGCCACCCGAAGAAACCCATGATTTTGGCGGTCGCCCGGTGTATGACGACACTCACGATGAGTTCATCAGCGCAGACGTAGATTTAACGAAGGACTGGCCAGAGGACACGGAAATTGTAGACTTGGTGCATTTACGGATTCGGTCCATGGAGGACTTGGAGCTGCAGCGGTTTCCACAGCTGAAAACCCTGTGTTTGAGACAAAACCTGATCGAAAGTATGAGTGAGGTTGAAGTGCTGCCCGCAGCGACCATGGAGGACATTGATCTGTACGACAACAAGATCAAACACATTTCCAGCAGTGTGAACCGGTTAACAGGGCTGAAAAGCCTGGACCTGTCGTTTAACAAGATTAAACACATCAAGAACTTGGACCAGCTCACCGAGTTGGAACACCTTTATTTCGTGCAGAACCGGATCGCGACCGTGGAAAACCTAAGCACGCTCAAAAAACTGCGTAACTTGGAGCTAGGAGGTAACCAAATTGCACGCATCGAGCCAGACTCGTTTCGCGGGCTCGAAAACCTGCAACAAATCTGGCTGGGCAAGAATCGGATTCCACGTCTGGTGAACCTGCACCACCTGCAAAACCTGCGTGTTTTGTCGATCCAGTCCAATCAGCTCACCAAAATCGAGGGTCTCGAACAGCTATCCAACCTCGAGGAGCTGTATTTGTCGCACAACTTCATCTCCAAGATCGAGGGCCTCGAGCACAACACCAAGCTCACTACCTTGGACATCACATCCAACCGGATTTCCAAGGTCGAAAATCTATGCCATCTCACAAAGCTCACCGACCTGTGGCTGTCCTTCAACCAGATCGACCAAACTTTCGAGTCGCTGGGCGACGAGCTGCGCGACCTGCCGGACTTCGAGACCATCTATCTAGAGGGAAACCCAATTCAGACCAACTCCGGTACCGTTTACAGACGCAAGCTTGTTCTCAACCTGGGTCCCAGCCTGCAAAAGATTGATGCTACGTATATTCGCGGATAATAGGCGTGGACTACGATTTTTATTCGACTAGACCGTCGTTCGTTCGTTAGTTCGTTCGTTCTTTAAATCAATCGAGTGGTCGTGTCGAACTTTAGCTTAGATATCAAATCATTTTTACAGAAAGAGACAACTGTTAGCGTACCATTAGCTTCCCCATGACCAAACAAGCTGCTCCACCCACTGTAGTGGGCTCTCTGGCTTGCCAGAGAGACTCTTTTCTCAGCAAGAGCTTCCCTACCACCGTTTTGAAGTGTACGGCTGTAACTGCCAAGAACAACGAACAATACGAAATCGAGTTCCAGGACACGATCCTGTTTCCTGAGGGCGGTGGACAACCGGGCGACTCAGGCTTCATAATCGTGAATGGTCACCTCGCGGAGGCTCAAAAGATAGCTGTATCGCAGGTCGTTCGTAAGGGCTTATATGCAGTGCACTATGTGGACCAACCTGTGGAACCGGGCACGCAAGTGCTCTTAGAAGTCGACTGGAAACGTAGAATGGACCACATGCAGCAGCACACGGGCCAGCATCTGGTCAGTGCAATCCTGGAGCGCGAGTGGACGCTCAAAACGTTATCGTGGTCCATGGGTGGAGTCTCGTCGACGAATAGAAAAACGGCCCCAGAGCCCAGTGCTCTGTTCAACCAGATTGAAATCGGCCGCAAGCTCAGTGCTCAAGAGTTGGCTCGGTTGTCGGACCTGTGCAACGAGTACACCACGGTGAAAGCACAGGAAATTTCGGTCGTTCGACAAAGCTCTGACGACGCTGAAATCGACGCCGAAAAAGGCGCCATGCGGACCGTGCACATTGGCCAGCTCGATGCCAATCCATGCTGCGGCACTCATTTGCAGAACACAGCGCAGATCGGTCCCATTTTGTTTTCGCCATTCCAGTCCTCTGTCAGAGGCTCGAACTTCAGAATCCAGTTCATGTGCGGCGCACGCGTGCTGAGATATGCCAACTTCACCCACGAGCTTGCTGGCCGGTCCAAGGCACTGTTGTCGTGCACTGAGGCCGAAATTCCAGAAAAGATCGAACAGCAGCGGAGCACTCTACAAAAGGCTACGAAAAAGGAGCAGTATTTGACGAAAAAAATGGCCGAGTTTGCCACAAGCTCGCTCGTTGACGCTCTAAATGCAGAACCACCCAACAAGGCACATTTATGCTTGGATGAGTTCGGCAATGTGGCCATGTTAACTGAAATTCAAAAACAGCTCCTTTCGCAGATCGAAAATAACAAAATCGAGCACTACAAAATTGTGCTGTGCGCTCGCGATAAAGCTACCAATTCTGGCGCCGTTATGATCTTGGCAGACTCGGGAGACGACCTTTCTGTCATCGCCTCTGATTTGACCAAAATAGCTCAGAAATTGAAAGGCGGCGGCGGCAAAAAGGGCGGGAAATGGCAGGGCAAAGTAACAGAATTTGGGAATTTGGAATGGGAGTCATTGACTAACTATTTGGACGAGAACTTCTAGTTTAGCTGACACTCCGGAGCTCTCTTATAAATGTTATCACTATGTACTACAAGAGACAACTCTCTAACGTGTAATTAGGCTCTAGTTCATCGCTCGAGCACACTATTTGACGTTCAAGACCAGCAACCACCCAGGAACTCCGTTCTTGTAGCCCTTTATAATGCTGAGACAAGCTACTCACCGGCACTCAGCGTATGCGCTTTTTGGGCCGCGATTTTACTGCACTTCAGGCTGTAAAGATACCGTTGCAAGTGTATCGCACAATGTATCTGGCAAACAGCAACTCTACATAACTGATCCCATCTCTCCTGGCTCGATATTCTTCCTGCCAAATGGTGCAAAAATATTCAACAAGCTGGTGAATTTCATGAAGCTGCAACAACAACATAAGTTCGGTTTCCAAGAGGTATTGTCACCTCTGATATATCGAAAATCGTTGTGGGAGCGCTCTGGCCACTGGGATAACTATAAAGAAGACATGTTTCGTGTGGAGGGCCAAGATCTGGCCAAGGAAGAGTACGGACTGAAACCAATGAACTGTCCTGGTCACTGCATGATCTTCAAAAGCGTGTCCAGATCGTACAGCGAGCTCCCGCTTCGATTTTCCGACTTTTCACCATTGCATCGTAACGAAGCGTCGGGAGCACTCTCAGGGCTAACAAGAGTTAGAAAATTTCACCAGGATGATGGCCACATTTTCTGTACGCCTTCACAGGTCGAATCGGAAATTAAACAATCTCTGGAATTGGTGGACCTTTGCTACTCCAAGATTTTCCGGATGGGACCAGACGGCTCTCCCACTGCTTACTCCCTGCGGCTCTCTACCAGACCTGAGCATTACATCGGGAGCCTGGAGGCGTGGGATAAAGCAGAATCGGTTCTGAGAGGAATTCTCGAGGACTCTGGCAAAAAATGGACTGTCAACGAAGGCGACGGTGCGTTCTACGGTCCCAAAATTGACGTTATTCTAAGCGACCATCGCGGCAAAGCTCACCAGGTCGCCACGATACAGTTGGACTTTAACCTTCCAGAAAGGTTTGATCTAAAATTCAAAGACAAAGACAACACTTATAAAAGACCGATTATGATCCACAGGGCCGTATTTGGGTCGTTGGAAAGATTCATGGCTATGCTCATCGATTCCAATGGCGGAAAATGGCCGTTTTGGCTAAATCCTCATCAATGCATGGTGATTCCCTTGAACACTAAAGATGAAGTTATGGTGCAGAAGGCAAAAGAGATCGCCACTGCTCTGAGAGGAGAAAATGTGGCAAAAACAGAACCTGTGAAATTGAACTCACTTCACTTCAGTGTCGACATCGATGACCGAGCCGAGCCGGTCGGATACAGAATCAAGGATGCCATCCTGAAAAATTACTCCTATCTGGTGATGGTGGGTGCAAAAGAAATTGAGTCCGGGAAATACGCGATCAGATCTCAAGAATCAAGAGAGCTAGACCACCTTTCTGTTGATCAGATTTTGGAAAAATTCCAAAAACTTGAAGAAAACTACCTATAGTCATTTTTAGTATTCGTAAGCGGTCAGAAATGGCCAATGTAAATAGTCAAACGTCTCTAACACTGTAATCGAGTGTGTAAAGCGAGGAAAGATTTCCAATTTCGTTGGGCCAGATGGTTTCGGGAAGAAAGTCACCGTTTTCCAGCAAAAACACTTGTCGCTGTCGTATGTCTGCCGCATCCAACTTTTTAAGTTGAGCTTCGCAGTTTTCTAGAATTTGTGACATCTTAGTCGCGGTTTCTTGCCGTCGTTCCACTTCCGATAGCAGTTTGTGATAGCTATTTTCAAAGTTAACGTAGAAGCTCAAGAGCTCTTTACTTTGATGGATACCTTCCAAACAGGAGTTCCTGAATCTCTCAATCAGCTTAGAGATACCCTCAAAAACTAGGATGTATTCCTCATGTTTTTGCAGGTCCGCAAGAATTTTAACAAGCGAAGCTTCCATATGGCTTTTTTCCCCCTCTTTGGCGTCCAAAAGAGCGTTGACCTCTTTGGCAAAGTCGGACACATCTTTTGCCGCCTCGTGTAGTGCGGTATCGATGGCAGGAAGCTCTTTGTCGTCGCGCTCGACGATTTCGTAAAGTGACTTGCTCCCACTAGGTGTCAATGTTCCTGACATCAACATGCTGCATTTATCAAAATGATCAGTAAACGACTTGAGAAAGTCGGCAAGCTCGTGTTCCAATTGGTCGGCTTCCACCGTGAATTGGTCGTCCAACTTCAAGTTCGCTTCGCACTGATCTCCGAACCGAGAGTCAAATTCTTCTTCCAGTTTCTTCAGTCTGATACCTATCAATTGGGTTTGAACTTTGCCTAGCGTTTGCTGGTATTGTCTAGAAATGTTCTCGACCTGTTTCCTAATCACCGGAAGTTCGTCAAGTTTCATGTCCAACATATGGGAATTGTCCCGCGAGATGAAATCACCTAGCGTTGATTTTCGTTGTTTCTCTAAGATATTTTGCACACTATCAAGCCTTTTTATCATTTTCTGAATGTCTCTCTGCCACCATTCCATTTCTCCTGCCAAGTCTACCAAAACCATTCGGCCCCACTGTTTTTCAATTAGCGTTTTTCCAATGCCATTTTTTAAAAGTACGTTGGCCAAATAACTGCATTGTTCCCCAATGCAGTCTAGTATAAATCGCAGTTTTGACCTATATTTTTGCCAGTCTCGAATTCTTGTCTTGACTAAAGACAGTCTGTTATTCGATTCGTGACACACCGATTGTGTCTGTTCCAGAAACCTGCGAGCGTTATCGGAAATTGCCTCTATGCCAGAATTGTTCATATTTGGAGCATCCAAAAATTGTGGATGATGGACCACGGCTAGACGAGCGATCTCTGGCAAGTTTAGGTTGAGTTGAGTTGTACAATCTACCTATACTTCGGAGTAGGCATTTCTGCATTTTAGATTAACGGCTTATCACTATGTACAATTCTGTCATAGATGGATATGGTTTGGTGGAGCTATTGGCAACTATAGCGTCGTCGAATACTTGGCGTTAAGTGATGAAAATAGATTACTAGAGAGCTATCGGATAAGTATAGGAGACCTTGCATTTCGTAGAGACTTTTGTTTTAAAAACTCCAATATACTAGGCATGTCGAGTGCACATTTGAATTGGACATAAGTTACGCGACCCATCTGCCATGACGGACTGTGTTGGTCAATGGTAATTCTCTTTTTTTGATTCTTAAAGGCAGCATTTTAAGGAACGTGTTGCTTTCGTTCATGACATGGCCTTGATGACATTGGGAAGGAACATGATTTCTGAGTCGTAGTTACCAAACAGATCCATAAGTCAGAAGTCGCCAACGAAGTTAGAGAAGATTTGCAACAAAAGTTTAGAGCGCGCACGACACAGCGGCTCTTCAAGAAATTGAATAAAAAAAAACCGCAACATCAATTTACCACAATTTATTTTGATACATTTTTGCGAGCCAACTTTCAATCTTACTTCGTTATCGATAATTCAGGCCTTTTGAATGAAGTAACACTATCAAACTCCGTGCAGTTTTTCTTTCATCGTGGATATGTCATTCTTTGAAATCTTTACCACCTTAGTTGAATAAAGACACCACGAACTACGGTTGTTTTACCCTCTCAATTCCCATTTCACAACCTCAATGAAGTTAATTATTAGATAATGTGATATCCTGGTATGTGCTTTACAATCTTCAGGTTATGTAGGATCGAAATCTAGCTGAGTCCACATTGTTGATCTCGTCTCCATTTAATCATTTCCGGACGACACACAATCATAGACATCAATTTGACCTTCTCTAGACCCAAAAAACTAGTCAAAGTGGTCAAAAAATTGCATATAAAATGCCAAACTGACTCGCCTTTGGCTCCTGAATAAAATTGTCTTTGTTTTATAACTTGTTAACAGACTCTTAATTTGTCTAATGGTAAAATAAAAGTTACTAGAACTTGTCTAAGATCTCATCTCAAAAATGGTTATCGAAGTTACCACTTACAAAGGCCGTTAATGAGCTCCAGAGCAGCTGCAATCAACTTCTCAAAGGGCAGTGAAGAAAATGAACCTAAAAAATCGATGCAAATGGCTCCACAGCCATCAGAAGAGCCGTCTGCACCCATGATGAGCAGGTACGGGATCGGGGCCAAGCTACTATCGAAAATGGGTTACAAGCAGGGGAAAGGCCTGGGTAAAAATAACGAAGGTATAACTGCTCCAATTGAGACTCAAGAACGACCTCAAGGTGTCGGACTGGGCATGCCCAGTATGATGGCTGCACCCAGAGGTTTCGACGAGTCCTACAGCGCTGAGAGCTCGGATGAAGAGCTCATCGCAAGCACATCTGTGGCTTCCAAAGACGTCCAATTTACTTCTGGCAAAGTACTGGAGGCGGATCCAGAAAGATTAGATCAGCTGAGAGCCGCGGGACATGCAGAACTGGCGGATAGACTCGAACGGAAATCTGGCACATACGCGCAAAAAATAGAGATGGGACGTGCTGTAAGTGAGCTCACACATGTTTGCAATAGACTTGATAGATTACGACTTCAGCTCTTCGCCCTGGATTCGGAAATCAATGGCTGCTCCGAAGAAGAAGCAGAAGTGCTAGGCCTACAACGTCTGGTAAACGATGAGTCAATGCCATCGATGGATAAAATAAGCTCAGCTTTAACGCTCGCCAATCCGCAACTTGTAGATACGATAATAGCATATTTGCTAACGGATTTTTTCGAGAAAGATGCCGCATGGAATCCACTTGACTTTGACAGTGACAGTCTAATGTTTTGCAACCAAATTATTGAAGCCCTGTCCTACAGTATGGATTCAAAGGAGTCAAAACTTAATAAAACGCAAAGTGTTGTTCACCGCCGTGTCTTCCCCGTACTCCAACCTTTCTGGGAGAATTTCGAGCCGTCGGCAGATGAGGTCAAGATTATGTTGCAGCTACTTTTGAATTACGAGGGAATTCTCAAGTTCATCAATTGCCTTCCCTTTATTTTGCAGAAATACATTGTTCCCGCTCTGAGTCGCGCGATAAGCGTCTGGAAAGTGGGCGAAGAATTGTCATGTCCGCCTACCATGTGGTATTTTGATTTCAACGTTTTCCTGACACAAGACGCATGCCAATTGCTAGAGGCCCAAATTGCTGAGAGGTTCGAAGAATATTGCAAAAATTGGTATCATAGAGACAGTCCGATAAGAGAACTGGACTTTCGATTTCTAAGAGAAGTCTTGTCACCAACTGTCTTCGATAAGATTGTGGAGGATGAACTTTTGCCCAGATTCGTGGAACAGTTGTGGGATCGTTATTTCGATCCTCTCTTGGCTATAGAAGACCCATCTGAACAATCTTTGGGGTACTTCATGTCCAAATTCAACGAATGCAAGTTCATATTTTCAGAAAGAATTCTGAATCTTTTTACGAAGGCCATTTTTAACGATATCAACCGTGTTCTTTACCAGTGGCACTGTTTTGCGAAGCACACATTTGAGCAGGAGGCAAAATCATGGTTCTTTGCCTTCATTAATCACTTCTACGTGCACGCAACGGCTCAGGAGTTTGCTGAAGTCGAAAAAACACTTCGTTTCTTACAGTCGCCGTCCGAGGAACCTATCCATGACGAGTCAAAAACTATAATAGAGGCCCTGAGACTGGGAAGCGAGAAAACTATGGATCTAAATTTCAGATCAATTCCACTTTCCAAGCTGACCGTTACCTTCCGGGAAGTTGTTCAGGACTACTGTGACGAACATGGCTTTTTCTTCCGCAAACTCAGCAACAAAACTGCAAAGCTGCCAGTTAACACCAGGAAATTGGCAGTAGTTCCAGTATTTGAGCTGCGGTCGGAAACCAAAGTATATGAAGTGGCCATCCATGAGGATGTGCTGTGGTTGAAAAATGCGCAGCAGGAGTACCGCCCGGTGTTTCTGTGGGAACTAGACGATATTTCCTTCTGATGAACTTTCTTCATTGAAGTGGCTATTTACATGCTAAAGACTGTTGGAATTGCGAAATTTTATGGTTAACTGAAAGGAGAACGTTCGGGGGTTTTTTTTACTCCTCCTTGTCGGATTTGGACTCTACTACTTGATGAGTTTCTTCGGAATCTAAAGCGGACGAGAAGTCGGCTTTTTGCTGAAGTATTGGGGTCGACTCCTCAGGATGCACATTTTGGACTTCGTCAATCATCTGGTCCTGGTCGTTACGCGACTCCAAGTTCTGAGCGACGTGTGCAGCTTCTTCTTCGTCTTTAATTTGTTCGGCGTAGTATTCAGGGTATTTTCTGAAACACTCCTGCATACCCTTGAACTTCTCTATGCAATCGATACCTTTAGGATCCTCTTCGGAGTAGACGAAGCACGAGAAAGCGGCTTTGAACTCTTCACCACATGGGCCCTGGGCCATTCCGCCCAAACAAGGACAATCCCAGTTAATGACACCAGTATCGGGGTCGTACGCAGATTGAGGTTTAGACTTGTCATCCTCTTCATCCTTTTTATCAGGGTTTGCTGCTTCTTGTGTGGACTTTGTCTCTGGAGAAGGCGCTTCTGTTTTGGCTGGTGAGGTGATAGCTTTTTCGCTCTGGGGCTTTCCAGCCGGCGTTTCCAATCCGATAAAGGAACCCGAGACTAAAAGACCCAGCAAAGCTCCTGCTGTTAGCGCTGTAGCAGCTTTTTTCACATGAGTTTGCGAAGAAATCTTGGAGCCTGACTTACCGGTGGAGAGGTATCTTGACGAGCCAGAAAGAACTTTAGTAGGAAAACCACGACGCAAAGTTAAGAATCCGGTGCGAAACATAACGTTAGTAGGGTGTGTGAGGCAATGCTTTGGGATTTCAAAGTGGTGAAGTTGCTGTTAAAAAAGGTTGATGGCGAATGTTAAATATCAATGGTGGATCCTGGAAAAATATATATAGTAAGCAGAGTAGGCGTACTCACGAGGGAAAAATAGCACCTGGAAATCTCAAAGTACTCGAGTACTGGTTCATGATGGAGGGGTGTCTGAACAGTTGGGACAGGGCAAGAGCTTTGAACAAGATTGATGTAGGGGAAGATAGATTTGAAGAATTTTTTTGAAGGTTTCATTTGGGTACTTCTTGGGTTTTGCGCTTGTGAGCATAAAGCGTTGGAGGCGAATTGGTTCTTCCACCAATCGTAAGAGATTTGAAGCATTGGAATAAGTGTAAATCGAAGAATGATGATGATGTAATTGAATGGAAGTTTTCAATTCAGGTCAATGTGTATGGAAATATTCTGATGCCTTGCTTTATCTCGTTGCGAAATCACGATTCCGCATGTCCCAGTTTCTTGCAGAAATGTAGTAGCCCTAAGGACTGTTTGTCAAACTTATAATGACAACTTTGAGCGAAACAAGGTGTTGTTGAAACCTGAGTTATGCTTTGTTGGGAGTAGTTAGGTCCGTACCTGTAAAAACTGACACTAACATTGTCACTTTGTACTATTGCGTCATGTCAAAATTAGCTCCATATATATATACATATATATATATATAAATTTTACGTGATGAGCGCACTACTGAAACCTCGCAGATGGTGTCACCCGAGATTGAACCACAAACCACAGAGCAGATCAAAAACCCACGGCAGATGAAACCTGGTGGGAAGTGACGGTCATTTTTTTGATGACGGGCTATTAGTCACGTGATCTCTCTCATGTTTTAAAATAACTTGTCAATTAGACCCCGCATTCATCGCGTTCAATGCCTTCTATTTTATTCTAGGGATCCAGGTGTAGACTCATCTTAACACCACGTATTTCATCCTGCAATTCCCAGCAATTGATGATGATTCTTTAATGCTTCGTGTGTAGCGACAAACTCATCGTTTATTGGCATCCCAGCTTTGATCGGCCATAAATTGCAAAACCCTTCTACAATCAAAAACATCTGGAGAACAGCGAAGTCGACAGCACAGTCGAGGGATTGACAAGCTTCTGGGCACACATACCAGTCTCTACTTATTTGTTCACGGTTGAAATGAAGATATACTACATCGGTGTTTTGAGAAACACAACCGAAAAAGCGCTTGAGCTCACGTCCGTGAAGGATTTATCACAGTTTGGATTCTTTGAAAGAAGCGGAGTGGCCCAGTTCATGACATTCTTCTCCGAAACCGTGGCTGCTAGAACCTCCGCTTGTCAGAGGCAAAGTATTGAAGAGGGCAACTACATTGGACACGTCTATAGCAGATCAGAAGGCTGCTGCGGTGTGCTTATTACAGACAAAGAGTACCCTGTCAGACCGGCTTACACATTGCTCAACAAGATTTTGGACGAGTATCTAATCGCACATCCACCTGTGGAGTGGAAGGACGCCACTGAGACCAACGACCGTTTGGCCCTAAAAGAATTAGACATATACATTGCAAAATACCAGGATCCTTCGCAAGCAGATTCCATCATGCGAGTGCAGCAGGAACTGGATGAAACCAAGATTGTATTACACAAAACAATCGAGTCCGTCTTGCAAAGAGGTGAAAAGTTGGACAATCTCGTCGACAAATCCGAGAGTTTGTCTGCCAGCTCGCGCATGTTTTACAAGCAAGCCAAAAAAACGAACTCGTGCTGTTTAATTATGTAATTGGTAATTGCCTAATGTTTAGGATATTTTGAGATTTTGGGGTGGGGCTAATGTTATTGCATGCCAGGATACGTGTCTTGGAGGGGAAAAAGTGGCAGACAAGGCCTTTACACTAGAATGTAGGTATTTTGTAAATACCAAAAAATTTCGACCTCGGTGAGGATTGAACTCACGATCTTGCGATTAACAGTCGCACGCCTTAACCAGCTTGGCCACGAAGTCACTTTGTGAGGTTCTCGACGTCAATTGTAATATGAGTAGGTAATATGAGTAGGGTAAAAGAAGCAGTAGGACTTTCAATGGCATTGACATCGAGCTATTTTTTATCCTGGATACATTAGTTTCCATTATCATAGATTGTCCTTTGGTGAAGGTTTATTAACGTTTTCTTCTCTAGCCTATAAACGCTGCAAATCGAGTGGTGGAAAAAAGCGGGAGCGGGCCTCAGGTTTTTCATTAATGCAATAATGGCTTTTGAGAAATGTTACCATATTAGTTGAAGTATTCTTTTTGTGATATTGTGGCAAAGGACTGTTGTAGATATGACTTTATATATCTTTCAGTGATCTATGCGAGAATCAAGATCGCGGGGATTTGCTAGCAAAGCACCCGGATTTACATGTTTTGTTAAATGCTGATTGGGTACTATCTGCGAGCTTTCACAAATAAACGGTTCGTGAACGGTTCTGAACACTCGTTGGCATTCAATGAGGTATCTTCCATAATGTCACAGTGTTGACTAGCATCAAGTAGTCCTCTAAATGATTGCAATATCACCACTGTTACCCATTAATATCATGATTTTGGGTGTTCCGTCACCAGTCGCCGCGTCACGTGATCGGGATCGTGGTAATTAAACTGTAACTGAGAAACGGTCATTCTCGCAATGGCTCTCGCCGGTTGTTGGCAATTTATAAATGAGCTACCCACCCATCAGCTAATTTGGCTTTACCATGTGGGTCCCCACAAGCTTCGGAAATTATTAGCGGATTACAGATGTGCCACTCCTTTTGCGAACACTTTGATTTGGGAAATACAGGAGAATTACGTGAGCCTCACACCCCTTGTGGTTTAAGAGCAGACTATCACAAACATATTTTCTGAACGGAATTTCTGCCAAGCAGTGATGGTCATGAGTATAATATTTCCGACATTCAAACCGATAACAAGTTTCAGCCCGGTGGTGGTATGCCTAAACACTGAGCTAAGCCTTTAAGTGTTTGGGAGGCGACATAAGAAGATCTTCTCAAGACCAGGTTTTCAATTCATTTATAAATAGGAATCAAAGCAGTATGTATATTGCATCGCGGAGTTTACTAGTTGCCTTTTTGCAGCATTGCTTGTGATGGTGCATAGTGGTTGGACTTCTTTTAATCCATTTTAGTGTTGACTTACTATTTTCTTTTTCAAGTTCATGGCAGTGTGCTCGATGAGAGCTCCATTACCGACTTATAAAATCATGAGAACCAAGTATCGCCCGAGGGCACTTTAAAAAGCCTATCGATGAGTCTTGTTGAGCTGCAAATCACTTTTCATACATGACATTAATGACTTAACGGGAAATCGTTCACGTTTGAGCTACCACGCAGCTCAACCCCGTCCATCATATTTCTAGTCGTTAACATTTCATTTACCTTCTGATAAACACCATATTCTGTCATCTATGCACGTGATATAATTAGGTGCAGCTATATAGTCGAACCTTATGAAGACAGTGTTACTGGCTCGTCCTATGAAGCTTATGGCCCAAGTGAAAGATTAATATGGGAATTTGACCAAATTCGTTACAAAGTGGTGCTTTTAAGTCGTTTCCCAAGTAGTTTCAGCTCTGTGAGCGGGATTCATAATACCATTCCGAAAATCTCGGCAAAAAGATCCCGAAAAAATAAAAAATTGCACGATCCAGCTTGGGCATCAGAGTTCGCTATACTGGATAGTTTTTACATGGATTTCAGGCCTCTTTGTACACATGTATACTGTTTTAAACCCAAAATGCATCTTAAACGGATGACATTCGAGATCAATGTAGGTCACGTGCCCGATGATTCAATTAAGAACAAATGCTAGCACATCCATCGCTACCGATGAAGGGAAGGTTTGAGTCAAACCGGCAATTATATCAGCTACTTCGGATCAATGCCGAGACCTTCTGAATGGGCAAATGAGGAATCAAAGATCACGAAAGGCAAACTGCCTGTTTTGCCACCTTTGGTCACCGGCCGGTCGTCAACCCCGGACAAAAAACGGCCGGAAAACGAAAGGGCATTTATTTCGATAGGGTGGTCCCCAGTCACCACAACCTCGGACTCTCAGAAGAATTTCTCAAGTCCCACTTTCCCAGGATTGGGAAATCTCAGTCCGCAATCCAATTCCAGCGGCAGAAGCGGCAAACGACGTCCACCACCGCCAGGAACTTACAGCAGCGTCGATGTTCTCACCCCATCCACACCGTCTAGATACAAGTCACCGTTTGTTGGCGAAGAAGTGCTATCAGCGCTCAAGTCGCCAACTATTTACACGCCAAAGAAAACTGCGTTCAAGTCGCCTTTTGTCGGCGACTCTAGCGTTCTCGTACCTACAGTGCACGGCTCCGATGAATCGCAATGGATCTCAAGCGGCGAAAATAACTCTCTAGAAGCGACATATGAAGATAACTACGAGGCCAATATTGACATGCTGAACAGCCTGAAAGCGCTGCCGCCTTTGCCCTCGCAAGAAAAGCATACCAAGCAACGGCTTGGCTTCACCAATCATAACCCAGAACGAAACTCGACGTGGTACGATGAACTGTCTCATGACCAATCTGAAATACTAGACAAGCCGTTTCGTCTTTTTGCAGATCAATCCCGAAATGCAAGCGACGCTAGAGCCATATCTGACAGTATAAGCAGCTATTACTCAAACTCGAACTACGCGTTCAACGATGAATTCAAACAGGAGCGTAGTTTCGACTCTGTAGCGGGCAACAGGCCTCTTCAACAGATACCAAGTATCACGGTGCCGATGCAGCCCTTCACGATTGATCAACTGGATGAAAACAAGCTATTTCAATGCTATAGTGTGTTTCTGCTTTCTGACATATATGAATGGCTACTGAAAGTTTACTTTGAATGGTTTAACGAGTATGTTTTCCGAAAAATTGAATTTTATCAGATGGTTCAACTCCTCCTGGAATTTCAGCTTCCAGCCTCTTGCAATCAAGATGTCGTCGACTCAAATGTGGATAAAATAATAGAGTCTCTTATTCTACAGGGCGCAGTGCGTTTTGAGACAGATTCCGAGGAGTCTTTAACCGATGAAATCACTTTCATTGTCGCTGGTCTTGCAGTTCAGGGTGTGTTCACTAATCTACTTCCGTGCTATTCTTATGATGCCAAGCGACTTTCAGATAAGCAGCATGAACATTGCTACTGCTCACGGTGTCCTTCAAAGTACATGAAACCGTCGAGGCCGATTCTAAAACTCTCAGAGATCATTAATAAGTCTGTTGGGCTATGGAGCGATTATTGGAATTTATCCTCGGAGGAACTCTCCGAGCTCAACCCTCGTGAGGTCAATCGCCAAAGTTTCATTTTTGACCTGATCATTTTAGAGCAACGGTCATTAAACTTAGCGCATGCAGCTGTTGAAATATACGGGAAAAGATATGATCCTGTGATGCTTCCGCATGATCCTAATTTCAAGAAGCTGGCCTTCAATATCTTCGAACCAATGATAGAACTTCACAAAGAATTTCTACTGACGCCCATTTTCTGGAAATTAAATTCACAAGGGAAGTTCATAGATGGAGTAGGGAAAATATATTTGCAGTGGTGCAATGCGTCGTGGGATTTGTATTTGCAGTATGCTGAGTCTATGGCTACTGTGCATGATGTCATCAAATGGGAAAAGGAACACAATTCGCCTTTCTCTCAGTGGCTGAAAAAAGTTGACGAATCTCCTGAGATCTCGAGATCCAAACTTTATCACGATGTCGTCTTTTTCGGGGGCTTCTTTAAAGCCTTACAAAATATTCCGGTCACTCTTAACTCTATTCTCAAAAGCACAGACCAGTCGATGGAAGATTACGAATATTTGCTGCTGGCAATAAAAGAAATTGAGAAATTGAATGCAGCTGTTGATCGTGCTCACGGGGCTGCGATAGACCAAAGAAAGGCCATTAGGTTGTCTCGACAGCTGGTACTCAGTACGGCACGAAATAGCAGTACAATCGGTTATGTTAATATCAACGATGGCGCATCAAGTGGTTCAGTAGATCAGGAAAGACTGGATTTGAGACTCAACGAAAAATCCAGAAAAATCATAAAGACAGGCGCTGTATTCAAAAAGAGAGAACTGTGGTTAGAAAATGCACAAGTCTACCTCATTCTCCTTGATAACTACTTACTGATGACTGAGATAATTAATAAAACTTCAGACACACGATATCGACTTTGTGAAAGGCCTATCCCAATAGACTATTTAAGTTTGGAAGCCAGAGAAGACTCGACTTTGAGTAAATACAGCTCTACAAAATCAGCTCTCTCCGAACAGTCTCACAACAATGAAGAGACACCTTCGAAATCTGTCAGGCCTCCAATTCACAGCTCTAAGAGTTTTTCACCTCATAGACCAAAGTCTGCATATCTTCCGAGCCCTATATCACAAGGCAGGGTTGATTTCTTCGATCACCAAGATGCACCAGCGTCGTTCAAGGTCAGAAATACCGCCACTAATGAGTCGTTTACATTTTCAGCCTCGACGGTAGAGGAAAAAGATGCGTGGGTCGCTGCTTTGGTTTCCTCTTTTAAATCGCATCATGATAATCAAAGTTCGAGAATATACGACCTTACATGTCTGTCCGACATGTTTAGTTATGAGGACGGGCAGGCACCCATCAATTTGCCTGTTTTGCACGAAGGTAGTGCAATTTCAGAGGCCTTACAAAAGTTTTACGGAAAAAATCTCCCACCCCAGCCTTGTCTTCAGGCTGATGTCAGATGCACCGCACAAGTCCAGTTTGAGGGCGAGACGTTTCTACTATGTGCTGTCAACTTTGGAATTTACATGACCGCGATCAGGCGGCCTGGTCCATGGAAAATGGTTATACTACTTCCAAAGATCACTCGTATGGAGGTGAACACGAGACTTGATCTTCTTTTTGTTCTAGCTGACCGCCGGTTGTGCTACTTCAACATTCCCAGCGTCATCTGTGCTTACTTTAGCGCGAAGGAATACTTACCCCAAAATCAAATAACTGGAGTTTTACTGCAAGAGAAAGTAGGCTTTTTCAAGTCCGCTGATGATTTTGGCAACTTAAAACAGCTATTTTACGAGCGAAAGGGGAAAATAGTGGTGCTCACGCCCGAGTTCGACCGATTAACAAAAAGATTGAAGTTTTTCAAAGTTTACAAGATATACAGGTTACCAGGCGCGACTAATGGATTAATATCAAGCGATATTCGTGACATTATCATATTTGCAAAAAGTTTTATCGTGTGCTCTTCTAGGGGAGCGCTTTTGTTCAACGAGTCCTTCAATGATGAGGGTCTGATTTTACCTAGTTTTCACAACGACAAGACCATGTCTGGCCACGAACACCATTTTCCACATCACCCGTTCAAATCCAGCAAGGAAACCTTGTCCAAGACAGATTCTTCTAAACAAAAAATGGCTGAATACGTTAAGATTGACATTGTGAACCGCAAAACCGCGGCGCTGGGCTGTTTCCAGCTCAGCGATGACGATTTTATTATCATCTATGATGAAGCTGTTGTGAGAATCAACAAAAACGGTGAAATACCCAACTGGACTTCTGACGTGCTGGTCTTGGATTTTTACTGCAACGCTGCCTCCTTTGCAGATGAGTTTTTGATTTTATTTGGCGAGAACCTGATCCAAGTATATGATCTAAATTACTCGGGGACCATTCTAAACGATAAGCTCAGTAAACTAACGCCCGTGCAGATTATAAAAGGCAAAAAGATCAAGCTACTCAACTCGATTTTCACTGAGAATCCTGTGCTAGTCTTGAGCCACCCATCCATTCCTGGAAGACAATTAATTTTAGAGTTTCAAAGAAACGTCTAACCTCTGTCAGGGTAGACTCTGCTAGGTAAAACAGACAGGTTTTCAAAAATACGGACACCAATACTTTACGAATTACGATGATAAAAACACACACACACACATACACATTGCCAATGTCATTGACCATTGTCATATACTCCGGCTGGTTCCAGGTATGGCAAATCAAACAAATGAACGTTGGTATACAAAAAGACTCAGAGTTGTGATAATTTCCACAAAATAAGGACTTAAAACATGGAACTATTATGTTTATGTATATATACATATCAGGAAGTCGTCAGGGCATCGCTCATTTAGGTTTGTTCATGGAGTCTTAGTACAACCTGGCTGTTCAACGACGACACACAACGTGAGTAGTGATAACTTATAACAACACTCAAATTTACCGCCGACCATCTATCTAGCTATACTAGAAGTTGAAGATCAGACAGCTAAAGCACAACAGTAGTACTTGCAGTGAGGACGCTAGTTACTGCCCACGATTCTTTGAAGAATGGACATAGATTTCGTGTTTTGGAACCTGGTTGGGCCGGTTCTGCGGTTTCCTATCTGCTTAGCAGTGATTATAAGCACGTATGTGAAGGCATAGCCAAGTGAGGGTTTTAAAACATCAAGAACTGCTACTAAAAGATACTTTACGTTTTAGATTCACAAATCTGGATCTCGAGAAGACATACTTACCCCTGGTGGGATTCTCAACAGTCTTGAGTTTTGGTGTATGGTTGAACGGACGGTTTAAGACTCGAGGGAACTGGGTGCCACTCGATCAGATGAAAAATGCTACTTGCGTGGTAACAGGTGGGAGTAGTGGTTTGGGTTTGGCATTGGTCAAAACATTGTTGTCCAGATTCAAGAATGCAAAGGTGGTCATCGTCGATATCAATACTCCGCAAATCGCGGATCCACGACTGACGTTTTATAATTGCGACCTGAACAACCGTCTGGGAGTGGAACGAACACTCTCTTTGATAAAAAAAAGCCACACCAAGGTTGACGTGCTTATCAACAATGCCGGTGTCAGATCCAAATATAAGACCTATCAGACTTTGCAAAGAGAAGAGGTCGACCAGGTTTTCCAGATTAACGTATTTGCACCCATGCGATTCATTCAAGAACTCATCCCGAAGGACCCTGCAAAATGCCAGTTTTATTGCGTTACGGTTGCCAGTGCCTTGGGGGTCTGTCCTCCTGCTCATGCGTCGTGTTACGGGGCTTCTAAAGCCGCCTCAATTGCTTTCCACGAGGCGTGGACTCAAGAACTTCGACCTGGAGACAAAATAAGAACCTTGCTAGTAACCCCCGGCCAACTCTCCACTAAAATGTTTGGCGGTTTTGTGCCTCCGCAACAGTTTTTTGCACCTCTCGTCCAGCCGGACGAGCTGGCTCGGGTCATAGTGGAGAACTGTAGAATCGGAGCGCGTGGTGAAATCAGCGCTCCACTATATGCTAACTTTATGGGACTGATGAGAGTATTTCCCTATATTTTGAATCACTATGCTCGCAGATTATCAGGAATTGACAGCAGCCTGCCTAGCGCGGAACCGCACTAATATCTGAGGCTCTTGTGCAACTACATACGTTTTGTTTTCCCATAAAACGGAGTGTGTAGAGGTCTAGACAACAATTGCGTGCTACGTAAAAAGGAAGAGGACGACCTAAGCTCTCTATTCCGCTTTCTTCGCAAGCGAATCAAGCTGCTGCTCGAACCACTCGAAAAGCCGGTCTGACTGTAAGTAGCCTGCTTCATTGAATACGGTATTTGCGGGCAGAATGACTTCTACTGAGCGATCTTCATCCTGTACGGTGACATGATAGTCCACACTGTACTTTTCCATTTTAGTCTTTACCACGATTGTGCGATCCTTCGAAGATCCCGAGTATTTGACGCCCTTTTCCACGTACTTACAGAAGCACCAAAACACGCCCGAGAGTAAAGCATATGCAGCCACCAGAAGCTTCTGATATGTGAGGCTTTCGTCGTATTTCAGTTTCTTGTCCAACAGGAACGAAATACCTGCCACGACTGCGATGGAGTAACCCAAAATCAGTTTCGTATCAATCAATTGAAAGGACTGCTTAAAGCCGAGCCTCTGGAAAGTCGCAGGAAGCGCCTCGTCCAACGTCTGGCGCAACTCAGGTGTACTGTACACATTAATTGGCTTGCTCATCTTAATGAAGTTAATACCTGTTTTTATCGGTTGGAGTCTTCTAGGTTATTGAAGTCTTTGAATTGATCAGACCAGCTGTATCAGAGAATAATCTGGTTTAAGAAAAGTCCCCAATGAGAAGCCAAAACACTTGTCAGAGGGCTGTTTAGCTCGATCTGTAATGTGATTTTATGATTTCCTAATTCTTTGGCATGTTTTCAACGACAAAAGATTTGAAAAACAAGAAGGTACACTTCTTCGTCCGTTTAAACTCTAGTCCAGATAGGCAGAGGGATTCCTCTTTTCTAATGAGAGTATAAACCAATGCCGCAGGACACTAATGGGGCTGAAGCCCCAAAAATGAATGATATACATCTCAACGCATCGAAAGATAAGCCCAAGCGTGGAAACTTGCATTCTCAAAGCCGCCGTGGCAACTCGAGAGTACCAAAATCGGCCAAGGTGCGGACTAGGGAGCAAAAACACCCTCCAAACAATGATTTCGAACTCAATATCCAGGATGAGCTCGTTCACGGCAACTTAAAAGCAAGGGGTCGCAAAACGCAAGTCTCCATTAACCATTTACTTGACTTCCAGCTACCGGAGAGAGAAAAGGAAAAGGCTTCTGCGATCATGTCAGTGAGACGAAAGGGAAAACGTTCCGAAGAAGATCACATTCACCTGCATGGGGAGTCTTTTGTCAATGCAAACTTCAAGTTTTTGGTGGACGATCGTTTCACGTACAAAGAGCAAAGCTTGGACCCAAACATTCCAATACCGCGCGAGAAAATAGTGCGTGTGGAGGCAACAAAAGGTCAAAGCTGTCCAATTTGTCTAACGGAAGACATCGTTGCTCCTAGAATGATCAGTTGTGGTCATCTTTTCTGCCACACTTGTATGCTGAGTTTTTTTGCCTCCGGCGACGAGCCCCTGGATAATGCCAATACTGGCTATGTGCCAAGGAGGAAGAAACACAAAGAGTGTCCTCTGTGTGGTACATTTGTTCGCCAAGAAAAAGCCGTTCCTGTAAAATTTGTCGAGCTCAATAAGTCTATGAGAATTCCTCAGGTAGGACAACTTGACACTTTTGAGCTGATGTGCAAGCCCCACGGATCTATGTTGCCCTTGCCCGTGCATCTGAATATTGATCCAATGTCGCTAGACCATTTTCCCGCCGTGGAGTTCTCGGAGTTGGCGCCCTATACGAGAATAATGAAATGCAGCAACCAAAACGCTATTGATCTTTACAAAAAAGATCTTGACGAAATAAAAACGCAGTTCGAGCTTGACCGTGCCATTTACAACGACGACGGCAAATTCGCTAAATTGGCAATGGAAGACGTAAAGCTGCGGATTAAAGCTTACGAAGAGACGACCCCAGAACATCAGCCGGTCGAGCAGTCGCAATCTCTGCCAGTTGACATTTCTCAGCTATCTTTTAAGGCAGGACTTGAAAAATATGATGACAAAAATGCGTTCTTTTTCTACCAGACGGCTTTCGAGGCTAATACGCGATACTTTCTGTCACCGCTTGACGTAAAAGTTCTGATCACGGCTTTCGGCCAGTATTCTAACTTTCCTCCACTTCTAATCGCGCAGGTAGAGGACGTTCACCACGATGCGGTGGTGACAGAATCGCTTTTACAGAAGTACAAGTACTTTGGGCATTTGCCAATCGGGAGCGATGTGACTTTTGTCGATTTGGACTGGCGTAGCGTTTCTGACCTTCCCCCAGATGTTTATCACAAATTTGCACCAGAATTAAACTCCAGGCGTCGCAAGTCGGCTTTGAAAAAGCAGCGTGAGGACAACGAAAAGCGACGCCACGAAAAACGTCTTGAACGAGAGCAAGAGGAATTCTACATGCGCGAGAATGGTAGTGCGCCGGCTCCAGTTATCGTTCCTACGGTGCCACTCTCAGCACAACATGCACGAGTTCAGCGAGCGCAAGAGGGCCGTTCAGACGACCAGGAGTCAGCAAAACACGGAACGCAATCTCAGTTGTCATCAAAACTAGAGAAAACGATATGGGGCACATCGATACCGACGTCAGAAGACCCTACACAGAGAAGCGAGGAGGATCTTGCTTTTGAAAAGATGCTCGAAAACATAAACCAGCAGAAACAATCCGAGTCGCGCGGCAAGAAGAAGAAACGAATGGTGACTTTATTGAGCTCCAATAACTCTCGGGGTACGTTATGAAGATCTGGAAAAGCGATGGTAGGAAATCTGCCAATGGTCATGAGATTTTGGTTGTAATTGTTGAGTATTTTCCGACTTCTTTCACGCCGATTAGCACTACCCGTTCGAGTCTCTTATCGATTCCAATAAATCTAAAGTTGTCATCGTTGTAGCAGCGTCCATGATAGTCGCACAACAATCCAAGGTCTTCCTTACAGGACAAAGTATAGCATAACGTTTGTTTGCAATTTGATTGGCGTAAACTTCCGCTAAGAGTCTCATCGATACTCGAAACTACAAAGAAGTGAAAATATCATCACCCAATCAGTCATTGGACGAGCTTATTCGTCTTAATCGTCATCTTTGTTGGTACATGGCTCTAATTCAGCCCGACACACCCGTATTAAACTACACTTCTCTCGATATCGAAAAACACGTAATGAATGTTGACAATAACGAACTATATACTCATTCTGACAAGCATCAAGAATCGCCAACACAATCGAACATGAGGTATGTGGAGTAATCTGAACTATATATTCTTGTTGAGGACAAGATTGGCAGTCGATTAAGCTAACTAATGAGCCATTTTTCTGTTTAGTGGGAAATTTGTGAGGGCTTCGAAATATAGACATGTTTACGGCCAAGTGGCCAAAAAGGAGCGTCAGTACGAGAACATCCGAGTAACCAACAATGCGTGGGACTCCAATTTGATTAAAGCCAGCAGCAAGTTTCTGGCGGTGAACTGGAATTCCTCTGGAGGTGGTGCGTTTGCCGTAATTCCTTTGGAGGAAGCAGGTAAAGCCCCAGATCAAGTACCTCTCTTCAGAGGTCATACGGCACATGTTTTAGATACTGATTTCAACCCTTTCGATGATTACTGTATAGCATCGGGCTCGGATGATGGAAAAATTGGCATCTGGGAAATTCCACGGGACTACTCTTTTCACAGTTACACGAACTCCGATGGCGATCCCAAGGATATATCTCCGAAGATGCTTCTATCAGGCCATGGTCGCAAAGTTGGACATGTTCTCTTCCACCCAACTGCAAAAAACGTGTTGGCATCTTCTTCGCTCGACCACACGGTAAAAATATGGAATGTCGACTCTGGCAAAGAGCTCTTCAATCTGAAGCATCCCGACATGGTTACTTCCATGTCATTCAGTTATGATGGTAACCACTTGGTGTCAGTCTGTCGTGACAAGAAACTGAGAACCTGGGACATCAGAGCCGAAAAAATTGTCAGCGAGGCGCCAGCACATTCCGGTGCCAAAAACCAAAGAGTGGTATGGCTCGGCAATTCTTCGAGGGTAGCAACCACCGGCTTTTCAAAGCTAAGTGACCGTCAGATCGGTATCTGGGATGCATTCAATCTTGAACAGGGTGACCTGGGTGGCTTCTACACTGTAGATCAGTCCTCCGGTATAATGATGCCATTTTTCGATGATTCCAACAAAATCTTGTACCTGGTTGGAAAGGGAGATGGAAACATCCGCTACTTCGAATTTCAAAACGACGAGCTTTTCGAACTATCAGAATTTCAATCCATTGACCCTCAAAGAGGCTTCGCGGCTGCGCCAAGAAGAGCTGTAAGCGTCAAAGACAACGAAATTTTGAAGGCTTTCAAGACGGTCAATGACCATTGTATCGAACCCATTTCCTTTCACGTTCCTAGAAAATCGGATAGCTTCCAGGAAGATATCTATCCAAACGCTCCATCTGGCGTAGCAGCCCTAAGTGCTGAGGAGTGGGCTTCGGGCAAATCCGTCGAAGGTCCTCTTTTGTTCAATATGAACTCTCTCTATGATGGCTCTGAAACCGTTCTGACACCCTCTGCCGGGAGTGAAGTCCTCAAATCTTCTTCTGCTCCTGCTGAGGTAATGAAAACGACGGAGAAGAAGTCGAGTGATGAGAACATCAAAAATGAATCTTCATCAACGAAGCCATCGCCTTCAAAGACTAAGTCACTTTCCCCTGGTGTAGCAGCTTCTTCTGAGACCAATGCCCCCGAAAAGATCTCTGAAAAGCCAGCTAGTGTCGCAATTGATGGAACGCTCCAAAAAGACAAATCTGTCGACGAACTTTTACAAAAGGCGACCGATCTAGATGAAGTGAACGACGCGGAGGACCCATCTAAGAGAGCCTCGACTTGGGATGAAGAGGATGATGTAGTCCCACAACGTGCTATCACGCCTACTCGCGAAGAGAATCCTTTGGTTAACAAGAAAGATGAAAACTTGCGGGATCAGAAAGTTGCTGAGAAGGAAATTTCCAGCGCCAAAGAGTCGCCAAAACCCAAAAACGTGCTTTCTAAAGAGCCTACTCCTGCAACTTCTACCACCCAAGACAAGGACAAAGCCAAGTCAAAAGAAGTGCAGCGAGGCAGCGCTACAATTGCAGGTCCAAAAGCCAACGGAACTGACTCGTCTTCTTCTTCTTCTTCTTCTTCTTCGAGTAGACCTGCTGCTACGAAGTCAATGGGTCTTCTACAGTCTGCAGAAAAACTCTCCGCTTTAATTTGCCATCTCGAGCTGGTCGTGACAGACTTGAAGAAAGCGAACCTGGACAAAGACACACGTTTGGAGGCTCTGGAGGCTAAAATAGAAGAATTACTCAAGAGATAGACGACGATCGGTGACCGTGATTGACACAGTTATCAACATTTAAGAATGAACTTGGAGCAAGATTATAAACAACTTCCTGTACTATTGGTTTTGATGGTCCACCTTCATTGACCATCAAGTCTTGATTTCGTATATAAAATAAATACTAATGACAAAATTTTTTAGGACAGACATTTTTTAGTTTGTTAAACTTACAGATCATAAAGCTTCAAGAACATCTCTTTCTGCAGTGAGAGTCGATTTCCCACCTTCAGAACCAGCTTCAAGCTTCTTCGTGTTCTGAATTTTGGTTTCGTGTATTGTATATAGAGATATACTCTGGCCTTACTTTGAGGTCCATTCGTAGATCAGGGAGATCCCAGAGTAATCTTCAATGAGTCTGGACGCCAGTAGAGCCGAAAATTATGCAGCTGCTGCTAAATATGCTTCTCAGATCGAACAAGTATATGGAAACTCAAGCCAAGGTATCGACGAGTCAAAGCTACTCGGGGAATTGCTCAAGTTGATCGACAAGATTCCCGAAGATGAGCATCTGTTCTGCAACGAGCACTACCGGTCAGTTGCCGTGTTCTGTCTTACGCTTTTCTCCTTCAGCAATCAGGGCACTATCGCTTGGCTGAAGGGTCGATTCGACCCAGTGTTAGGGAGATGCAAAGATTGCGTACGTCACTTCACGCGGGGAAAATGTAAGATGTTGCAGCACTTCTCGGTGCTGCGAAAGGTACCGTACGAGCACGTCACCAAATTCAACAACATCGTGTCGCTTTGGAGATCTCAGGCTTTGATTTCCGTTATCCAAGGCATTTCTGTCAACAATAACACCGATATCAACCTAACAGAAGAGATCAAAGTGGCAATCCTTGAGTGTTTTTGTAACCCGCAAGTTCTGAGGATCAACGAAACACTGAAGGCTGCATTTGACGCGGTATTCAAATTCCTTTACAATTCTCAGCATCCAATGCTAGGCCATGAAGCTGAAGAGCCTGTCGAGAAGCACGTCACAGCGGGCCTGATATATTGCTGGTTTGAAGGTACCAAGGAAGAGGCGGCATGGGCCCGAAGTTGCCTGGAGAATCTAGCCAAGAAAGAATTTGCATTTACAGAGGACAACTTCACTCAGGATCTGTTCGAAGAGATAAACGTGCATTTTCTGTATCTTCAAAACACTAGCAACTTTCACGAGGCCTTGGTATCTCACTTTTGGCTGAAGTTCAACCCCATTTATTTTTTGCTGAGCCCGTCTTTAATTCAAACTTATCTCGTTGTCCCTCCAAATCTGGATTCTTTGCGCCAGTCTATTCGACACCCGATTGTATCCATCTACAAGTTGTGGTACACCCACTTGGCTCATAATTTTCGCGAAAAACCATTAGCCATACTCCTCAAGGTCTTGAGAATCTTTCTGGAGAAAGTCGGCCATTCATTCTGGAGCTTGATCGAACCTTTCACTTTCCACAGCATCTTAGACTTGGTCTTCGAGAAAAACATGCTCTCCAACGCGCTCATCAAAATTCAAAACAATCCACTTGCATCTCAGGATTTTGACGCCCTTCTGATCGAAGAACCTTCCCTGACCGACTTGGTTTCATGGACGTTACCTTTCTATCACTCTTTGTCTCCTCCCAAGAGAATACAAATGGTCAAAAAGGTTTCAACGGCTTTTATTCGTGTCATTTCTAGTCATCCATCATTGAATCCGATTCCTAAGGCATGTTTGATCAATTCTTCCACAGCACTACTTAGCGCAGTTCTACTTGTGACAGATAAAGAGAGAGCTATGCTATATTCTGACGAAAGTTTTGAGACAACCTTATTCACGAAACTCGATTCTCGCGCGCTTCTGAATAATGACATGGTTTTGAACATAGTTGTGCAATGTGCTACCAATGTACGCGCTTTTCTTGGTGCAGAGCAACCGATAAGCTCAGTAGCATACTCGGCGACAAAAGTTTTGGCCTCCTGCATCGACTACGACATATTGTTACTGTGTCAAGCGTCTTACCGCATCTACCGCGAAGAAAAGGCAAATGACGTGAAGGTAAGTACGGGCTTGCTTTCGAAGGTGATACAACATTTGGATCTCGGGCGCTCTAATGAGCCTTCGCGCCTAGCAGCGTTGCTGTTATCATCCATGCGCAATGTGAACGGTCTTCTGAGGCCAAAAACTTCAGACCCTTCGGCTAATCAACATAATACGTGCATCAGGCTTTATGTTGATTTACTGAAATCTCTTTTGGTGAAAATCACTGACATACCACCTTCTCATCTGATCAAGGTACTCACAGATGAGAGTGGTTCTCGAGGTTTTTGGTCTTGCATTTTTACATCTGACATCGAGATTTATCAGACAGCAACCAATATCTTGTACGAAACCTTTGACGTAGAGGGTCGACTGGAAGGGATTCAGGAAATGCTGAAACGCAATCTCAGCTTCAGCTTGGAGTCCATCAACTTAGTGTTAACTCAGTTGACGAAGCATGAATTTTTTGAACCCTGTCCAAGGGCTATAAGGGTTTTGATGGACATTATAAACGTTTTTTCGGATCCTGTGAATGGAACCTTTGCTAACTATGCATCCATGAAAAACGAGAGGACAGACCAGATTTTAGAAACATTTTGGAGCTTATCTTGGAAGTTTTTGAATATGATTTATCGTGCGACGCTGAAGTGGGCGTCTAAGTATCCCTACTCAGAATTGGAGAATTTCACCAAAGATACGCTTGATACCAGCATTTCATTGTTAGAAGCATATCGGGAGTTTTCAGGAACTCTGGCGTCGGGCAATGATCCAAAGCAGTCAGAAACACTTCTTAATCATGTACTGGCGACTTTTCATGATATGTTGTACTGGTTGCGTCTAAGTGATGAATATCTTCTAGCATCGTGCGTTAAACTTATAGTCAAGGCAGCGGACTTGGCGATCGAGAAGGGATTCAAATTTGACGACGTACTAGTGACAACAATGACAAAGTATGCGTCCAAAGCTCGCAAGTTTTCCAACAAATTAACCCCGCAACAGTCTTCTGAGCTGGTATCAAGAGCCAAAGAGTTTAACGACAAATTGGTAGATAAAGTCACAGCAGAGGTTGACCTCTATCATAAAGAGAAAGAAAAGTCAAATGCAAGTGTGGGTTCTTCCTCTGCTCGTCTTTCTCCAGCACCGATGGGTAGCAAAGTACAAACTAGCAGCCCGGCGACCTCTATCGAGTCTAAGGTCGATTTTCTGCAGAGGAAGGCTATGTCTTCTTCTTTGATGGGTAGACCAAAAAGCCAAGCCAAGATTACATCATTTGGAACACTTAAGCCAGGTATGTCTCCTAGTCCTCGAGAACAGCAAAAGGCACAGCCTTCAAAAGTTGAATTGGCACGGAGGCAGCTCTTGGCTGGTCGAAAAGTTCATCCTCCTAGCTCTAATGTTTTCAATTCGAGAAAAAGTCAGGCACAACACAACACAAGAGAAGATAGCAGCGATGAAAGCGAAGATGATTTGGAAGATGCGAAAGAACTCTTTTCGATGTCAAAGAATAAGGAACGCCGCACCCCAATTGTTCTAGATATCAACGGGAAACCCATCAAGAAGGCCGATAGTGCTGAGCGAAAGAAACTAGAAGAAGAGAACATGAGAAGAAGGTTAAATGTCGATTTGAACCCATTTTACGAAAAGGTCCTAAAATGGAAATACACTAACTCCGGTGAGTATCCATCCAATGACCAAAAACACATATACACGGACGTTAAAGATACATTCAAATCTGCAGAAGATTATCAAAAAGTCATGCAACCGCTTTTGCTTTTAGAATGCTGGCAAGGTTTGTGCGCAGCAAGGGACCGTGAAGAGAACAAACCTTTCAGTTTAGTGGTCGGAAACCGGACGGCAGTATCGGATTTCTATGAAGTCTATGCTTCTGTTAGTAAAAAACTGATTGTAGACGCCGGCATTACTGACTCAGATTTGGTGGTTTTGTCGCACTTTCCGAGTGCTAGAAACTTGGGTGATGTTCGAGCGGACGACTTCAAAACAGCTGAAAACACTTGTTTAGCAAAAGTTTGGGGAATGAAAAATAATAAGGGCGATAATATGGACCTGACATTGAGAATCGATAGAAGTACTCAATTTAGCAGGTTCCTTACCCTCCGTGCTGAGATTTTTGCCGTGAAAGTAATGCAGATGACAACAGTCGAGAGAGAATATGCTGCCTTGATAGGTTTGCCTTTCTACGATCTCGTCCGTCAGATTACGAGCGGAAATTCAACAGCCAAACCTAACATTGAGAAAAGAGAGATTGAAGAGATAAAAGCAAACTACAATCTCAACAATTCACAGGCCGAAGCCATAGCAAGCACTGTGTATTCTGAAGGGTTTTCTTTGATTCAAGGCCCTCCAGGAACAGGCAAAACAAAAACCATTCTGGGTATTATTGGATACTTTTTGAGTACTCAGAAATTGCTACCTGCTGGTGTTATCAAACAACCTGTAGATGTCGCTACATCCGGAACATCAACTGAGCAGCTGCTGCAAAAACAAAAAGTTCTTATATGTGCTCCCAGTAATGCGGCGGTAGATGAGCTTGTCTTGAGATTGAAAGGGGGAGTATTTGATAAAAATGGGAAAGTTTTCAGTCCTAGACTTGTTCGTATTGGTAGATCGGATGCAGTGAATGCCGCCATCAAAGATTTGACTTTAGAAGAGCAAGTCGACAAGAAGCTCGGTAACAAGAACTATGAATTTGCCCACGATCCTAATTTGGAACAAAACTTGCAGAGTGCCCTCACCGAGCGTCGCCAGCTACGGCGTAAGCTAGATGCAGAAGACGGTTCTGCTTCGAGCGATCTGTCGACTGATGATATTACTAAAATACAAATGAGCATTAGGGAATTGAGCAGGAAGATAAACGAACTTGGCAAACAGAAGGATGAGATACGAGAGCGAAATTCTGTTAATTTTAGGAACAAAGAAGTCGACAGGAGAAAAGCTCAATCCCGAATTTTGGCCGAGAGTGAAATCATCTGTTCAACTCTGTCTGGTTCTGCACACGATATCTTGTCTTCGCTGGGTGTCAAATTTGACACAGTTATCATCGATGAAGCCTGTCAGTGTACAGAGCTTTCCACAATCATTCCCCTGCGTTACGGAGCGAAGCGATGCATTATGGTCGGTGACCCTAATCAATTGCCGCCTACAGTCTTGTCAGGAGCCGCCAGTAACTTCAAGTACAACCAGTCTTTGTTTGTTCGGATGGAAAAGAAATGCTCGCCATATTTACTAAACATCCAGTACAGAATGCATCCCGCAATCAGCAAATTTCCTTCTTCAGAGTTTTATAAGGGCAAACTAAGCGATGGGCCAGAAATGGAAGCAGTCAATTCGAGGCCATGGCATAAGCGCTCCCCATTGGGGCCATACAAGTTTTTCGATATCGCCACGGGTAGGCAAGAGCAAAATAAGAAGTCTATGTCGTTTGTTAATTTCGAGGAATGCAGAGTTGCGGTAGAGCTTGTTGAGAACTTGCTCAATCACTTCGAAAACTCTTACGACTTTACTGGCAAGATCGGTATTATTTCGCCGTACCGCGAACAAATGCTTACTTTGAAAAGAGAATTTAGAAGGTATTTTGGCAACCCGGTTATGAGCTACGTCGATTTCAACACCATCGATGGGTTTCAGGGACAGGAAAAAGAGGTGATCATCATTTCGTGTGTCAGAGCCGACGATACGAAGTCGGGCGTTGGTTTTTTAAAGGATTTTCGGCGTATGAATGTTGCGCTTACAAGAGCAAAGACTACCATGTGGATTTTAGGACACCACAGCTCCCTATTCAAGAATCAACTCTGGAAAAACTTGATTACGGATGCCAAAGATAGAAACTGCTTAGAACTGGCTTGCTCGGGATTTTTAAATACCAACAATCTTAAAGCGGCTTCAAAGTTAAAGCAATATGCCGGTTCACACGATCACATTCTCGGAGATGGCTACGATCCGACCGCACCAGCGGTGGAAAGAAGTAGTAAGCCCTACAAGAACTATCAGAATGATAAGGAGAATAGGTCACTTAAGGAAAAGAATCGTCAGCAAACAAAACCTATACCACAGGCCCGAGAACCCTACAAAAAAAAGCCTGCATCCGGGGATCATACAGCTCATACCTCCAAAGTGGAAAGCCACAGAAATGAGCCAGTTGTCTCGAAAGAAAAAGCTTCTTATGGCCTTTCCGGAACCAAAAAAAAGTCATCCATTTTCGGCGCGCCATCAATTGATTCTGAGATTGATATCAAGGTTAATGCACCAGCAATGCACACTAAAAATTCGACGAAATCGGATGGCGTAAAACTAAAAGGTTCCGAAAATGAAACTACACAACGTGTTACAAAATCAGCAAAGCGTGTGCGTTTTGATAATTCACCAGTTACCATTGTCGAAAAGAAGATCAAAGTTGAGGCGCCGCAGCGGCCAAAAGCTGATAATGGTCCCAAAATATATGCGAGCAAGAGAGCGTTGCCAGCGAACGCAAACCCAAATAATTCCAGTGAGAATTCTCATCCTCAAGCATTTAACTCTTCTGCGAATAAGGTTACCGAATCTGAGAATGACAGTGATCAAGACGGATACGACCCTTCGGCGTCGCCGTCCTTGGATATAAATCGTGATCCGTTCGCTACTGACTCAAATAAGACGGCTGTCAAAATCGGTAGGGACAAGACGTTGGCACGCTCTGCTGCTAGCCCCAACCCGTTCATTCCGAAGCGAAAAATACAATTTCCCCACAAAAGATAGACAATTGATGTACTGGGCCCATGATTGAGAGCCGCGTCTTCGCGCAAGGTAAACTCACTTTTTTTTCTGAAACTTTTCGATGTTCGCATGCGATGTTTTCGATAAGAGTGCAGACCGCGAGGAGTAAGTCACATTTTCTTTATTGATCCCAATCTTGGGAGGAGACGTTCCAGCAAAGGTAAGACTTTCTTTCAAGTCTTTGTGCCGCTTTGGGAAACCATTTGGGGTGTCTGCATTAAGTTCATCGTTAGCGCGTTTTAGGATTTCAATCTCGTTTCCAAGGCATACGTTGAGAACTTCTGAATCTGTCGAGATGTTGGTTTCTCGGAGCTGGATAATGACGTTCGATATCTCTTCCGATAGCCTCTGAGGTGATGTGTTTGGGTTTTCTACCAACATGGCTTTGAGTAGCTTTTCCAAGGAGCTTATCCTACTCAATGACTCATCCCACAAATTTCGCGTAGACTCAGCGAAACGTAAGTCATCTTTGAACATTTTCAAATCTGCATTTAAAATCTCTTGGCGAGCTTTCACGTAATCCTTCGCATAGTTTAGTCGATCTTGTAATTGACGAGATGGATCTCTAGATTCCGTTTTGCCGAAGCGAGACAATAATGGAGGTTCACTCTCGTCAGCAATATTCAATTTAGCCAAAACCTTTTCTTGTGAACGCTGAATGGCTTCAAGATCGTTACTAAGGTCTACTTTCGCACTTTCCACTTCATTCTGTCGGTTCAGTAATTCCTGTTGGATAAAGGTGCTGTCCTTTTTGAGAGTCGCCAGTAGAGATTCCAGCTGGTGTATTTCATGTTGAACGTGGTCATGTCCAGATCGTAGGAATGCGATGTTTTGCATTGTAGAAGTGCTGTCAAAATCACGGTCTGCAACCAGGTTGGAGCCCACTTGGTAGTGGTGACTGGCGTCGGTGACGGAAGTGTTTGATATCCCGACCCGATCGAGATATTGATTCAAGAATTGACGGTAGTGCGTTGTGAAGGTGTAAACCTCATTTGAAGACTCATTTTCCAAAGAAGGCTGACTTTGTGTCTCTGCAATAGCGTCCCATTGCGCTAACGTATCCTTTACCAACTTCGCCTGTTGGTCCAATTTCTCGAGTTTTCGAGCAAACTTCGCCAGACGGTCGATCTCCTGCTTCACACTACCACCGCCGTCACCAGAGGTAAGCATAAAATTGAGTTTACAAATGTCATTGAGACAGATGTAGATGTCTTTACGCAATTTGTCCAGCATTTCTGGATCTTGTACATCGAACAAATACCTTCTATGAGCTTGCACCAGGGTATCCAAATATGCTCTGATCCCAGCTCTTTGGGTCAAGACATCTTCCAATAGCATTATAGATCAAAATGCGGATGCAGGGAGAGCTTACGGGAGCGTTTTGGCCATGGTCTGGGGTCATCTCAACATGTTGTTAAGGTTATAGAGAGAGTATCGACATCTTTAAAGGACTCGATGGGGTCACGTGTGTAGATGAATTTATCGACCAAGACGTCGTTGAAATGATGTGAGCGTAAAGTTGGAGTGTGCTGGTCGATTTTGGTGAGCATTGATATCGGTTTTATGGACGGATGTTTTATCAGATTTTTCACCAGTGAATTCCTCTGCTACAAGACGATTTAAGGCTCAATTTTGATGTTTCGATTTTTTACAAAATTCACTGATGCAATGAGAAACACTGGGTTTTGATGGGGGAAGTCTATGGACTACTTACTGATCCGTGATGTCGTTGATTGTTTGCTGGAGAATGCTGTTCAACCGGATTTTTTTGACGTGCTCATTTTCGGGCTCCGCAACCTGTTTTCTCGAAGTAAAAGTCCCGAAAAGTACCCAGTCCTCGCGATTTATGATCCAAATTGTAACCCGCTTGCATGTAGCAGAAACCCGTAAAAACGCGTCCGACGCTTAAATCACTGAAATAATCTACAGCTCAGAAAATGAGACCTCCAAAACCGCTCTACAGGAACATTATAGCCAACCAGTACCTTGCCTCCAGAATTGAATTCAAGAATAAACGCTGTTTTCTATTATTTATACAATTCGGCTTGTCAAAAACGTGATTCGGGTCGACCCGTTATGGACAGCACTGCCGTGTAATATGCCCATATCACTTTGTACTTACGTGTCGTTGGTTGCTTATCTTTTGATCGTGTGATGATGACAGTAGAAGGTATAGCAGTGTGAAGTAAGGTGTAGGAAGTGAGAAACGGGCTCTTAATAGACGCTTCGAAAAGACATACACCCAGCTCACCCGCGGAAAACGAGATGGCTATAATGTTATCGTATCACGTGATGGGAGTCAGCGCCGTGCATTTCCCTGTCGTGTTGCAGACGTAAAGAACTTCGAACTAGTCCATGTACCGAGGCAACTACGCTCTCAACGAGCCCAAAGGCAGTTCATCATCTACTCATCGCACAAACGATGCTTTCAACTCTTCCTGTTCTCGCTCTTGCGCCTCACGTGACCCGCGCCAGAATATTACAACGTGATCATTTTATCTCTCACTGGTGAAAAAAATCTATTAGATAACTCAACAGCTATCGTCAGCTTTGGCCGGTCTTCAAAGATAAGCAAGCTATGCGCACATCTCTTCTAGCACTTCGGCAATTCCGGGCCTTCTAAACCCTTGTAAATATTATCAAATAATTCAATAACAACTTCTAAGCTATTTTTTTTTTAATTCTCGACTCCCAAGCTGTCGCCCATCCAAGGTTTTACCATCACTACCAAAATGCTACATATTCTTCTGAAGCTCTACGGACCATCACCATGAGTTTCGAGCGATAACGCCTCGACGCCGTAACAAACTGAAAAAAGTTTGACCAAATTTTTCACGTACTGGAAAGAAAATCCAGAGGCCCCACCCATCATCGCTCATCGCATCGCATCGCTCATCGCCGGACTAAAAAAAAATTTAAAAAAGTTGACGAAAAATCCTATAAATTCAAGTGAAATTTTCCCAAGGTTTCTATCACATTTAGTTCTCTTTGAGCGATTTGTTCATTGGGATTCGTTTCAGTGGAATTTGGGATACTTGGTTTTTTATAAAATGGTTCTCTTTTCGTAGCTTTCTTCAGTTAACGTTAATTAATCATAGTTACCTATACTTCCCAATAACTCACCATTAAAGTCATTTGTAATGTCAGCAACGCTAAAGGACTGTTCTAAAGCTCTAGAGTACTTGAACGAGTACACCGAGAAAGATGGGTTGTCTGCCAAACAACTTATGGACTCGAACCTAAGAGGTGGCCTTACTTACAATGACTTTCTAATCCTGCCTGGAAAAATCGATTTCCCATCGTCAGTGGTCGGTCTCCAGACTAAGATCACCAAGGAAATCACTTTAAACACACCTTTCGTTTCGTCGCCCATGGACACTGTTACAGAGGCAGAAATGGCGATCCAAATGGCGTTGTTGGGTGGTATCGGTATCATCCACCACAACTGCTCTGGCGAGCAGCAAGCTGCGATGGTGAGAAAAGTGAAAAAATACGAAAACGGCTTCATCAACTCGCCCATCGTGGTGAGTCCAGAGACCACGGTCCAGCAGGTCAAGGCCATGCGCGAGAAATTCGGGTTTTGTGGGTTCCCAGTTACTGGTATGTGGTAAAGCATTCGAGAGAGAGAGAGAGAGATGATTTGGTTGGTAAGACACGACAACGACAATGACTACTACTTCAAAGCTACAAATTCCGAGAGTCCTGGCAGTGCAAAAGATTACAAATGATGATTGACTAAATTTTTGTTAACTTTCGTTCTACTGACTCGATCAAACGATCGTGTAGACACCTTTTTGATCTGATGCCATTTTTCGTGGGAGAATTTGAAGCACTGTGCAGAAACTAGTGGAAGTGGCAGCGATTGTGGTAATTGAGCATTGTTTGTCTTACCAGCAAGTCCGTTCCAAGTTTTTCTTTTACTAACTTAAAGTACGCATTCAGAATCCGGTTCGCTTCCAAGCAAATTGGTCGGTATCGTCACTTCCCGTGACATCCAGTTCATCGAAGACAACTCTTTGTTGATCTCCGAAGTGATGACCAAGGAACTGGTCACCGCTAAGGTCGGTGTTACCTTGGCCGAGGGTAACGAGATCTTGAAAACCACCAAGAAGGGCAAACTACCGATTGTTGACGAAAACAACAACTTGGTCTCCATGCTATCCAGAACTGACTTGATGAAGAACCAAACTTACCCATTGGCTTCCAAGTCTGCCACCACTAAACAGCTGCTATGTGGTGCTGCTATCGGTACCATCGAGTCTGACAAGGAAAGACTACAATTGTTGGTGGAAGCTGGCCTAGACGTTGTTGTGATCGACTCTTCTCAAGGTAACTCTGTTTTCCAATTGAACATGATCAAATGGATCAAAGCCACTTTCCCAGAATTGCAGATCATCGCTGGTAACGTGGTTACCAGAGAACAAGCTGCTTCTCTAATCCAAGCCGGTGCCGATGGTTTGAGAATCGGTATGGGTTCTGGTTCTATCTGCATCACCCAAGAAGTTATGGCTTGCGGTAGACCTCAAGGTTCTGCCGTTTACAATGTCACCCAGTTTGCCAACCAGTTCGGCGTCCCTTGTATGGCTGACGGTGGTATTGGTAACATTGGTCACATCGTCAAGGCTTTGGCCTTGGGTGCTTCCTGTGTCATGATGGGCGGTATGCTTGCAGGTACCACCGAATCTCCAGGTGAGTACTTCTTCCAGGACGGTAAGCGTTTGAAGACTTACCGTGGTATGGGTTCCATCGACGCTATGCAAAAGACTGACAAACAGGGCAACGCGTCGACCTCCCGTTACTTTTCGGAATCCGACAAAGTCTTCGTTGCTCAAGGTGTTTCTGGTGCTGTTGTCGACAAGGGCTCTATCAACAAGTTCATCCCATACTTGTACAACGGTTTGCAACACTCTTGTCAAGACATTGGTGTTCAGTCCTTGGCCTCTCTAAGAGAGCAAGTCGACAACTCAACCATCAGATTCGAGTTCAGAACCGCATCTGCCCAGCTCGAGGGTGGCATCAACAACTTGCACTCTTACGAAAAACGTTTGCACAACTAAAAACAGCAATACTCATCAATGTATTCCACGTCACTAAAATCAAACTAACCCGTTTGTCCCTATATATACTATATCAACAAGAAATCGCTGCCAACATTCAATTGTCTCAGCCCTCGCGAAAACACGACTCAAGCTCTAGCTCTTCCCCTCTCCTTGGAAATAAACTAGTGTTTGTGTTTGCCGCTCTCTTTGGCCACCCGATTATAGAGATAAGCTTCCCGTCTTTTACCTGCGTCTTCTAGCTTTGGTGGTAACCTTTCATTTATCAGATCTTCGCGACGAGCTTTCTCGAATGTGCTAAGAGCTTCTTTAAGTCCTTCTGGTCCGTGAGCCAACGCGCCGCGTGGCAGCGTCCCTGCATTAATAGCTTTTAAATATTCCACATTCTCACTCTCTTCACGCAAAATCGAGTACATTCTGGATACTTTTGCAATTGCCATGATTTTACTGCGCAATGCTCTTCTTTTTGCTTCATCGTTTAAGATGGATGATGTGGGCTGCCCAGTTTTAGCAACTTGCGCTTCTTTCGATTTGTTCGAAGATTTTGCCTCTACCGGATCCACTGCTTCCGTCGCAAACGTTGTCTCCTCCTCAAGCTCCTCCTCTGTGCAGATATTCAAAATGGAAACCAGCATTTCTGTTACCTTTTCGCCGACAAAAGGAAGTGACCAGGTGAAAACGTCCATGAAGTTGGGTAACCAGTATGGATGGGGCGACATGTTGAACTGCCTGATGTTCATAACGTTATTAGAGTACTTCAAAACTGCGGCTTTGTTCTTGTAAGTGTCGAGATAATTTGGAGCACTGAAAAGAGTGAGGAGACTAGGAAAGCCAAGAGTTTCAGTGTTCTTGTACATTCTATAACCAGCATCTTGAGCTTCATGTGCTCTGATAATGGAAAGGAGGCCCGTTCTCTGCAAAAACTCACAAGCTGCGTGGTATGTGAATGCATACGAACACCCTCTAACAGAGTTAGGTATGTATTTCCCGACCGAGGGATCCTCCGCATCTTCGTCGTAGGTTTCCGTCGGGTCGGCCCACATTAGATCGCACATGAGGCCACGGGAAGGTATTTCACGAAATCTGTTCAAATTGTTTATGTCGTCCAGCGTCTTCAGCTCTGGCGAAATTCCGCCATGTACGCAGAAATACTGTCCGTTCATCACTGCAGCAACTGGCAATGCATTAAAGGAGCGACAGCACATTTCGTATATCTCCAGTGTGTATTTGTGCAGACACTCGCTTTTAAAGGTAAAGTATGAGGTCAGATGCTTGCACTCGTGATTTCCTCTTAGAAGCCAGAAATGATCGTTATAGTTGAGCTTCAGACTGTACAGGTATAGCAGACACTCGATGGAAAACGAACCGCGATCTACATAGTCACCCAAAAAAAGATAAGGTGTACTTTCCGGATTACCACCCACCTCGAAGAGTTTCAGCAGATCGTAGAATTGGCCATGGATGTCACCACATACTGTTACGGGAGCAGGAACACGCAGCAGATTGGGTTCTTTTGACAAGCACTCCGTACCGGCTTCCAAGATGCGAAGCACTTGCGATTCTGTGAGCCGACCCTCGCGACGAAAGTGCTCTCTGAGAAAATCGGGGTCAGGAATGCCATCTTGTTTGAACAATTCCTCATCAGTGGGCGTTCCCAAAGCTACAGGTCTCACAGAGCTGCAAACTCGCTCTTTGGTCGAGACTCTCACGCCGTTTTCCAGCGTGTACATCGATAGGTCCGGCCTTACCATATCGGATTTACTGCCTTTTCCAGAGTCTCCGGGCTTGTTTTCGATGATTTTCAACGCAGCATTCATCTTTCTGAGGTTTTCCTCGCCCTTGGCATTTGACTTTGACATGTCTGCTTCCTATTCTTATCACTAAGTACTTTCTTGAAACTCAACCAAAAAACACCCTAAAAGCACTCCGAAAAGGTCGAAACTAATTCAATCGACTCGTTTATGGCTATTGTGAGTATATGCCCCTTTTATAGTCGCGCCAAGGATTTCGAACTCCTGCTGTTAGACTACTCAAATGTGTTGATGTCGTCAGTGCTCAAGGTCCTCTCTCATCTATGAAATATATGTCTACTTGTTCGTAACTAGTGACTGAAAGTTTTCTATAATTAATCAATGGAAAATTAAGCTCATCGAGCTCATCCATCTCATCGGCTAACGATCAACTTAGTTTAACATAAAATAAACAAACAATTTTGGGTGTTACTAAAAGTTTGATTACCGAAGTAGCACTGTTGAGATTTAGGGCTTTAGATTGATACTTTTCGGAGGAAAAACGAAGAATTTTGAGCAAGTATACGCGAAATTATGGCCAGTAATATTGACCAATGGGCCTATGTGGAGGCTGAAAAGGACAAAGCTAATCTAGCCTTCGAAGATGAGAAACAAATGGCTCGTTTTGAGCTCGGTGTGTCTGTGGCCGTTTACAAGTGGGAACCTCTGGAATTGGCGGTTCAAAACGGATGGGGTGGTCCAGAGTCCGCAGAAAAGAGAGACTGGGTATCAGCCATTGTTGTCGATCTTTTCAAGAACGGCAAGATCGTGGAGGTTGCCCTGATAGAGGAGACACTACTGTACGCTATGATGGATGAGTTCGAAACCAACGTTGACGACGAGTCTGCCCTGCCCATCGCAGCGCTCATTCTGGATATTTACAAGCAGTGCCAAGCAGAAGATTACTCTACCGTGGAAAAGCTTTACCTAGAGTGGAAAGAAAAGCAGGAAAGAGTAGAGGTTAAGAGAAACATCCAGATTGGCAATGACCCGTGGAACCCAGACGTCTCAGACAGCGAAAACGATGACGAGGAAGAGGACCAAAATGACGTAGAAGCGTCAGTGCCTTCTCTGGTTCAGGATACTGACGTGGACATGGATGCTGAGAACGTGGAGCCCGTGGTAGATGAAGACGGCTTCGAACTCGTGCAGAAGAAAGGCAGGAAATCTAGACATTGAAATTTTTTTGTTGGCACCGGAATGAAGACTTGACTTCTAGCAACTACACCTCTGTACATTATATAGTTGTAATCATTTTTGTAATAACCTCCTCTGAATTCATTCATCGCCTCGTTTTATCGGTGCTTAAAGTGACTGCCGCGCAGCCAAAGAGCCCCGCGGGGTCCAGGGGCGCGAGGTCGCGGGCGTTAATGTTCCTGAGGTCACCATTATTCCCTCTGGGGCATTTAAATTTGTATTGCTTCCGAATCGCAGTTTCCGCAAAAAGTTCGATGTCATATCCACAAGACTATATTTCTCTCTTTCGCCCACTTTCACACCAAAAAGCGTAACTTTTGTGCCGACCCAGATGTTCGGTTTTAACAGTCCCGGGTCTAGTATGAATGATCCACCTTGATGATTGGCAGCGCTCTGGGTCTCGGTTTCCGACTCCTCATCGATTTTTGTTGTGTTAGCCTTCTGAAACCCTGTCCAGGAAAATCTGAATAAGGATGACCTTTCGCTGGTCTGGCCTCCTGAGTGGGGTTTATTGTTGACCCATGATGAAAATCCTGAACTCACAACGGGACTGTTTGGAGCACTGTTGGATGCCGAGTCCGGTTCTTGCTGCAAAAGGTAATTGGTGATCAAGCTGTTATTACTATTGGTGCGGGATAAAGACGAGCCCTGGGAATTCCATCTTTCCAGTTTGGGCGTTTGCGGTTGTGAGAAACTTTGTGAATGCGATTGTTGCCCTGCATCTTGCTGCGTGCTTTCTTTGGTAAAGGTGCTGATAAATGGGACGCTGTTGTAATTGAAAGCGTCTTTCCATAATGAGGAGAGGTACCAATTAAATGCCGTTTCATTTGAATCCCAGTTTACGATTAGGGTTTCACACTCATTTCCGAGTCTCCTTGTCTGTGGTGACATTGAGTTTCTCACTTGCTCCTTCAAATAGGGTTCGAACTTGATTATTAAACGAAGCTGCTGCACATAGTTGTCGCCCGTAACCTGTAATATTGCTGGAAACTCTTGAGTAACCAAGCGAATGATTTTGGTCATTAAAGACAGAGGACCCGCTCCTAGCCAGCTGTTATGCAGACTTGCATCTTTTCGAGATTTGAGTTTATTCCGAAACGTTAAGCCAAACGGTCTGTGGGGTCTGAGGGCCAACAACAAATCTGTTGACTCCAATACAGGATCGTGCTCATCGTCAGCGTACTCGTACAGCTCGATGGTTTTATTAGGAGATCCTTGGGCCACTTTTTCGGCCGCGTGTTCCACTTCCTCCAGCTTCTGTTGATCTGGCTCGAATATCAAAAGCGATTGAAATTGAGCTTTTTCTATCATGTCATAGTCTTCGTGATTGTTGGAATGCCGTCTATCAATTTGCCAATTGTATCTTATGTCCGTGGGCAAAGAATCATCGAAGTAGTCGTCGACGTGTGAGACAACTTCCTTATCCGCACCTCTGGGCTCGTATTTGTTGCAATCGTAGCTTAGCTCGGAGGAGATCTCAACCAAATTCTTTTGAAGCTGTTTAATCACATTTTCGTGCCTGCAAAACACAAATAGAAGGTGCTTGCTATCCTTGAAATGGTTGAGAACGCAACTGTTGAAAGCTTGAATAAGTAAAGCAAGCAAATCTAACTTAAAACCTGGAGACAGCACATACCCCTTTGTTACTCGCTGTTGCTTAGAGACTTCTAGTCCCTCATTGGAAGTCTCAGGTATGCCGTTTTTAGCGTCTTCTGCAAAACTCTTCAAGAATTCCTTTGAAGTCATTCTGGCCATCAACCTTAGAAAGGCGACTGATGTATTATAGCTCAGTCCGGTGACCTTGTTAGATTTATCGGAAGACAGCTGAACAAGGTCTTCATGTTGAGATCCGCCAGGGACACATAACAGATTGAAAATAATCTCGATCAACGATGCGTTCATTACGGTATTAGCATTCACCTGTAAAGAGACCAAGTTTGTCAAGTGTATAATGGCAAAATCCCTGAAGGTGAGTCGGCTGGCGTCGCCGACAGATATTTTGTATGAGTCAGGTATTTTGTTAGCGTAATAGTTGGCATTGAAACAGTACTGCATTTTCGACAACACCAACTTTTTGGACGACAAATATGTTGCAAATCCCGATACAATAGGTATTAAATCTGTTCGCCACTCAGAACTTTTTGAGTAGTTCTTGATGTAATAAATGCAAACCAAAATCAGTTTATTAGCGTACTTGTCAGCCACATAGTTCTCAAAAGATTTGTTGCACTTCATCAGCTCCCACAATAATACCACGATTTGTAAAGTACTTCTAGGCAGATGGGCTACCGAATTCGGCTGCGTAAAACCCTTGGGTGCATTACTCTTACTCTGAGAAGCTCTCTTTCCATTATTCGATCCGCCAGCGGAGTTACCCAGCAAGTAAAAGGGATTGGATTCGATTTCAATAGCCTGTTCCATTGGCCTTTTTAGAAGCGTTGCTAAATTGACCAAAATGAACTTGAGGTCAAACTCCCTTGATAAGGTGCTCAAATACGTCAAAACGAGATTGTTGATCTTGAAATTGGTGGAGTAGAGATTGAGGCCGTATAAGAAGGTCTGAATCTCAAGTTCATGTTCCCGCTCGAGGGGGCAGAGCATTGACAAGTTAAGCAACTGCAGCCCGGTCATGGTCAATGATTTTCTCATGGAGGTTAGCTGGCTGCTTTTAGAGGACGAATGGTATGAATTTGACGGGTACTGAAGTCCGTTATTGTCATCGTTACTTCGACAGGAACGACACACAAGGTTAATAATCGAAGAAGTGAGGCAAATACTGTGAAACTCCGGAACCGACGTCGTTAGCACAACGAGGAATTTCGGCATATGTTGAGAGTACAGCTGCTTTGACGACAGAGTCAGCAAAAGACGCAAAATTTCCAATCGTTTTGCGTCCAGCGTCGGGCTTGGAGGAGCATAGTTTGTTTCCGTAGTATTGATGCCATCCTCCCAAAGCAAAAAAGAGGTTTTTCCGTAGTCTCTTGGAGCTTGTCTCGTGAGAGGAACGGTGAAACCTTTGATGAAGAGTAGTTTAACGCAAGCCTGCACGATGAGAACACCCAGGGGCACCAAGTCTTGAGCTTCGGTGATAACGTGGTTGACATTCAAAGTGGCATGCTCTTCGGAAATCAAGCCTTCGCAGTGCAGTACCTCTGAGCTATTTTGGTTCCAAAAGATTGAATTCTCGTGTTTTTGGTCCACGTCCATTTCATAAAAGACCGGTATTATCTTGGTCAAAATGCGCACAAACGTGAGAAGTTGGCTTTCGCGCAATTTAAAAGTCGCCACTGAGTCGCAATTTTGAAGCAAACAAGACAGGACGTGAATTTTGAATGCTGCAAATCGTATAAAAGCGGTGAAATTGGCCATGTTGGAATTGCAGATAAATCGCAACTCTTGCGACGAAATCACAGAGTAAACGTCGCGAGCTTCCGCACCTGGCACCACGAATTCATTGAAATACGCCGAAAATGGATCTGGGAAGTCCTTGCGCGACCACGAGTTAGGATCATTGTAGTACTTTATCACCTCTTGAGAGCTAACGCAAGGCGAGTACAACGGTGTTGGAACCAGATCTGCGAGCCTGAAAACATGTTCTCGGTAGTGAGCGAGTTTTGAATCTGATTGGCCCATGCTAGGGCTCTGGGAGTTTGGCACAGCGTTGCTTTACAAATTTGTTCGAGCACTTTTGATACTTACGTTGTCAGCTCCAGGGCCTTTACGCTATAATTTAAGTAATGAGAACTCGAACAACTCAAACTATTGTCACGTGATCTCTCGTTTTGGACAATAACGACCATAAGATGCTTCAAAGCAGCTACCAGGGCACCACGCCCTCATGCTGAATTATTCTGAACAGTTTCAAACACCTACTTTGAAATGATTGTAGTATGGGTTTTCGCGTAGAAAAGCTATAGTCAATATTAGCAGCTATTTATCTCTGGTAATTATTATTACAGTCACTTCCGACAAACTTAAAGTATGGTGCTGTTCTCATCAGTTATTCAATTATTGGCATGGGTTTGGGTAGCTTGGAGTTTTGTATGCTGATTTTCGCAGCTGGAAATTCGCCATGAGTACTTATGATGTTCATTAAAATTCAGAATTCATACATGTCTTGGCATTATTTTAAGACGACGTGTAGCAGAAGGGCAACCGACCCTCATTGAAGGCGCAAAAAATAAGTGGACCTTAAATTATGACTCTCGGTCAAGTCTTGGCGGCCTCGGAGTGGATATAACAGCTGTGACGTAGTGTCAAACTGTCTAATCAGCACGATTTTATACTTGCATTATTAAACTTGACATTAGCGCAAACATGCGTCAATAGTTCACGTACGAAAGTCTTAAGAGGCAAGTTTTTAGGCCAACAGATAGGATAAACCGTGTGAGTCTGCTTGCATTAAGTGTTTCTGACAGTTGAAGGCATGCGCATAATTTGAATATCGAATTTTGTAGAATTGAAGGGCCTGCGATGTAATGAGAGGTGTTTGCTAAATGTAAATATCAAATAAAGTAGAAGTGAAGGGCCTGCAATGAAATTTGAGGCAGATGCATGTGATCGGAAACGAGAAGTGAAGTGAGTTAAAGGATGAGAAAACCGAGATACGACGTGGGGGAAAAAATGCATGTATTCGTCCTGTTTTTATAATTTTTCTTTCATCCCCCCGCCTCCCCCACCTTTTCTGACGGAGGTACGTTTGAGAGGCTCCAGGCCATGCCCTTCACCAGTCCTCTACTTGGTCGAAGGCCCGCTTGTTGCGCATAATGTCGTTGTCGATCAACTCGAGTCTCTCGTCCAGCTGATGCTCCCACATCTCGAGCGAGCTCGAGCTCGACACGGTGCGTGCGTTTACTAGCATGGGTGGCTGCTTGGACCCGGGCATGGGCACTCTCTTGTACATGGGGATGGTCATTTCCGAGTTATCCTGCACAAAGCATGCGTCACGTGGCGCCTCTGGGTGCTGTTGTTGTTGTTGTTGTTGTTGTTGTTGAGTGGCGAGTCCTGCGCTGATTTGGTACCCGCGGTCGACGGACTGACGAATGCGCATTCCGATGGTTGAGAGTTGGTTTTGGCAGTCGTACTGCTCGTTTTGTCTCTGGATACCCTGTCCCAGATGTTTTTTCTGAGGAGATTCGGGCATTATAGATTTGATATTGAGAGGTTGTGCGTGTGTGTGTGTGTGTGTGTGTGTGTGTGTGTGTGTGTGTGTGTTGCGAGCCAAAGGATTAGTGTTCTTGCAAGCGAAACTGGTGGCTCTAGCTGTATCTTTATAGGTTCTAAGCTTACCAGACGCTGTATGTGGTGTCTGGGTTTTGTCCTGTTCTCTGGTCGTTTTTACAACTAGCTGTCGTTAGCGCCGTGGATGTGGTCGTGAATATAAAAAATATATCTCGCCTTATATAGTCCTATACTTGCTGTAATCTGGCCGGACGAAAGTGATCTGGAATAACGGAAAACAGGGGGCCGGGGTGGCTAAAAAATTTACGTAACATAGGTGGGACGGTGCACCACGTGGTGTGGAGTGCTCCAGCACCCAGACACCATTTGTTTTGTAAACAAATGGTGTCTGGGTTGTAAACAAAGGTGTGTGTGGTTGTGTGTCTGGGTGCTCGGGTGACTGGGTGGATGGGTGGCTGGGTGTTTACCCAGGATTAAATCATTTCACCACTAATTGGGAAAGTCCTTTGATTATGCCAATTTTTGAGAAAATCTAGCGGGGGAGAAGAGAAATACAGCCTGTTGTTCGTCTTTTGAGCGATGCCAGCGGAGGAAAAAGTGATAAATTCTGGAGCGAAGTTAGATACGCCAGAGAGCTCGGACAGAGCTGTAATGATGTAGAGTAGTGATGAGTGGCTACGATTTTCTGACAGCGCTGAACAGCAGGAAAACCAAGACAAATTGCAAAGATTACACAATTTACGGTCACGTGATGGTGATAATATGAATAATAGCACATTTTACTGACCCACCAACAGAGTCTGGTTGAATCGAGGCCATCTACTTCAGCTTCACATATCTTCCATTTTGAACCTAGCTTGTTAACAAAGAAAAACAAATTTGACGGTCATGGGTGTAAAATCACCAAAAGTCATACGAAAATGAAGATCCAAAAGAGAGGTATGCACTTAAGTTTAAAGCGTTTCGACGACGTCTTGATGCTATTGAGTAAGCACCGGGCGTTCGCAAAAGGCAGTCTGTAGGCTACGTAGTTAATTGGAAAGTTTAGTGACACATACGTACAAAGAGATAAAGTGACGAAAACCATAAATATATTGGGAAACCGGCGAGAACAAGCAAGTTTCTGGACTTTGAGAAGCCAAGGATACGGTGAGCATTACACTTATCTTTGACTCGTTTAAACTTGACAACGGGTTGCGAGTTATGAACTTTTTATCATCTGAGAAACTACGAACCAAGAAGCAAAACCCAATATAAATTTCCTGGCTGGCGTGTATCAAATCTGAAGCTAGAATGAAAATTTAGCAGTCCTGGTAAAGGTCTTGGGTGCGGCTCAGAGACTCGTTTGAATGACGCTAAGCATTAAAATATACTTAATCACTCTGTACGTAACTCATTAACGTGCAAAGTAGTCATTTTCCCTACCCAAGCCTTAATAAACGCTAGCCGCTGAGAAACAACAATAAGAAACATTCCCTCCAAAACAAGTCTCAATCCAAAGTCAACAAGCTCGCTTGTTTGAATTCTAAGCTTATGCTTCATCGAGCTTTGACATCCGAAGTTTTTCTTACCTCGTTGTCGAAGAACCAGCACCGTCAGCGGTAAAAATCGGAGGGCGATCCTTGGAAGATGCCAAAAACCATTTGGAAGAACGCTGTACGCTGGAACGCTGGAACGCTGGAACGCTGAAGTTTGGGCTTATTTGGAATATTTTTGAACAGTTTTTCTGTTATCAGACACACGCTGGAGGCCCACAATCCTCCCAAAGATGATTTGCGTCGTTCAGTTTGGCTTCTCGTGCAGGAATCGCCGATGTTTTTGAAAAATGCTGGACCTGGTCGAGTGACTTTTCCCTCTAAAGTCATGCCTCAACGAGCCTCAACGTGCACACTGTCTCAACAGTCCAAATGAGATCAAACGAAGGTTCGAATTCCGGCGTTTACGTTAAAGCTTCATTCCACAACCAAATGATATTTCAACAAAAGCACGAACCCACAGCACGAACTCCCAAACACAAATTGAAACTCTTACAAAAGCCCAGCTACGGGTCTATACTAAGATGTTGAAACTCTCAAAAGAGCGAAACTACGAATTTATAGTGCGATATTGAAACTTTTACAACAACCTACCTCTCACTTCCCAAAATGCAGGGTCCAAACTCCCCTCCCAGTCACTACAAGCTGCGAAACTCCACATGTGATATTCATCGCAATTTTAACTGCCACTTCAAGACCAAGACCCTCTCTTCACAGCGCTTCGGGTCGGTGCCTGGAGTTAAATCTCGAGCAATCATCAAAGATCTTTGGCGAAACTGTTTCAGAGTCGCACAATACTCCGACTTGCACCAAATAGAAAAGCTAAAATTTTCTCCCACGTACTCTCGCTACTGCACCACTACACATACCCACTTCTAAGACGCTCGCATCGGATACAGAACCCATCGCTGTGTTTTTTTTTCAAATGCAAATGATTACATCGGTTCATGTTCATGGTTGTGTTCCTCTATCGACTAAAAAAAGCGAACTTTTACCTCTATGGGCTAACGAAAGCGACTTAAAAGGCCAGCCGTGAAGACACGGCACCTTCTACAAAAAGGTCGATTTAATGAGTGAAAAGTATAAAAGGAAAGCAGAGATGGGCTGAGAGAATGCCTAGCTTCCTCAATTGTCTTTGGAGCCTCGAAATCGATAAAGAATCAAGGAATATTCCAAGCCCATCGTCCCATGCTATCAACTAACTCTAACCTCTCCTCTCGTGAAACTGTAGAGTTTGAGCAAGAATACTCGGCCCACAACTATCACCCTCTTCCTGTGGTCTTCCACCGTGCTTTGGGTGCACATGTGTGGGACCCAGAGGGAAAAGAATACCTAGATTTCTTGTCTGCGTACTCTGCTGTGAACCAAGGTCACTGTCATCCTGAAATCATCGCTGCGCTAGTCGACCAAGCCTCGAGACTAACACTATCCTCGAGAGCTTTTTCCAACGACGTTTTCGCAGCCTTCGCTAAGTACGTCACCGAGTTTTTCAACTACGAAATGGTCTTGCCCATGAACACCGGTGCTGAGGCCGTCGAAACCGCTTTAAAGCTTGCCAGACGTTGGGGTTACACTAAGAAAAACATTCCAGCCAACGAAGCCATCGTCCTCGGCGCTCACAGCAACTTCCACGGTCGTACTTTCGGCGCCATCTCCCTCTCGACCGATGACGACTCGCGCAACAACTTCGGACCTTTCTTGGAAAATACCACCGCCAAGATTCCGGGTGGAAACGGTGAATACATTCGTTACGGTGTTGTTGAGGACGTTGAGCGTGCCTTCAAAAATGCCGGCGACCGCATTGCTGCATTGATCTTGGAGCCTATTCAAGGTGAAGCCGGTATCGTCGTGCCAGACCCAACTTACTTGACCCAGGTCCAGAAGCTATGTCGTCAATACAACGTCCTATTGATTTGTGACGAGATCCAAACCGGTATTGCTCGTACCGGTAAGATGCTGTGCTACGAGCACTCGCCAGACGTGAAACCTGACATGGTTCTTCTGGGTAAAGCTATTTCCGGTGGTGTTTTGCCAGTTTCTTGCGTTCTGTCATCTAAGGATATCATGCTATGTCTAGAACCTGGTTCTCACGGTTCGACTTATGGTGGTAACCCATTGTCGTCCCGTGTGGCCATTGCTGCTTTGGAAGTGGTGAGAAAAGAGAACTTGGTTCAAAAAGCCCAAGATCTAGGTGAATACTTGCAGAAACAGCTACTGGACCTACAGGCTTCTGCGGGCGGAATTATATCCGAGGTCCGTGGTAGGGGTTTGCTAACTGCTATTGTCATCGACCCTAAGCACGCTAATGGTAGAACCGCATGGGATCTATGCTTGCTCATGAAGGATCAAGGTGTTTTGGCCAAGCCTACTCACGAACACATCATCAGATTGGCACCTCCTTTGGTCATCTCGAAGGAGGACTTGGACAAGGGTGTTGCTGCCATCAAGAAGTCCTTGGAATTGCTACCCACTGCTGAGAAGGCTGCTCATTAAGCCAAGCCTATGGCTGTCACTAGTCGCAGGTTGGCATTCTTACACCCAAGCTCGGTCATAATTCATTTCTATTCATCTCCATTATATAATATTCGTGTATGTATCGTAAGTTCTCGTTTTTCCGGTAGAATTGCATTGATTTCAAGCCTTGGAGACATGTTCAATCAAGTCGACGACTCTCGTTGAGTAACCATATTCGTTGTCATACCAGGACACCAACTTGACGAACTTTGGCGACAACATGATACCAGCGCTGGCGTCGAAAATGGAGGAATGAGGATCGCCCAAAAAATCTGAGGAAACAACAGAATCTTCTGTGTAGCCCATAACACCCTTCAGTTTGCCTTCCGATGCTTTCTTGACTGCGGCTTTGATTTGATCATAGGTAGTAGGCTTGGCCAATTTGACAGTCAAATCGACAACGGAAACATCCACTGTAGGAACTCTAATTGCCATACCTGTCAGTTTACCCTGCAGAATTGGTAGCACTTTGCCCACGGCCTTGGCGGCACCAGTGGACGAAGGAATGATGTTGTCGGAGGCAGTTCTACCACCTCTCCAGTCTTTGTGAGATGGTCCGTCCACAGTCTTCTGAGTAGCCGTTAGCGAGTGAACGGTAGTCATAAGACCTTCTTCGATGCCAAATTCATCGTTAATGATCTTAGCCAAGGGAGCCAAACAATTGGTGGTGCACGAAGCGTTGGATACAATTTTCTCGTTCTTGTAAGAATCGTCGTTGACGCCCATCACAAACATGGGAGCCGTGGAGGAAGGAGCAGTGATGACAACCTTTTTGGTTCCGGCATCAATGTGCTTTTGCGCCGAGTCCAGCTCTTTGAAAACACCGGTCGAGTCCACGGCGATATCGATGCCTAGTTTGCCCCATGGCAGATTGGCAGGGTCCTTTTCCTGGAATACGGCAATCTTATGGCCATCCACTACTAGAGAGTTGCCCTCGCTAGAAACAGTACCAGGGTATCTACCATGTGTGGAGTCGTATTTCAACATGTACGCAGCGTAGTCTGTGCCAATGAAAGGGTCATTGATGGCCACCACTTCGATCGAGGGTCTGGAAAGGGCGATTCTCAAAACAAGTCTACCAATTCTTCCGAATCCGTTAATGGCAATTTTGGTCATGGTTGAAGTGTGCTAAAGTGTTGAGTGCAGGAGTGTTAAGTAAGAACCTGAACTTACTAAATGCAATACTGCTGGCTTCAGACCAGAACCAAGACATGGGGAGTGTCAATTGGCTGCTCTTAAATAGTTGCAAATTCAAGGTCTCGTACATCCTCAGACGGAGTTCGGATATCGCGACATCTATCCTGTTGGAACCTCGAGATCATGACGACCATTGGTGAGCCATTTTTTGACCATACGTGCGAGCTTCGAAATTTGACCTAGTTCGGATCAGTCGGACCCTTTCAGGTCTGGTGACGCTTAGAAGATGGTCCGTCAGCGGCCGAGCCCAGAACTCACGAGACTCTAGGACTCACACTGCAATTGTTGCGCAATTTTTGTAGCCGGGCAAAGACAGCAAGAAGAAAGCATAGCGATTCCGGAGCTCAATGGCCACCATAGAAGTAGTTACACAGGGCTGAGCCCAGGTACTGGATTCGACGCTTCTTGGCGGAGCTGGCTTTGGTGACGACCCATGCAAGATGGCATACCTTGTCACGTGACCTTAGGCTCATGAGACTCCAGACAACTGACTGTCTGGCTATAAGCGGTAGGACAGCCCGGAATAGACGTTGTGGGCCACATTTGAATGCATTCATCGGATCCCAGCACTGTTTCGTGGGTTAAACTAGTATTTTTGTGCGCACAAGTAGATCTTTTGGTTACTCTAGCCAACCTTGCCCGACTACCACTTTACCAACGATCGAAGGGTGCCAGAAATACGGTTTAATGTGGAAGTTGTGGTGTAAAGAGTGCTACATTCGCAGCAAAGACGTGCTAAGCTCCTTGTAAACGGACCTGATTGTAATCTGCAGCGGTGAGAGGCGATGCCAATTACAATGTAGAAAGACACTAGACGTGAAGCACTGTCTCTGCGTAGGATAGAACGTTAGCCAACACGATAGAGCCCGACACGACAATTAACGACTGAGAGATTGAGAATTGCAAAAGACCCTCACTGCGTGTTTGACTGAGTCTGTTCTTGATCCTTCCAAGGTCTTCACCTTGAACTGGCAACCTTTTCGATGCAATTATCAGTAAGAGAACTAAATTCAATCAGTAACTCCCACCATCTTCGATATTTCCTACTTCGAATTGACATTGTCTATCGGAATTGACGTTAAAAATGTGTGTGGCCAGTAGTGTGAAAAGAACCTTTGACCGCTGACGATGTCATGGTGTCTATCACCGAAACGTAACTTTCTCAAACCTACAAACTTTCTATTCTTCCGTCAAAAAGTTCATGTGTTTTTATGGCTTGGTAACAACAACTGGAGTAACAAACTGGACGTATCTTTTATTGAAACTTCTGTTTCTTTCAGATCTCTCATCGATGTCGCTAGCTGTTCGTGATATTAGTTCGTTGATCAAAAATAAAAATGATTTCGCCCAGGATCGAACTGGGGACGTTCTGCGTGTTAAGCAGATGCCATAACCGACTAGACCACGAAACCACTGATGAGAGTGTTGATAATTTATTTTACTCATACATAAGCTATGCAAACGCGTGACAGATTGCACGCTAAGTTACCTGCTCTAAGACGCACCGTTGATCCTCTGGGATGAATCACTACTTCTACTCTCTCAGTTGTTTCTGTACTTGCTTACCTGATGTTTACAGTTTTCTTTGAACTATCAAGCAAGCTCTTATACCAGACGTTGTGTTTGAGTCCCGATTACTATATCTGATGCGCAGTTGAACGTCTGTAGCATGATATCAGTACTTTACTCTAGGGGCTTCCTCGACGTCGCTTGGCTGTTTTTCCGTCAAATCGTTGTTAGACGACAGTCCAAAATATAATTCCCCACACTACCCAACAATTTAGAACTCTTGGATTTTCCGTAAATACGAACTTCAACAAAGTCTGTACGCACTCGGTTTAAAGATACTGATGCGATGTATGAAATCAGCCGGCAGGAGTCTAAGCTATCAATTCTACACATCTTGATGCTCACACAGGAAATGCCCATCAAGCTTGTTTTTTTGATCCTGAATAGGTTTTATACATTGGTTATTACTACCTTCTGAAACTTGAAAGAAAGTATGGGCTAGCTTGACAGACGCATAAATTTTGACAAGGTTATTTATCTGATGCTTGATATTTTAGGACCTTTGCAGAGAGACCAGCGGGAGTGTGGAAAAGCTATGTGTAAAACGAACTACTTAAATCTAAAAAGAGAGAATTGATGGGGCGACCGACCTGTTCGATCGAGCTGACCGCGCTGTTGTAGGGTATCCAACATTTCATAATTGTCGTCTATGAGTCTCATACGATCGCCTACCTCAAACATCATGTGATCTAATGACAGATGACAGATGCCAGATGCCATACTGCTACCAAGTGACAATGATAACTACAATAGAGGAACGATGACAGCCTTTAGAGGATGTTACACGACAGCTCTCAAAGACATTGGATTTGTCTAAGTGCTGATGCCTCTGACAAAGAGCTTATGTATTTTTCTGGTAGTTAGTTGGCGTCTACAGAGTCAACGGTGTAAGGTTAGGGCACGATATAATCGCCGATGTCGTGGCATCGATGCCACGGCTCAGATTTGAAGCTGAACGGGGGTAATAAACACTAGAAATTCATGATTTTGCTGCAGTGCAATGATTTTTGAGCAAGTGGCCTCTGTATAATAATGGCCAAACAATACCGCTAAATTTATTGGGCCCTCGTCTCCACATCGACATACCTCAGTCACTGAGGACAAGAAAATCATTATGAACCTGCGAATCAAAGGACAATTCCTGCTACAGGATGTAATTCAAACCACGGAAATGGGACTTCGGGGCCAACTCTTATTTTAGTGAAGACACGCAATTCTTTCTAATGGTTTTGGGTTCTCCCACGATTGTATGGATAATATTCGCTTTTTCACATTTTGGTCCATTGCGATGACATTTGCAAAGGTGGCATGAAAACCATCAAAACAAAACAAACTTTGAAGTTTCCAATTCCACATGTAATTCTAACTGCATATGCTCCCTACACTTGCAGCAAATACTTGAATGTCTTTTGATGAACGGACTCGACTATTTACTTTAAATAATTTTCATAACAAATTTCTTGACGACTGATAAACGTAATTATGGTGAACCCCGCTGTCACAGACACTCTTAATCCTCATAAAAAGCCGAAATAAGACTATAGCGGTAAAGTTTGGCCTGCTCAACTTCATTCAGGCTTCTCAACTATTCGATTGACCAGCCGAAGTGTGTCACGTGACTCATGTAATTACTGCCATTTGAATAGAAATGTTGTGTCTGAGTTAGATCTTCCCCAGGACTGACACTCTCGTTTACCAGAGAGGAAAGCCAGCGATGGCGAATGGGATTAACGCACAGGACCTTTTGGCCAATGACTCAATTTTAAGCTCAACCGGGCTAACTGTTGCCGGCGACAATGCTCTTGTAGCTCTCTCCACAGCGATCTCACTGCTGGCGCAGGCGTCTAATGCAATTTTCACAATAGGTGTGAGTATCGTTTCCAGAGTTTTTTGGCAGACATTTCGGTTCTTTCTGCTGCGAGTCCCCTCGTGGCTTGTGCTGTCATCCAGTATTCATATCACCTTATCGTTCTCGACCCTGATTCTGGTGTTTTTGGCTACCATGTTCGCTACATACTACGTGCTGAGAAGTAGATTTCTCAATGCGTACAAACGACTGCAACCTGATGACAACGATGGGAAGATGCTTAAGGATAAGAAGTCTCGCGATGAAGCGGAGGCGCTGTTTATGAGCAAAAGCGAAGCCTCCAGAAATAGTGGGTTCACCTCGTACCTGGATGAATTTCTGAGCGCTATCAAGATCTTTGGGTATCTAGAAAAACCGGTCTTTCACGAATTAACGAAAAACATGAAGACCCGGCGACTCGAAGACGGGGAGGTTCTCCTTGTTGATGACACACTCGGATTTGCCATTGTTGTTGAAGGGAGCCTGCAGACATACCACAAAGTCCCACGGTCCCAACAAGAGGCTCAACCCGACTACTTCAATCAGGCGCATGGAAGTGATTCTGAAAGTGACGACGAGCTTCCTCCTGGCTGCGACGCATACACCTTGAATGGCGAAAAATATCAACTTTTGAACACGGTCAGAGCGGGCAATCCGGTGTCCTCTCTGGTAAGCGTCTTGAAACTCGTCACCGGTAGCAATAACAATGCGTCTTTGAGCGGACCGCTGACGAACCAGCAATTGCGCTCTAACTCTCGCCGCAATTTGATGTCACCCTTCCTCGACGCCACGTTAGAACGTCACAAATCTGAACTCTTACGCCCTAACCGACCCTTGAGAACTACGCTTGAGCCAGGCTTTGAAGGACTGGAGGCAGAAGTAAGTTCCACCACTATGAGTGAAAATCAAGAAGATGATGTTCCAATAGAAGCAGACGATCCTACTCCATTCGAAACTCCCTTGCCGGACATCATCGCCTCTGCTTCTAATGACTGCACTATCGCTATTATCCCGGCCTCTGCTTTTCGCAAACTGACCGCGAGATATCCTCGCTCAGCCTCTCATATCATTCAAATGGTCCTCACCAAACTTTACAGAGTGACATTCCAGACAGCTCATAGCTACTTGGGGCTCACAAAAGAAATCATGAACACGGAAATTGTTTTGAACAAGTCTCATCGGTTCGAGCTACCTTATTATCTGAAAGAGGCTGCCGTACGTAAAATCAAGCTTCAAGAGAGCTCGAAAGCCACTGCAGGGAATGAAAGGTATGCACCACCGGGCGCTTCAAGAGTCAATATTGGGAACAACGCGATAAAGAATCGTAAAAAATCACGGCCACACAGTTTCCTGCAAAGCCGAGGATCCCGCCATGTAGTTTTAGATTCTAGAGGCCATTTGAACCCTGGCGATCTTCTGTCTAACGTGCCTCTTTCTCGAAAAGAACATCCTCGCGGTGTATCCGGAGGCACACTTTATCAGTCAGAGAGTGCAGGAACTAATAAAAGCACAAAAAACTCGGCGGGCTTCATCGATGGTCCTGTAAGTTCAGCACCTCTGCTCGCGGACCAACCCATGCAAAAGAATAGAAGTAGTCACAGTGCGACAGTGAGCTCCGCTAATGATGACGACGATATTAGAGCACGTACATTTTCTGCCGCTCAGGAAGAAACTGAAGAATCATCGTGGAGGGTGGCAGTGGTCGAGGGTATGTTCTCTTACCTCGGTATTACGAAGGAAAATATTCTACCTACCTCACTAGAAGACGACGGTTCATCCGTAGCCCTCGGAAAATCGTCCGATGCCTCTGTCACACCATCCTCACGTTTAGATTCAAGCTCTGCGTTTCGTTTGCTGTCTCCCGACCAATTCATCACAAAGAGAAAGTCCAGGACAAAGCCAACTCCGGAATACAGAGAAGAGATTCCCCACAATATCGATTTTGATACTGTGAAAGACGAATTTGCCCAAGTTCTTGAAATGATGTTCATTCGTCGTAAATCCATACTTGTTTCGCAGAACAAGTACAACAAAGGTCTTTTCTATGTCATATCAGGCACGATTGAAGTCGTCTGGACCAATGAAGAAGATAACAAGGAGCATGTCCTCTACCTCGTAAAGCCTGGAGGAATTGCCGGGTACTTAGCATCGCTCATTGGAAGCAAATCCTTCGTGACACTCAGAGCCAAAACTGACGTTTATGTCGGGGTACTTCCTGCAACAATGCTCGAAAGGTTATGTGAAAAGTATTTTTTGATTTATCTGAGAGTTGCCGAAACACTCACTAACTTCCTAAATCCTAAAATTCTAAAGCTGGATTACGCGCTGGAGTGGATTCACCTGGATGCTTCTGAAATTCTGTTTCGCCAAAATGATCCTGCAAATGCTATCTACGTTGTATTGAGCGGTAGGCTACGTCAACTGCACCAGTCAGAAGATCCCGATCAGGACTCTGCTGGCAAGAAGCAAAGTAAGCAACCGCTTCGAGGAAGTCCTAAAGTTAGGGCTATAAGGGAGTACGCACAAGGTGAAAGTCTGGGCGAAGTCGATGTTTTGACCGCGATAAATCGACTTTCGACCGTTGTTGCTTTAAGAGACTCAGAGTTGGCTCGCATACCTAGAACTTTATTTGAGCTTCTAGCGGTCGAGCATCCATCAATTATGATTCGCGTTAGTAGGTTGGTGGCAAAAAAGGTTTTACAGCAACAGCGAGGGACAGAATCTCCAGAGACTATGAAAAATGCAAAGAATTTCAGATATGATTTCAACTTGCTCATACCTCCAACAGAAACAACAAAAGGGTCTGTCATTAATTCTAATCGTGTGGAACAAGCTCAATTTGATGGAAGCAGCAGGCACAGCTACCGTACAATCTCTGTCTTACCTATCACTCGTGATATTCCGGTGGAGGGCTTTGCGTCGAAGTTGGTTACCGCTTTGAGGCAAGTGGGTATGTCGACTATTGGTTTGAATCAGTCTGCAACCCTTTCACACTTGGGCCGTCATGCCTTCGATGGCTTATCCAAATTAAAGCAGTCGGGCTACTTCGCGGAGTTAGAAGAGCTATATGACACTGTTGTGTACATAGCGGACACGCCGCTTAATTCCACCTGGACTGCCACTTGCATCAATCAGGGTGATTGCATTCTTCTTCTGGCAGACTCAGCTATGTCCCCAGCTATTGGCGAATTTGAACGTCTGCTGATCAAAATGAAATCCAACGCAAGAATAGAACTGATTTTGCTGCACCCAGAGAGATATGTTGAACCAGGCCTCACCCATAAGTGGCTCAAAAATCGGGTATGGGTTCATTCACACCATCACGTTCAGTTCCCAAACTCGGAATACGTCAATGATCAGAAATCATCAGCGGAAACTATACCGGTATCCATGAACTTCATCGAAAATCTCAAAAAGAAGGAGCGTTTCAATGCTATAACGAAACAAACTCAGGAAAATATATCACGATTGTTACCTGACTCCCTGAAAACAACAGTAGAGAATCTGTCTTCGAAATACATGAGCAGCAAAAAGCGCTATTACACTCCTGTACAGCCCCACAAAAATGATTTTTTACGTCTGGCGCGAGTTTTATCTGGTAAAGCCATTGGACTGGTATTAGGTGGCGGAGGCGCCCGAGGAATCAGCCATTTAGGCGTCCTGAGGGCTATTGAAGAGCACGGTATCCCTATCGACATGATTGGAGGAACTTCGATTGGTGCTTTCGTGGGCGGGCTTTACGCCAAGGAGTGCGATATCGTTCCCATTTACGGACGGATGAAAAAGTTCGCAGGCCGAGTGGGATCCTTTTGGCGATTACTTACCGATTTGACATGGCCAGTTACTTCGTACACCACTGGTCACGAATTCAATAGAGGAATTTGGAAAGCATTTGGCGATGTGCGCATTGAAGATTTTTGGATTCAATACTATTGCAACTCTACTAACATTACCGAGTCTATTCAAGAAATCCATTCCACAGGGTACGCATGGAGGTATATTAGAGCTTCGATGTCTTTGGCAGGGCTTTTACCGCCCATAGAAGACAGCGGCTCGATGCTTTTGGATGGTGGATACGTTGACAATTTGCCAGTTTGGGAGATGAAAGCCAGAGGGTGTAACACAATTTTCGCCGTTGATGTTGGATCCGTTGATGACCGCACACAAATGAGATACGGAGATTCGTTAAACGGGTTCTGGATTGTCTTCAATCGGTGGAATCCATTTTCAGAATACCCGAACATTCCTAATATGGCGGAGATTCAAATGCGGCTCGGATATGTAGCGTCTGTGAACGCTCTTGAAAAGGCCAAAAACACTCCAGGCGTGATTTATGCGAGACCACCGATAGAAGACTACGCCACTTTAGATTTCGCCAAATTCGAAGAGATCTACCAGTTGGGAACCGCTTATGGACATGATTTTTTCCAGGAACTGGAAAGCCAGAACAAAATGCCCAAAATCCCTGGATCTGAGGCCTTGACAGACAGCGGAGATGTTCGGGAAGGCATGTCACATAGGCGGAACAGCATTTAGGTGGGAGCAGAGAGCTGCTAAATTGCAAGAAAGGCTAGCTGATTGAGACCATAATTAATGATGACCACAGCGCAACTTAAATCGCCTCCACACACAAAAAGAAAACATCGATCACCAAAAAGACACGTTAATTAATTTACACAACCTACACCTTCCAGCTGGTAGTCGAGATCCCTTTTTACCCTGTTTTCGTGGTTAACTCTTAAATTTACGATGCACATTTATTCCTCTGACGGAGTTGTGATCAGCGTCACTGAGTCGCCTCTGACAAAGACCATTTCGGAGGATTTGGTATTTGATTTTAGCTCTCCCTCTAGAAACTCATAGATCGTTTCTGTAGCGTTTGAGAGCACAATGTTGCAGTGGGAGTCGAACGCTTGCAAAGTGCCGGTCATTTCGCGAGCACCGCGCAGTTTGACGAAAACTTTTTCGTCCAAGTTAAGTTTCAACAAGTCCAGCGGCGTTTCCATCGACATATGGGGTTCAACTGGGGAATATTTGGTCTAACAAGTGTCGTTTGTTGGTTCCATTTCTATGTTAGAGATCATGACTGGTACTTTTTCAAAATTTCGTTAAATTCTATCAAGGTCACGTGGAGTACTTTCGTGGAAGCCTTAAAATAAAGCGAAATCAAGCTATTCAAAAGTCATGAAAGGAGCCTTCTCAATGCCAACGCCGCTGTTGCCAGGTATTTTAAAGTATGGTACATGACTCCCTCAAAAGACTTATGTTCTGTGAGTTTTTCAAATCGTCTTACCTCGATTCTGTTTGTTTTCCACACAAATCAACGAAAAACAAGCCGAAGCACCGTGGAATCAATCTACGAATCCGCCGAGACTGGTAAAGCGAACCCTTCGCGCTTACCAATAAACCTTTCCGCGCTCGCTCGACGAAATGGGAAAATTGAGGTCATGTGACCGGATATTTGTCATTATCTAATCACTATGGACGAAAATAGGAAAGGGCCCGGGTTCCTGAAAAATTTCAAATTGGTAGCGCATCTACAATATGAGAAGCAGAGAGTTCAACTACAAAGATTGCATTCTCTGTAGAGCTTCTAGGGCCTCGTCACGCCTGGAATTAGCATCAGGACGTTAAAAGCGGCTATCAAATATGCTATCCTTCAAACGCGGCCTGCACAGCACTTTGGTTGTGTGTGCCAGGACCAAATACACGAAGCCTAAACCCAAACCAAGATCAAGACCTAATGTGAGGCCCCCAACGCAAGCCACTCACCACAGCAACAATCTAAACATCACAGCTCCTATTCCTCCCGCGGTAGCCAATATCGTTACACCCGAGGATCACCCCCTGTGGCAGTTTTTCGCGGAAAAGAAGTATATGCGCAAATTCGACGAGCTGGATAACGACTCTAGAGCATGGAGTATCGCAGAGCTTAGAAGAAAGTCGTTCGACGACTTGCACTCGCTATGGTATACGTGTCTGCGGGAAAGAAATATTTTGGCTCGCGAAAACCACCTGTTGAAGAACGACATGGGCTCTAACCAGGACTCATACGAAGCTGTAGCCGAAAAGATCAGAACAACCATGTGGAGAATAAGGCACGTTTTAAGCGAGCGCGATTGGGCTTTCAAAAGAGCAAGCCAGGAGTTTGACTCTCAAAAAGCCCAGTTTTTGCAAGAATTCGAAACCGACTTTCTAGAGGCACCAGCTGCGGAGGACGAAGAATCTTTTGAAAAGCTGGCACGCTTGCAGCAAAGTGTCTTTGGCATAAGTGAGTTCATCGACGAGAACACTGTCGACAGAGCTTTCGTTGACGGTATGAAGTACGTTGCAACTCTGAAGCTAAAACGGTTCGCATCTAGACAAGACGAGGCTCGAGATCTTCTCGAGCAATCTGATCACAGCATAAAAGATGCGGGTGAAGCATTTGTTATCTTCACCGCAGAAAACACTGAAGCTGCAGCAAAAGAAGCCTGCGACGTCGTGAAAGAGCTCAGAGCCAAGAACAGCTCGGTCTCCCGCTACGAGGAACTGGAAACGGTGAGCAACTACGTCAAGCAGTTGGCTGCCGCGCAAATGGAAAAGACCATTTCCACTGGCGTGTAAACACGATGCACAACTGGAAGTTACGTTTCTTCAAAGCTCAAGTTATAACAAGCACACCCAATTCCCATGTATATAGCATACGTCTAAAACTCATATCCAACATTTTTAGTGGCCTTCCTTTTCGGTCTACCTGTGACCGAATATTCTGTTTCTTCCGTCAGAACATCTTCGTGGGTCACTTCCACCTTGATGCCGTCGCTGACCGCAACCGTTTCTACCTCTGAGTAGTGCCTCTTGAAAGGAACATCATCTTTTTCGAGCTTGACTACCAGGTCGAGCTCTAGTTTCCGTTTATACGTGGTGCCATCGCTGTTTGCGCCCGTGGTCTTGCCTACTTCTTGAGCGAAAACAATTCCTTGAGCCCAGCCGGCAAAATCTCCCCACCTTTGTTTGAACATCGAGCGTATTAGATCCAGCTCATAATTCACTTTTTTGTGCGTTATGGGCAAGCTCTTATACTCCCTTTGAAGCTCCTCGATGTCTTGCTTTCTGGCACTAAACTTGTAGTCCCTCTGTGCGATTCGCGCAATGTGAACGTCCACGGGAACCACGTCGTCCATCCTCAGGCCAGACAGACACACGCAATCTGCCACTTTGGGGCCGACTCCGTTGAAACTCATGATTTTTTCACGCACCTGTTCGTATTGCAAGTGATCTTTCCACGATTCCAGATACTCAGAATCCGACATATTGAGCCTGTCTTTTTCCATTTTATGAGCGGTCGCCACGATGTATTTAGCACGATAGCCAAATCCCAGCGTCCGCAATGCATCTTCCGACGCCCTAGCCACGATCTCGTGGCTGGTCGGAAACGAGAAATAGTCGACCCCGTCGTAATGACCTACGGAGTTGCCGAATTCCGTGCAGAGCGCGTGGCACATTTTTGTGATACGCGAGATATTATTGTTGCTCGAGCATATGTACGAAACCAGTGTTTCCCAAGCGTCCTGACCTAAAATACGCACGCCGTTGGGCCTTTTCTGCTCAAACCTCGAGTCCCGTGGCAACCACTGCTCTCGATACAGCGTGCTCATATCCACTTCCAAGCGAAAGTAGCGATGCAAAAACTCCCGCAAAGCACGCTCCTCTACATTCCCGACCGTTGCATACTCTATATGGTCGTCTTGATCTTGTTTGAGGACCAAGATCTTGAACTCACCGTCAATTTTGAGTGTTGATGAGTACTGGCCCAGTTTTTCATGAAAAATCCATCTGAAAGCTTGTCCACACTGTAAAACGTTGCTTAAAAACAGCTCCCCACGCTTGAAACTGAGTTTTTGGAACCTTAGCATACCCAAAACTCAACCTGAGCTGATTCTAAGCCCAAACGTCTTGACCTTTAATTACCTATAAACTATCTCATCTCATCTCATCTCATCTCATCTCATCGGTCTTATTTTTCACTCATTCAGTACGAGAATGAAATAACGTAAATATTGAAATTTAGCTAACTAACGCGAAACTTGATCTGACAAGAAACATATAAAAACACGAACGAAAACGGGAGCTAAGAGCATTGATCTTGACTCGTTGGCCGACAATCTTCTTCTAATGCTGAATTAGACGTACATTTTGATCAGATTTAGAGGTTCTCAGTGAATTGGGCGCAAAAATTCGACCTTTCATGTATCTGACAATACAGCGGCGATTGTGGACACTAGGATTACAACAGCAGCTCAGAAGAACAAGCAAGACAGGCCACAGACTCATGAGAACAACCGTGCCGGTTTCAGCATTGCAACAATATGCCAAACGTGCCAAGACGTGGGATTCCCACGAACTTTGCCAGCTCTTGTCTGATTCAGACGGATGGGACGACCTGATGGAGGAGCAGGAAAGCCCGCGCAGGAAAGTGCTTAGCGGCAGTCAACGACCCGGGGAAGAGGAGCATGATAAAAAGAAGGTCAACAATGATGAAAACGAGGTGAATGACGACGACGACGACATGCAGGTCCTGTTTGAGCGACCGGCTGCCGTGGCAGCTAAAACAGATAGTAAGAGGCAGCTGGTCCAGTTCTTGCAGCGTATTTCGTCGCGAAGCGCTACTGCAACGCTAGCAACACGCTCCACAAGCGTCCCACAGGATCGACCACCCATGTTGTCGTCGGTCCTCCCGTTGAAACCCAAGGGAGCCAGAAGCCTCACGACAGGGGCAATCACACAGACCAGGAGCACGGAAAAAGTGAGTTTAGCGGCGTATGCCAGAGAACAAGACATTGCAGCTCGAGAAGTTGGCGGGCCTGGCATCGCAATGAGTCGATCACCATCGCTCGAAAATCCCAATTGCTCTTCACCGCCGCTTTCCACCGATGAAGACGTGGATTCCGTAGAAGCGCAACAAAAAAGACCGTCAAGGCGATCCAAGAACCACGAGCTGGTGTTTTTGACGCAGAAAACTGAGCGAGAAGGCTCCGAAGAAGTGGCTTCGAGGTCGAATAGCACAGTCACTAAAAAACTCGTACAGGGCCTCGTGCTAAGCGAAGAGCAAGAATCGGTAATAGAATTAGCGAAGAAGGGTCACAATCTATTTTACACTGGTAGTGCTGGTACTGGGAAATCCGTTTTATTACGTGTGTTGATAAAGACGTTGCGAAGGAAATACGGTGAGGGAAGCGTCGCAGTTACAGCATCGACAGGACTGGCAGCTTGTAATATTGGTGGTATAACAGTACATTCTTTTGCTGGGGTCGGATTGGCGCTTGGAGACAAGAAGAGTTTACTGAAGAAAGTCAGAAGGTCAAAAAAGCATTGCACTCGCTGGGCTACCATTGCTGCTCTCGTGATTGATGAAGTTTCGATGATCGATGGTGATCTTTTAGATAAACTGGACTTCATTGCTAAATCGCTACGTAAAAGCCATGCGCCCTTTGGTGGAATTCAGATCATCTTGTCTGGTGATTTCTTTCAGCTTCCGCCCGTCAACAAGAACAACAATGATGTCACCAAATTCGCATTTCATGCTCAAGCCTGGAAAGAAGCCATTGATGCCACTATCATGCTGCAAAAAGTTTTCCGACAGCAAAGCGATGCTGAGTTTGTTAAAATGCTGAACGAAATGAGAATGGGAAACATATCAGCGGAAACTGAAATAGATTTCAGAAAACTGAGTCGACCTTTGCCAGTAGATGATATTATACCTGCCGAACTCTACAGCACTAGAAATGAAGTGGACAGGGCCAACATGTCGCGTTTAAATGGCCTTCCAGGCAGATGCCACACGTATAATGCCATCGATGGTGGTGACATGAAAGATGAAATTCAAAAGGAGAAACTACTATCCAATTTTCTGGCACCTAAAGAACTCAAACTCAAAGTTGGTGCGCAGGTAATGATGATCAAAAATATCGATGAGACTTTGGTCAATGGTTCACTAGGTAAAATCATTGATTTTATAGACCAGAAAACTTACATGTTTTATGACACTGTGAGAAATGATCCAGACATTGAAACATCCAGACTAGAAGCTATGCTGCAAGGTAAAGTGCAGATGAACGACCCCAACGAAGACGATGAGGCTAATCAAAAGGTTATCAGGAAAAAAAGCATCAAAGACTCATTCTGCAAACTTGGAAGTCAATTGCCTCATGACAAACTGGATGAAAGTATTTTCGATTTTCTGATGACAGATACAGACAAATTAACGGGAAGTCAGAGAGCCAACATAGAGAGAAAAAAAGAGCTTTTGGAAGAGATAAGGCTAAGCTCAACCGGCCGCAAGCTTCCTTTTGTGAGATTTCTTACTCCGGACGGATCGTCACGACTGGTTTTAGTACAGCCCGAGGACTGGGCTGTGGAGGATGAACATCAAAAGCCTCTTGTAAGCAGAATTCAGCTGCCCTTGATGCTAGCTTGGGCTTTGTCTATTCATAAGTCGCAAGGACAGACGCTACCTAAAGTTAAAGTGGATTTGAGAAGAATTTTTGAAAAAGGACAAGCCTACGTTGCCCTTTCGCGTGCAACTTCAAGGGAAGGGCTACAGGTTCTCAACTTCAACAAATCAAAAGTACAAGCACATGAAAGTGTGATAGAGTTTTATCGCACACTGACCTCGGCTCATGAGGCCAAAAAGCGTTTTGTGGATAGTACTTCGACAAAGAATGGTCTTTCATATGCTCCGAAAGTCGCAGCAAAAGCAACTCACAAGCATCAGGATGAGCGGCAGGACCGAATCACCTCAATGCTTCGAAGCAAGAACAAAAAGAACTCGTTTGGGTTGAATTTCGATAAATTGGACGTTGCACAGAATGGCAATGTGGATCTCGACTTTCAGCACTAATTGATATTTTCATGAGAAGCAAGATCTCATAAACGAGATTACCGATCAAGGCAAAATTCCTTTTTTCATTACACTTTGACCACATCATTGTGGGGTCTGTAAATCTGAAAACTAGTTGCCCTTACAAACCAGCACCCATAATCCACCGAGTACCACCGGAGAGAAAATTTGACGCGCTTGTCGACACCTCTTCAATGACTTTAGTTTTGAATTCACTCGGTTTCCCATTTAAAAGCGAATATTGGTCCTCGACCAGATCTCTGGTCGACAATTCGGACTCTAGCGCACTCCACTGTGATATAACTGCCTCCACTTCGTCTTCCGGGCAAATGTGCAACAAACTTCCAAGAATTTCTAGTTGCAAATAAATAATCTCTGTCGGTATTTCACTATTAGGCCAAGAAGGATCAAAAAATTTCCCCACTTGTAGTATAGTCGACCAAAATTGATCGCAACCTGTTCTTTCGAGAAGACTCTTGGTTTCGGCGAATGCATATTCGAAATCAGAGTTAGCCAGAGCAAAGTCGATATGTAACGCCAATATCCTGGTGTACTCGTCATCGAATCCTGGAGACGTTGGTTTTAACTGTAACCCCGAATACAATTGCTTAAGGATTTCAAACGTCTCTTCAGTTCTCTTGTAAAGTTCATTGTTCAGCTCCAAGAGCTTTGAAATAATCTCATATGGCTCAGACTTGAACTCCAGGAGGACGGAAGGTCTGAATGGAATACCCTTGGAGAAACTGAGTGAATAGTATGAAAGCTTATCAGTGATTTGTAGGAGGTCTGCAAGATGCTGGTACTGGTCTGTCGGGAGAAGTTCCAGTATTCTTCTGGCGTTCAACATATCCGGTCTGTTGTGGCGTCCGTTGGACGCCGAGTTGAAGAATCTCCAGAAAAAACTGAGTAAGAAATTATCTTCCAACTCGATCTTGGAGTTCTCGGCAAATTGCTGCAACATGTCAAGGTGGCCTCCGTCTAGAAGTGATTCAACAATTATGAGTTTTTTGGTGTTGGAATCGAGTTTGTTGAAGATCGGATCGCTTTGGACAAATGTCCCTACATTTTCGAGCATAATGTGGGATCCGTGGGCTCCAAGTGACTGTTTGCACATGGTAGAAAAGAACGATTTTTGTACCAGCTCAGAATCTTGTGTCAGCTTATGTATATCATTGAGGTTGAAAATATGCAGCAGATCCATGCTTTGAGCATACAATTTAAGCGTTTTGACATCGAGCCCATTCTGTAATGTGATGTTTCCCTCGATGGAGGACAAGAGCAAACAGTGCTCAGCACGTAAGTCGATCTCTTGAACCTTTGAGAGAGAATCCCCGTTTTCGTAAAGAATCGTAATAGCCTCCCTCTGAAAAGCCGTTTTGAATTTTGTCGGAAGCATTTTGACCAGTTCGAAAGATAGAACTTTGTATCGATTGAAATTCGAAATAGAGTCCAGAGGGAAGTTCTTTGCGTTAAAGACGACCGCCAAGAGCTCATTGTATCCATCGACGTAGGCCAAAAATGGCAGGACTTCATAATTCAGAGCTCCACGAAACTTCGACTCTTCCACGACTTCAAGCGATTCCCAAAGGACGGTCAAAGCCTTAGACGTGGAAAGAGATTCGAATTCGGCGATGGAAAATTGCAAAATAGACCGGTTGCAGAAATGTGCCAGAGGCTTGATTATACCTGATACCCACTTCATGAATTCTGGATACTGGTCCGCACTTAGGCGGGAGAAAAGTGGTCTGTAGAACAGTGGGTCATCCACGACCGCATTGCAAATCAAAATTCGGGCCTGGAGAAACGTAAATTGCCAATTGCAGCTTTCTATACTGATACCAGCTATTTTTTGAAGCTGATAGTCAACATGCTGCTTCAAAGTTCTCTTTCGTTCAGACAAGATATCAGGACTTGACTCCACCACAGCCATCGTCTCTCGATCACCGCTAACCAAGGACTCTAAGATGCCCAGTTCATTAATCCTGGATTTCTCAAGGCTTTTCAAAATATCAATAAACTGAAGAGGGTCATCTAGCTCTGGCCACAGAACACATACGATCTTCAAGATTTCCACCTGTTCTACTCGATCTTGACCCAAAATCAACTTTTTGACCCGCGAAAGGTCGGCTTTCGCCGCCAGAAGACAACAAGCGACATATAATTGATCTTCGAGCATCTTATAAGATCGAAAAAGAGGCCTTTTATCAGGGTTCAAACGTCTCTTGATGTTTTTAAGTTCAACATTTAAATAGGTTTAAATATTGATCATTTATTCAAATGATTACTTAGATTTAAATATATTTGACAAGGACGTGAAATGAACAATCAGACCACTGACAGAGCCGTCGATCAACGACTAGCGGTGTACAATCCCGATAATCAATTAAATGCTTATTTAAATGCAGTTTCCGAGCTTACAACCGTGTCTTTTGCGACAATAACGGGTACTTTGGAAGACAAGCACGAACTGAGCTTGAAAAAGATCAATCAATGGAGGTCTACGTTCGATTTGAAACGGGCAGACGCCGAAATTTATGTGGAAACGGAGAAGTTGAAAGTAGGCATCGAAAATTCCAGTGCTGCAGCTAACATTGAGAACATCAAGCGTGCCATGACGGAGGATTTGTCGACATTACAAGAGAGAAACAAGATCTTAAGGGAAAGAAATGACAGGCTGCGAGCCATGAACTCACATATTGATATCGTGAACGAGAAGATTGAGGATATGCAAAAAGGGAAGTCCAAACTGAGCGCGTCACAAGAAGAATGGGAGAAGCATTTGGGTTCCAAGGCGGTTGCCCAAATGCTGCGCGCAAAAATCTTCAGACGACAAATGACAAAGGTCCGGGAAGAAGATGCAGATGTGGAATATGAAGAATTGTCCGTACAGGCAAACTTTTCGACGAGCGCCAAAGACTTGGAGAGAACCAATGATTCAATGAAGCAAAGTATACGCAGGTTACATGAAGAGTTGAGAGAATACCAGGACAAGTGGAGCCATAACGCTCAGCTTTTCGACAAAATAGCAGATGTGCTCAAAGAGGAGCTTGTGAGTAGGAAGGTGGTGAAGTCCGTGGAATCGAAAGAAGACGATAGCGAGGAAGTTCAAAATGAAGACGACGACGAAGACGAAGGAGAAGATCGAGTTTTTGAAGAAGCTGAAATACATAGAGAGGATGACGAAGACGAGAACGATGAAGACCGCGAGGACGAGGACGAGGACGAGGACGAGGACGACAACCTAGACCACGACGGATCGGAAGAGGATCATGACGACCAGGATATGCATACGTGAGAATCACATGTAACTGTAGTGACAGAATTTATAGACGATGATTAACACAGTTTGCGGAAACGGCGACAGCGACCGCGCAGCACGGGGCACAGCTTTGACACTTACGAACTGATAATAAACCTCTTGTCGATTTTGTTGTTATGTGATAATTGCAGATAAAATTTACACAGTTTCCAAGATTTCGTCCTTGAAACCCGAGGTGGCGACCTTCTTACCCTTTTCTTCACCGGCAGATTCACCGTGCAAGGCCATCAAGGCACCCAAGTCGAATTTTGGTTGTTTCAACAACTTCACCTTTCTGATGTGGACGTTTTGCAATGGGAAAATGTCCTTGGTGGCGTTCTCGATCTCCTTGTTGATGACTTCTGGGATCAACTTGGAGGTCAACTGGGCCAAAGTGGCGTTTTGCACCTCTCTGGTCAAAATCTCGGAGATCACCTTTCTGATGGCTCTGATGTGCGACGACTGGGCGTAGCAGGCCTTCTTGACCTGGTTGGGCTGTCTTCTGGTGAAAGCAATGGCGAACACTCTCAACACGTAGTCGTCAGCGGTCTTGACCGTCACGTTGGCCTCGATCAAAGTCTGCCATTTTCTGACCATCGATCTGTACTTGTCGGCGGTGAAGTCTAGACCGTGGAAGTTGGTCAACAAGTTCTTGCCCTGCACCTCGTCCACTCTCAACTTGACCTTTCTGAAAGAGTGGTCTTCCGAGCCCTGTAGGTCGGCTAGACACACTTCCACCACTCTACCCTTCAAGTAGTCGGCAGCGTTCTTCAAACCGGTCGATTTGTTGACCAAAGTCTTACCAACGTTTCTGTTTTCGAAGGTCGAAGGGGCCTTGATGTCATACCATTCCTTTCTGGTGAATGGGTCGACGACCTTCTTCTTCAAACCCTTCTTACCCTTGGATAGTCTCTTGTTCTTACCAACAGCCATATTGCTTGGGGATGATGATTATTTGGTTTCGGTAGTCCACTAACAGTAACAGTGTTGAATAGCTGATGAACTTAGAGATGGTTTTTTGATGAAATTGTTGATCGCAGCTGGTCCGGGAGAGAGTCCCTGGGATGGCTCCTAGGCGGAGTCCTGCCTGGGATCCTGGGCAGAGCCCTGCCTAGCTCCAGGCGGACTGGAGCCGGCTAGACAGGAAAACTGCTGCGAACCAACGCGATCCAGTGGGAAAGCCAGGCGGGGGCCAACCTGGAGCTAGGCAGAGATGCTGGACAGAGTCTAGTCTAGCGTCGCTTTGAGTCGGCCCACACAGGAGGGGACGCAAACTTGAATAGTGACTCTTTTTTTCGTTTGCGCATTTCTATAATTTTTCACTTCGATTTTTCATCACATGTTCATTCCGCATTGTGTCAAAATGTATGGGTGTGTATTTTGAGAAAAGCAGTCCGATGTCAGACCAGATCACGTGGATGTGTATTTCTCTCTTTCTTCATCACGCGTCAATGATCCAGGGAGGGACGTATATGCTACGCCAAAGATGCGTAAAGGTGTGTGTGCCAGTCAAGATAGACAAAGGACAAATCGGTGTGGTAGGCCCGACGTAACTTCACTGGCTTCACTTGGTTTGTTCGAATTGAACTTCGTATTTTGCTGTCTTGTTTTCGCGTTACATGGCGCGCTTCGTGTCGCGGTTTTATTCCAATAATGTGTAGCGACTCGTAGAACCGCTAGAATCCCCGGAAAAATTCGCCCTGAGGCTCCAGAACGAGTTCCCATTGTTAAAAGCGACAATCAGCCATTTTTTGGGCTTTCCAGGCCTCTTTTATGTGCGATGTGCCAGATCTTATGGCCATATATGATATATATCATATACTTGATATATCGCGGTATAATTTCAAGAAAAATCAAGGTCGTCTGGCATCCAAGACAAAGATCAAATCCGCTTCTTCAAAGGGCCGTTTTATTTGGAAAGCCGGCTTGCTACAAGGGCACATACTATGGCGACAGATGTACCGTCACTCACGCAACCCAAAAACACTTTTACCATCAAAATCGGGCTCATAGGAGACGCACAAGTGGGCAAAACGTCGCTGATGGTCAAGTACGTGGAAAATGTGTTTGACGAGGAATACACGCAGACTTTGGGGGTGAACTGTCTCAGCAAAAAAATCACGCTCGGATCAGCAGACATTTTGTTCTATATCATGGATCTGGGCGGCCAGCGAGAGTTCATCAACATGCTTCCACTGGCGTCGGAGGGTGCCAAGGCTATCATCTTTCTTTTCGATCTCACACGGCCAGAAACGCTGAAGTCGATCCAGGAGTGGCACCGGCAGGCGACGGGTTTCAACGAAAGAGCAGTGCCCCTGCTGGTGGGAACGAAATACGACCTTTTTGTCAATCTGGATCCCGAGTTTCAGGCGCAGATATCAAAGCAGAGCATGCGCTACGCACAGGCAATGGACGCTCCACTCATATTCTGCTCCACCTCGCATTCGATCAACGTCCAAAAGATCTTCAAAATCGTCATTGCCAAGCTATATAATCTCACCATGCGTGCCTCAGAAATCAAACAAATTGGCGACCCGCTGCTCATATATAAGTATTTGGGTGGTACGCGCAGGTCCGCTTCCGCGTCGTCAAATTCTCCCAGCGCATCCACATAGTCATTACCGCTCAGTGACGAAGTGTCATTAAAGATCTCATATCATTTATACATCTAGCATTACAACCTTTGCGAACTGAAAGGCTCTCTACCGACTGTTCTCCTGCTCTGTGGCAGTCTGAAAGCGCAGCTATGGCACATGCTAGCCAGGCAATTCTACAGTATACCACATTATGTCGAGGTTTTAAAGCGTTTTCATAATTTTATCCTGCTCTAAAGCACACTTGACATCTTCAACTGAAACGTTGAACTTGACAGCGCTGAGGCGCTCATTTTTGAGGTTTTGTCGAATGATAATACCAGCTTCGATTAGCTGATTCACCAGGAATTCCCAAGATATGATTCGCAGCTGCTCTAGTGACAGCTCTTGGTCTTGGTTGAAAAGGACTCTTTGCATCTCCACGATATACTTATTTTTACCATTGGCATCGACCGAAGACTTGATTTCATCCACAATGTCGCCTAAAGGTTGCTCTTGACATCCAGTCTTTCTGATAAGGTTTACCATGACATATAGGAACAGTTTAGTGGTGAATGGAAGACTGGCCATGAATAGCACCACTGGTGAGTTCACGGTTTCGTTAAGCGCTTTCATAATATGGTTTATCTGGACACTTTGAATCTCATCGTCTTCAAAAATTGACCCAACGTGAGCACTCCCGTTATTCTCAGCCAGTTTTATACCGTCATACCCATAACCGTGGCGTTCCATATACTCATGTTCTGCGATCTCCACAGCTCTCTTACATGCTTTTAGTGCTCGTCTGGCATCACCACTGACACTTGCTATCTTCCTTGAGGCAATTTCAATGGCATCTGGCGCTATTTTTAACTTGACCTTCCGCATGCCTGTCGTATCGATATCTGGTTTGCCGTCACCATCAAAAACTATGTGAGCACTCCCGTTTTTCACATTGACATAGAAGTAACTTTCGTTGAGCCCTTTCAGCCTCAAGTTGATAATAATCTTAAGCTCCTCATGAGTATAACCGGTGAACATTATTCTTGTAAAACCAATTCTTGAGGAGACCTTGTTACCCAATTGTCGTTCTGGTAAATCCATTGTGTTGGCTACTGCGACGACAATCAATTTTGCATTGGAGTATGTTGTCCAGTTAAAGAAGTTGTACATTACGTCTTGACTTTTGGTGACTAGAGCATCTAGCTCATCAAGAAGAACTAAGATTGGCCTCTTCTTATTTTTTGGCACTTTATTGAAGTAGAATTCCAATGATTCCATAGCGGCACCAGATGTGAGCCTCTCACCCGAAATCTTATTCCATAAAACCTCATAACTATCAGAGGGTTTAATCATCTTCAAACCATTAATTTCCGCGTATTGAAAATTCGGAAGCTCATTTTGTTCCACAGATTGAAGTAACTCCTTCACGACCTCTCTCACTGTCAAGGTTTTACCAACCCCGGGCGTTCCTGCCACATAAACTGTTGTACCAGTTCCCGCTTCAATTGCACTGTAAAGACTTAAGTAGATGGAAGCGAACTCGTTTTCACGAGCCGGCAAGTAGTCGTCAAAGTTTCCTGCTTTCATGATCTCGTCTTTGCCGTGGGAAGTGTAAAGCTGTTTTTTCACTTTCGAGAAAATGGTCTCCGTGGTATGTTGCTTCTTTGGGCTTCGAAGCCTATTTTCAATAGCTGCAACGTCCAAGTCAATCTGATCTTGATTGAACTGCGCAATTTTGGTCAGATCAGGAATATCCTGAGGGCGTTTGAACCTTTTTGAAAATGGAGTGTATGCTTTTTTGGCTCTAGAGACGTTCTTTTTAGTGTACTTTTTTATACCGGCTAAAGCAGATCCGTTACTCTTAGAAGGCTTTTTTGTAGGCGATAACGATGCTGCTGATCTAAGAGATCTCGTTTTTTTACGTGGAGAGCGAGAGGTGCGTCTCGAGGTGCTGTTTGAAGCCTCTGAAGAATCATCTGAAATGCCGTCTTTTTCATCGACCTCCTCTTCGTCCTCACTCTCCATTTCCTCATCAGAATCTTCCATGACAACATCTTCATCGTTTTCGTTACTAGCTTCCTGTTTCTCGTTTTGTTCTATCTCTTCCTGTTCGTCGTCTTCTACAACTTCTGGTTCCTCGTGTACTACTTCTTGTTTCTCGTGTACTGCTTCTTGCCTACCTTTTAACTGGGGTGTTTCTTCGTCCCCCGAGTCAGATGCTAAGCTAGAATCTGAACTAAGTGGACTCTCTGTCAAAAAAAGTTGCCTTTTGTGCTCCTTAAGAGAAACGGGGTCCTCTGTTGCATCTTGAAAGTCATCTAATTCCTCCTCACTCAAGGGTTCATCGGCAATTTTGGTCTTGAAGCCTCCCTTCTTCTTTTTCGGACTCGATTTTGGCGATGTGCTACTGCTTTTACTTCCTTCTCTCGATTTACGGGTCGTTGTTGTCCTTTTTCTAGCTTTGGTATGAGTTGAATCGATAGTAAGCTCTTTCACATAATTGTGGGAAGCCCTTGCATCCCAGTTGCCCACGTTATGCTCTACACGCTGAATGTCAATTTTATTGAATGAAACACCATCAGGCTCGCAAGCAAAGCGAACGAGGAACATATCTGGCGCTTCATCATCTGAAGCGTTCGAAGTCTTTGAACCTTTCGACTCCTTTGAGCTCTTTTGGGTGAATTTTTCAGTATCACAAACCTCGGCTTTGGAAAAAAAGTCCGCCAGGTAAAGTTCAGTAAGCTCAGCTGTCAGACAAAGCTCGTCTGGATCGCAAAGCTCTTCAAAAGTGTCCACTAATTGCGCTTCTGTCATATCATCTAGATCAGTGCCTGCCGGCAGACCCTTGAAGCCCCACGCGTCAATATATTCGCGCTCGTCGAGCTCGTTTCTTCTAAGATACGTGAAGGCCCAAATTTCCACCAAGTGGTTCAACGTGTTCAATCGAATCTCGTGCACCATATAGACCGAAAAAGAGTCCGTTTCAGGGTCCTGCATGACAATTGAGTCACCACAACCAATCTCTATTGAGTCCTTGAGTCTTTTCAGTGAAATGAACTCCTTTTCTCCACTTTTGCCGCCTCTTCGGCGGACCCTTCTTGTGAGTAAGTCGTTATCTATTATGCTTCCATTTTCGTCTCTTCTAATGATGTCCCAGCCCTCGAACTCCTGCTGAGTGCTCGCCATTGGATAAAACAGCAGATTTCTGTTGATGATGGCGTGTAAACCAGCTAACAACACAGGCTCTTGCCCTCTAGATACCAATCGATGTGGGTGTAGATTTCGTGTTTTGGTTGATACGAATTGTGACATTATTTATCAATGGCATCTCTTCGTGAAAAGTGCCCAGTGTTGAAGAATAGTACGGTTGAACAGTCAAGAGACGATTCTTTATGCTGAATGCCGTTGTTTCGGAGCCTGAATTTGGCAGAATATTGTAAGGAGTTAGAAGTTTCATCGAGTCGAGTTTCGTTCAGATATCGCGTCGATTCATTATGGGAATTTAGTGAGCAATTGAGCGCGTCAGCGATCAGTTGCGAATAAGAGAGCGCATGCGAGGAAAAGAGAGCAGCTCGTGGGTTTCCCAAAATTTTGGTTATTACAGAATGATTGATGGATCTTATAAGATTTGATGGATTGAATGAATTGAAGAAGGGTACGAGATGTTTGCCAAGAGGAGGCCTATTAGGAGCTTTTTGGTGAATAGTGCATAGTTAGTTCTGACTTAGTACAATTCTGGTTTTCATATTGGAACCTAAGGTTAGAACAGTATACAATTGCTTGGGTTTCTTCGTCTTCATCACCCCATCTCGAATAGGTAGACATGTAGAATGAGAACCTTAATTAACAATGTCAGCTCTGTAAAAAGTGATCAAATATTGCAAAGTGGAAATATGGGAATTTTGGTGTCGTTTGTAAAAGCGTTAGACTTGTTGTTCCATTCCAGATGGAGAAAAAGTGAGGGACTCATTCATTAAGGCAAAGAAGACGTTTTGTGTGTTTGGATAAGCGCTAAGATTTGAGAATGATAATGTAGATCACGTGATTTGCTAATAGTTTCTAAAGCCTTGAAACAAACCCGTCTCTAGAGTCAACATGCCCAGAGGAGAATGCTCACACTTTTCGCCATGAATATCGCGGCGGAACGGTGCTATAGGATGCAACGGAACAGCTTTCCCTTGTCAGTTTTCTAATATTTTCGTATCCGATGATATCTGTAAACTATTACCGGGCCCTTCCTCCAAAGTAAGAACTATTCCAAACCATCCATCGCATCAACTACATTGATCTTGAGAGCTGCTTAGCCGTCATTTAGCGGGACTACAGATGACCTTAGAGCTCTAGCACAAGTATAAAATATGCTGGGACGTCGCTTTCGAAAAGTTGTGGCCAGACCCTTCGAGAATCTGAGTGCCTCGAGCCGTCTTATTCAATTCTTTAGACTGGGATCGTCAACACTGGTCATCGTGTTCGCTATGATTCTCACGGTGGGGGCCTTGGCGTGCCCCGATAGACTATTTATGGGCCAAATGAACACCTCTTCAATCGATATCGCCAACGGGTTATTTCAATTTCTGGAGTCTTCAGTTGAGTCTTCCACAGCCAACTACATCAGTAATGGGGTGGGACTTACAACTTCAGAGATTTTGATCTTGACTGAGTACACATCGCTGCAGTCTAAAGCAGCCCCACAGTATGTAGTGTCTTCCGTGTATGGTTGGTGCCGTGTCGAAAATCGAACAACGACCACTACGGGACCAAGGGCGCAGAATTACACAACATGCACTACGGAAGGCTCGGACTATATCTTCGACTACCGTAGCCTTATGAAAGGTGTAGGACTCGAGGTTATCCTGGATTACGCATACAACGCTTCTGGGGACGACACCTACGAAGCAAACCCGTCGTACACACATTACATGAACTCCAAGAGATCGATGAAAGGAAGAATGATTGTTTTGTTGTACATCGTCGCTGCGTGCCAAGCATTAGTTTTGTTCTTAACATTGTGGTACTACTCGATTAAGGGCAGGTCTCTAAATCAATTTCGAGAGTCGTTGCTGGTCCACACCATATCGATTCTCTCGTTATTGGTGTGCATATGCGCGTTGGTGAGCACTATTTTGCTAGTGACTCTCAATGTCCAGCTGCGATCAAAGATAAAAGACGAGCTTAGCGTTATGGGCATCTCCTATCATTTGGGACGCGCTTGGTTCGCTGCGCTTTGTCTCATGGCTATTTTTTCGTGCATTTCGTGCGCCAATTGGTCTGGCTTGGTGTGGTGTATTACCAACGGGGCCGCAAACAAAGAAGAGTCATACGAGCTGGGAATTCTGGCCTCAGCAGCTGAAAGCATTCAAGAATTCTCATCTGAGCAGTTAGACACTGATTTAAGCCGTCCACAAAAGCCTTTCCTATCAAGAAACGACAGCTCTCGAGCAGGCATCTTGGATGCCGACTCAATTGAATCGCAGAACCTCGTCGTCAGGACTGATACGGACACTTCGAACGCTCTACTACACAAGCCTGTGGTACCGACGTCAGCATTCAATTTGTGACGCATTGACGTAAAACGTCATCCCAATTCAATTTTACAGTATAAAAGGCCTGTTCAAAGCGCGAGTGCTTTGTATCTGCACTGAACTCCAATGGCACCAGATCTTCAAACATAATGAAGGCAGATAGCTTTTTGAACAAATTGAAACCGTCACTAGTCGCTTTAGCGACCACCGCCTATCTTTGGTTTTCTATTCTAGCTTTGCTACTTGCGATTGTCCTACTCCACATCCCAAACGCCTCTTGTACATCTGTGGCAGGTCCACGATCTTGCATTCCTCAGTACAAGATTCGATTTCTGGAAGTTCCAGATCGCGATCAGGACATACTCCAGGGAGCCAAAGGTCTTTTGAGACTACTTTCATACGTGGCGGTCGATCTGAATGCAAATGGCAAAGCTGCTGCTTCGGCCGACTACGACGACGTTAATCTGGTAAACACCTTCAATCCGTCTAACTATTTTAAAATCAACCATTTGGGATATTGCAAGGAACAGCCCTCAGTGACCAAGATTCCTTGCTACTGCACCAATAATCTCAATGGATTGGAACCCATTTCCATGCTCGTCAGAGACGTGGGCGTCCAATTTGGGATCACCTCTTCAAAAAATCCGTACATGATGGGCAATTCGTTCGTGTACGCTTTCAAGCTGGGGCTTCGCGCTTTGATGGACGCCGGTAAAGCTACGGGGACCAACAGCAACGACAACGACAATATTTTTGCCAAATACCTAAACACGGGCTCTGAGTCCGACAACGATGTCCCTGCCCGGGATTTTAGCCAATGGCAAGGAGTTGCAGAGCTGTTGACAGTACTGCAGAACTTATGCTGGTCTGTCAGCTTTATCAGTCTAATCGAGTTTTCGCTCTGCTTTCTCATTGTCATATCCACCGTGATCACAGCTCCTGCAGCGCTCACGGGACGGCAACGAAAGAAAAGGTCTAAGAGGGTGTGGCGGTCTGTTGATACCTGGGGCTGCATTGCTCTCAAAGTGCTTCCAATCTTTACGGCTATTGTGAGTTTTTTCGGAGTATTTATGTCGAGCGTGCTGTACTCGTCTTTGACCAAGGCCTCCGCAACCCACGGTCTTTCCAAAAAGTACTACGAGCTTCAGGTGGGAGATGCCTTTTATCTGAACGTTGCAAGGCTGGCTCTTGAATGCGCTTTAGTCTGGCAGACACTGAAGTTTAACAAGCACAAGAACAAAACCGAAAACGACCCACAGATGAGTCCCGCATCTCTAGAAAATTGGCCCAAGGACCTAGAAATGGACTCAATTCTGTCATCGAGCACTACAGTGTAAATACCGCTGTTTGATCGACTCAAATTCCATTCACTAATTTCTCGTAGTATGTATAGGTTTAAATTTGTATATACAGAGAGTGCTTGAAGAATATCTCTTTAATTCATCAAAAAACAAAAACCCAAAACTGCTGCCGTCCAAGCCTTTTAATCGCTGATGTCTGGCTTGAGAACCTTTGATGCGTTCCGTAAGTTCAAATCCTACTTTAGCGGGTGAGATAAAGGGCTTTTGAAGCTTAACACTCCCAAGTCTTTGGATTAGCTCAATACTAACAACGATTGAACTTTACAGCTAAAACCGACGCCCAGCATGTCAAAAAATCGTCGAAAGGCGGGGTGTCATCGATTCTGACGTATCTGTTCTTGGCCTTCATCGCCTGGAGCGAGTTCGGTAGCTTTTTTGGAGGCTATGTTGATCATCAGTATGGAGTCTCTAGTGATATGCGAGAAACTGCACAGATCAATATGGACTTGTTTGTGCACACACCGTGCAAATGGCTCAGTGTTTTCGCCAACGACATTACTGGTGACCGAAAACTGGTACAAAACGAGCTTTCCTTCGAAGATCTGCCCTTTTACATCCCATATGGCACCAACGTAGACGGGAGAAATGAGATTCGCACTCCTGGTCTGGATGAAGTGCTCGCAAAAGCGATTCCAGCACAGTTTCGAGAAAAGCTGGACTTTTCGGCTCTTGCTGACGATCAAGAATTCGATGGTTGCCACATTTTCGGCTCAATTCCTATCAACATGGTTCGGGGAGACTTGCACATCACCGTTCGAGGCTTTAGTCTCGCAGATTTCCAAAGAACGCCTCAGGAAGCCATCAATTTCTCGCATGTTTTCAACGAACTTTCCTTCGGTGATTTCTACCCGTACATCGACAATCCTTTGGACAAGACAGGACGGCTCACCAGTGAGGCTGCCAAGAGTTATCGCTACCACACCTCTGTGGTGCCCACTACATTCAGGAAGCTGGGAGCAGAGGTCCACACCTTTCAATATTCGCTAGGCGAAACGGAGTCTACAGTGTCAGGCAGTCAATTTGGAAGAAGAGGCCCAATTCCTGGCATTGTTCTATCCTACAATTTCGAGGCACTGTCCATAACAGTAAGTGATGAACGTATTTCGTTTTGGCAGTTTATTGTGAGATTGATCGCCATCCTGTCTTTCATTGTCTACATCGTGTCCTGGGCCTTCAGACTCACTGACAAGCTACTAGTGGTAGTTCTGGGTCCCAAGTGGTCGCTTCGCTACCAAAGCGATAATCGTCAAAATACTGGAATTTTGATATAACACTTTGCCCTCTACAGTTCACTTTACGAACATCATCAGCTTGTGAATTACACAGCAAAACAAGAGTAAATAGACCATTCACGAAGCATATAAGCGTATATATACTTGATTCTGCAATGTCAATTGACCACGGTACCAGCGCGAACCAGGCTGGAAGTAAAGTTCATTCGACGTTGGGAAACTTAGCCGCCGAGTTGCAGAAAAACGACCATCACAAACATTCAGTTCGCGCTGAAATGATGAATAAAGAGATTCTGCAGCGTTTGAGCCATGCTACTGGGCTGATTGAGGCGGATTGCAAGAAAAGCAGCACCGCTGCCGACCCCGCGCCTATTAGCCGCCTTGATTGGGACGAGCTATACGAAGTCTCGGCCAATGTGATGGATCTTTATACCAAAGAAGTGGATACCTGTCTAGCTGAGCTCGACAGATTCTACAGAGTAAGTCGTCTAAATTTCCTCTCGAAGAGGCGCCGTTTCAGGCCCATACTAACCATATCAACTCGCAGAAACAATATTTGTGGCAAGAAGCGGCCTTCACTATCGATTCTCATCGAGGTGCGGCCAGGATCGGTCACGCAGAAACCTGGGTCGTGCACAAAGAAATGCACCTGGAGTACATGCGCCAAGAGCTCTCTTCATCGGCTCGAGTTATCAGGAGAACTCTAGAAGAGCTCTCTCGCAAATAAACGCAACATGTCTCTGTGTGTACGCAACGGCCCTTGTAATAGCTAACCAAAAACATCAGAATTTAAAAGTGTGTAGCTACGTACTTCAACTGTTAGTCTACTGGAGTTTTGATTTCTTGGCCGGTCTGCTATCATCGTCGCCTTCAGCCTCGCTGTCGCTGGCTGGGGCATCTGAGTCAAATTCCTCTGCCACATCGTCGTCCTCCGAACTGGCGTTGAAATCTTCGTCCACAGACTCGTCGTCCTCACCGGCGGAACCCATGTTCACATCCTCATCGCCACTGTCGGACCCCAAAGCGTTCTCCAATCTCTGCTGTGCTTCCTTTTCTTCGTTCTTGACCCTTAGGTTTTTAGACTTGAGAAAATGCTCCAGAAGCTGCTGTTCCTCTTTTGAAATGTTTGCAAAAGTGGTTGATCCAGCGTTGGCACGTAAAGCGATTTCGAGATCGAAGGTTCTTGCCGACGTGGTGGACTTACCGGCTCTGGAGATGTTGATCATGCTGACGTCACTGAACGGCATGTAGATGGTTGGTTTTGTGAGAAAGAGGAAGGCGCTTTCTAGCGGATACAGATAACCCTCGTTCGCTTTGAAAGAGCACGATACCGCACATTGGTCATACTTGGACTTATATTGGCCTGGAACAATCACCCTGCGTCCTGTCAGACCCTTCAGTACGTGACTCAGAACAACGTGGGTCTGAGCGTCATACTGTTTCATGAGCTTGTCCTTGTACAGCTCCTCAAACTCGTCGTCTTCCACATTGAGCTGCACTTCGGTTTCTTCTGTTCTTTGGAACTGCATAACCAAAAATGGGTACGACGTTTGACCCTGGCGCAAGGGTGGCTCGATTGACAGTACCATCAAGTGGTGAATGTCATCGCCCTTGGGCAGCGAGAAAATTCTCTGGATTTGGCGATGTTGCAGTTTGTACTCGTAGGTTTTACCTCTCAATCTGATGGAGTTCTTGTAAATATCGATGTCGTAACGGCCTCTTGGGGTGGTGAAGAAAACGTCTTGGAAGGACACAATGGCGTCACCTGAGACCTCTCCGATATCGGCCTTCTCTCTGAGTTCCTCGTAAAAAGATTCTGCTGCAGGTTTCTGCTCTTTCTGCATGTCCACGTCTTGCTCTTCTCCCTCTGCTTTGGGTTTCTCGTCGTTTTCGTTTTCGTTTTCGTTTTCGTCCTGAATGGTGCCCGGGACGTGGAACCGCATTTCGACTAGCTCGTCCCCGGCTGGGTTATAGTCTTCCTTGGTGAGGTCAAATTCGATGGCCACCTCGGTTTTGGCCGTCAAATTCGTGTTGCTGATGTGCGCGTACGGAATTTCGAAAGTTGGTTTGCCATTATAAGAAAAAACCATTTCGTTACGAGCCATGTCGGCTTTTCCCCAGTTCCAGCCCCGCAGGGAGTGATCACGGCTATCTACTTGCACATTAAATCTTCTTTTGAAGTCGTTTTTGACCAAGTTAAAATCCTCTTGCGAAAACCCATCCAATTGTACCACACCTTGGTTTTTCGTGTTTATTTTCAGTTCATAGCCCCTGCATCCTCTGCTCCATTGCACAGACGCCAATTCGGTCGCTGGCAGAAGCAACGGCGCTTTTTGCTGGCCTGCGGTCGACCCACCGCTACTCGAGATTTTCCACCCTAAACCAGAGTCCGCAATCCGGAATCTCCCGCTGGACTTGGACTGATTCAGAAAGATACGTTCGAAATCTGTACTCATTGATGTAGTTGAAATGAAAGACGGAGATCGTGAGAAAGATCGCTGGAGTCGTTGATGGTATAAACTTGAAAGAAGTTGGTTAGTTCTCTTTGATTTCACAATTTCCAGCGATCTTGAAAATGTGTCATTTTGTACGCGAATTTTAATACATTTTATCCAATTTGATTATGTAATCTATATTTCATGTGGGTCATGTGAAAGTAGCGTGACTGGATCAATCTCTACAAAAACATGAACAATGCCAAGCAAATGCCAAACGTCACAATCAAGCTCTCCATGCTAGCGACGCTGTAAACGTCTCGTTAATGTCTAGCTACTTCTTTCATTGTTTCAAGCGTTAGCCATATGTTTCTTCTATCCACGCTATGCATATATATATATATATATATATATATATATCTTTCACTTCGTAACAGCGCTCAAGCTTGTGTTTCATTCAATCGTTCAGACACTGTCAGTATCTCCTGAATCGGTAGCTGCATTCTTAGAGCGACTCCATTTTCCAAGTCGTCCTCGCTTTAGTTGCGTAGTGATGCCTTAAAAACCCTTCTTCACGCCTTGCAAAAATTCAACAAAGCCAATAGCACCTGGGTCAGGAATCTCGCTCGAATCGCTCACGTAAGAGGCTCTGCCGAATTTGGCTTCGATGGAACCTGTAGATTTCGCACCCTTATCGGCAGCGTCGATAGCTTTCGCAAAATCGTTTGACGACGCAAATTCTTTGACAAAAGGCTCTAGGGCGTCCACAAGCGTAGAGGCACCAGGACGAGCCTTGGTGTACTTGTACAAGGTGTCGAGAGCAATCTCCATGGCTTTTCCTAGCTTCTTAGCGTCTATAGGCTCTTCAGCGTTTTCACACACCTGGATCAAGCCGTGAGACAAACCGGAAATCATGATAGAATATAGACCACCCGAAGTGCCTCCCATGGAGCTTTCGATGTGATCGGAGATCTGCGCCAACGCCTGAGACAGGTATGTCTTGTCAAGACCTTCCAAATTCTCGGTGATACCCTTGGCGCCAGCCACCAAAGTGTAACCACAATCACCATCGCCGACTTGCGTGTCCAACTTTGTGATGTGGGGCTCGCTCTCAATGAGCTGGTCGGCCCCGGATTTCATCATCTTGGCAAAATGCTCAAAGTCAAATTTACCAGCAGGTTTAACCTTGATATTTTCCTTTAGCAAAGAGCCGTCAATTTTTGGCGCCTTGTCGTCTTCATGCGAGATGTTGGGCCAGCCGGGGGCGTCAGTGGGGGCCCTCAAAAGGTCCAACACACAGTTCACTTCAGGGAACTCCTTGTGAACATGCTTCGAGGCATGCGAAACGTTCAAAAGCGTGATGCTAAAGCCGTCCATGTCAAAAGAGGTCATTAAAGTGCCCGTTATAGTCTGTACAGGCGTGATTCCGTAGTCCTCTTTCAAGAATTCAACGGTCTTGGCCGCAATGGCAGAGAGTACAAAGTTTGAGACCCCACCCAAGTTGTTGATCAACACCACGACTTCGTCGTCTTTGCTGAACTCTACAAAGTGTCTGTCCTTATCACTAGCGTCCAGAAGCTTTGGTAGCATGTCTTTGCGGATTAAGTCGTCTGTGCTGGGGACTGGCTCGAGCACCTTCACACCGGGTTCATTGTGAATGCCCATTCCAAGCTCCATTTTGTGCTCGTTGAGCTCCGTTTCGAACTTACGCCCGGGCACTTTGCAGTGGTCGAGCGAGGCTCCGATGGTCACCAGACTGTCGATCACCACTTCCGCGACACGGGCGGTACTGTCAAGACCATACTTGTCTGAGTATTTCTCGGCAAACGCTCCGGTAATCTTCTGCACCAAAACTGTTCCTGCAAGCGCTCTGCGACCGACGAGACCACCTTTGGCTCTACCCACGGCCACGTCATCGCCGACGACAACGACCTTACAGTTGATCCCCAAGGCCCTGGCACGCTCGGCGGCCAGTCCAAAATGCAGCACATCTCCAGTGTAGTTCTTGACCACTAAAAGGACACCACTGCTCTGCTCATTGAGCAGCTTGATTCCGTTCAGAATCTGCTTGGTAGAGGGACTTGCAAAGATGTCACCGCATACGGCACCACCCAACATTCCGTGTCCTACGTAGCCTGCGTGGGCAGGTTCGTGGCCACACCCGCCGCCTGAAATGAGGGCGATCTTCTTGTTATCTGTTTGGCGAACAAACACATTTTCGCTCTCCACAAACGACAATTGAGGATTGGCCAAAGCAAAGCCCTTGAGCGCTGCTTTTAGTGGCTCGGAGATTTCGAATGACTTGACCTCCGGCATTGTGTGTGTTTGTGTGTGTGTGTGTGGTGGGGGGGTGGGGGGGGGGTGGGGGGTGT